GATCGCAAGCAGCAGTCTTTTAGCGTACTACGACTACTGAGTTCAGTATATACTCAAGCATACATACACACACACACACACACACCCTCACACTTACATATGTATGTGTTGTTATGCACATTATGCGCTGCCACATCGGCCGAGTGAGTGAAAGAAATCAGGGGGAGGAGAGCTTTAAAATATGTACATACCTACGAATGTATGTATGTATATACTTGTATGTATGTATATAGGAGCGTCCCATTAACAGATCACAGTGGACGCCAGTTTACAACAGTGCCGAAAGTAGCTGTATATACAGATATATGTATGTATGTACATATGTAGATACATATGTATGTACGCATATATGTAGGTACACGTATTCGTAGCAGTAGCTTTAATGATGATGGCCCAATTGCCATTACTTTGTATGTAGGGTCCAACTTTCTTCCATAAAAAGCTTTCGAATCGGCCCATCTAAAAGCAGAATACGAGTAAGAAACAGTAAATCGCCATTCTCTTTGTATCGGCTTAGTTTGAGTTCCAAAAGTATATAGATATGCTCGTAAGTAGAAGAACATTGTTTTGCAGACAGATAATTGGTTGGCCTTTAAGCATATAGTATATTGTCTCAAATCAATCTGACAATCGAAACAAGAGTCACTGTCATAAGAGCTTAGCTAGAAATTTATTTAAAAAAGAATCAAATAACAATAATAAATAATGATAAACATACATATATAAGAGGTGTTGTTAAATTTCTTTTCGTTTTAATATACACATACAGTACATTTTAGCTTTGTACCTTTAATTCCATATTTGAAAACTGACAGTCCAATTTTTGAATTACATTTATTTTTGAATAAAAAACTTGGATTTTGAATTATGTCAATAAGTAACAGACAAACATAATGTAAATTTATGTGTAAAATCAATAAACAACATACAACTAGCCACAAACAAAGTTCATTTGAATTATTCTTTCCATAGAACGCTTAAGTAATACATAAATAAATAAGCTAATGATTTTTAACAGCTTCAAGCAAAGATGTGCATAAACAAAGTTTTTCTCAGATTAAAAAATAACTCAGTTACTAATAGTGTCTGCTATAGCCGCCCTTAAACAAGCACCTTATACAACCTGCTTAAATCAATTATGTATTTATATTCTTTCATCATTTCCATAAAAATCAGATTTTCAGCTTTGATAATAGGGTTGCTGGCGCCATCTATCTTTGCAAAGCAACCGAATGGTTTGGTGACGTCTGCATTCAAATTAAAAAAAATTTCTAATGATGTTGAGGATGCCAACTTAAACACAGAAGCCATGCATGAGTTGGCAGTATGAACAACGCATAGAATGTGTCACGAACACATATTTAATTGCTTAGTGCTGCCAAATGGCTGAATAACGAATAATCGGGACGCCAGGTGGCGGGCGACACACTCAATATCCTTTCAGCTTTCAAGTGCACTCACAGCATTGACAGTTGCCAGTGTCGTAGCAGGCAGCCAAAATTCGTGGAGCTGCAAACATCTGCGCCCTCAAGTATGCAAGGAACATTCAGCTGTTGCCCCCAATGACAATTCGTGCGAACATTTAGTCCGTTAACATAAAGCGGCGAATACGTTACTTGCCTACGCATCGCGAATTGCACCTTCGCGTACTTTTTTGGCAGTTGGAGTGCATGTTATTTTCTTTTTTTTTCAAATTTCGTTTGGCGTTTTGGACACCATGATCGAAATAAAACTCGCAGTGGATCTAAAGTGTGAGTGTGAAAAATGTGTGTGTGTTTGCCTGAAATGCTTAAATGCCGCAAAAGTGCTTCAAACAATTTCACAATTATTTTTTAACTGGAAAACTGTAATATACGGATGCTGATGCTGATGCTGCGGCACATCGAAGACCATCTATCTATAGAGTGCATGTGCCAGCTTAAGATATATGTATATGTGAAAAATTAAACTGAAATTCGAAGACACAAAGTCGTGGGATTGTAACAAAAGAATTGGAAAGACAGTACTGCTCCAAAAAAAAAAAAAAAAAAAAAAAAAAAATAACTGAGAAAAATTGAAGGCACACGACCACTCCACTCCATTTCACTCCACTCTAGTCCACTTCTATCTAAGCCAAGTCAAAAAACCCAAGACCAAGACCCAAGCCAGTCCAGGCCCGTCCAAAACCCCCACCGGCCACTTTCAACTACTACATACTTTTTGGCTGACAATCGTATTTCACTCCATCCAAGGCGGACAAACGGATAGACGGACAAGACAAAACTATGAGTTTATGTGTCTGTGTGTGTCTGTGCTGCCGTCTCTGTGTCTATGACTGTGTTTATACATATTTGTGTGTGCGTCTGTGCTTGTGCGTGTGTGTGTGTGTGTCCTGACTACATGAGCTCTGTGTTTGAATGTGAGAGTGGAATGGCTTCAGTTTTCGTCAATGTCGCCATCTTCACAAACACAAAGACCACGACCTCAAATGTTTGCTAACGGTTTTTTTTTTATCTTCTTTTCGCACATAGTGTGACGCATAAAAACTATGCGAAAATGTTGTGTTTGGCTAAAATCTTTTGGAAGCAACTCCACTATAACTTCATATGCATATACATACAAGTACATATGTAAGTATGGGTGCTACAAATATTGTGCACGCAAGTAGGTGGCTGCAGATCCTGGAACCCTAGCAACAAGTACCAGAAATTAGAGACCACGCCATGCCACACGTGTAGCACGTCAGGCTGCAATGATCAAAAAAACTTCCAAAACTTGAAAGCTATAAAGCGCACAACAATCAATTCTGCTTAATTACGGACAGGCGGAGAGATCGATTTCGATCTGAAATTTCGAAATGGGAGACACTTTTTTGGAACAAATTTTGACTGTTGGATTTCTGCGCGAAAGCAGACATGCTTACTTGTAGTTTCGTAAAATTAACCTATTACTGGTTTATTTTGCATCTCTATTCTGTATTTTGAAATGAAAGAAGTTGGTTTTTTTTTTACCTATTTTCACATAATTGTTGTTCGATATTAATTTGTGTGTTTTTTTTTAAACTAAACATATTACTGATTTATTTCCTTCTGTATTTTGAAATGAAGAAATTAATTTTTTTTTACTAATTCTTGTTCGATATTAATTGTGTTTTTTTTTTTAAATAAACCTATTACTGGTTTATTTCCTTCTGTATTTTGAAATGAAAGAAATTAGTTTTTTAACCTATTTTCACATAATTTGATTTTTTTAAAACTCTTTTAGCGAATTAAATGCCTATTTTTTCTCGATTCTATAAGTTTCCATTCTATCACACTATACGTATACATATGTACATATGTATACATATATGTATGTATGTGTAAGTAGTGTGTGTTTAATTTTTGTTCTTTTTTGTGGAACTCAACTGGCACTTATTCCCAGCCCAGAAAGGCATTGCTAAATTGGGCGATTCTGTTGAAATGTTGGCAAACATCTCCAATTGTTCAACCCCCCCTGCCCGGCACACGCTTCCATTTTGTTGCTGATGCATTCATCTGAGTGTGTTGCTAACTAAAGGCCATTTCAGTGGCATTCGATGTTTTAAGTAAAAGCTTAAATGTTCCTTTTCGTTAAGTGACTTTCCACAAAGCTGCAATTAATTCATTTTTTGAGTGTAAAACGTGTTTCTTGCACACACACACTTCAGTTTATAAATATGCACATACATATTTACATACATATGTATGTACACACATACATACGTGTGCATACTTGTATGTGTGTATGTAAGTCCGTTGTTATATATGCGGCATATTTTGTGATAGTTTTTGTTTGGCTCTGTGATTCGATTTGAATCGGTTCGATTCGGTCGCGTCGTGCTCGCCATCGCCATCGCCATCCAAGCCAACAAGCCAGCAAGCCAGCAAGCCAACAAGCAGCCAACCAGCCAGTTCGGCAAACAAAACCAAATACAATGGCAAAGGGGCATGGTCGATGATGTGGTGGGGAATGAAATGGAATGGTATGGCATGGTATGGCATGGTATGGTATGGTGTGGTTATGGTATGGTAAGGTCGATGGTATGTTGCTGGGACCATTCGCCATCGCCATCGCCATTGCCAAGCGGCCAAAGCGCCAAAGCGCCGGTTGCCGTTTGGCAAATGATTACTCACTCTCAAGCTTGGCTGACTGTGTGTGTGTGAGTGTGTGTGTAGTGTGAGTGTGCATGTGTGTGTGTGTGTGTGTGCTTTTGCTTGTTGTGGTTGTGTTTTGCTTGCTCTTTTCGCTGCTGTAGTTGGCGTCGTCTCGGCGCATCCTTTTGTCTCTCTGTATGTGTGTGTGTGTGTGTGTGTGTGTGTAGCTGTAAGTGAACGTCGTCTATCCATGTTTATGTGTTTGTGCATGTGTATGTGTATGTGCGTGCTTGTGTGTGTGCGCTAGTTATTGCTTTTGGAAAATAAAAGGCACAAGAACAAGGCATTTGTCACTTGTTTTCTTGTTTGTCTGCCTGTTTGTCTGCTCGATTGTGTGTGTGGCAGCAGCAGCAGCAGCACCAACTCATGCCATATACAAACATACATATACATATATATTTATGTGTGTATGTGTGTGTGGCATGTGTCTGCCAGGCAGCAGCGGTAGCGGTAGTGGCAGCGGCAGCATGCCTGCATGTCCTTTAGTGTTGTTGCTGTTGGCGTAGTTAAAGGTCCCGTTTTCTTTCTTTGCTTTTCTTTGCTTTTCTTTTTTCTGGTTAGATAAAAACGCCTGACGGATGAAATGAAATGTCGATGGTCGTCGTATTAATGTATTACATACATATTAGACTATTTGTGCAATGAGCTCAGCAAGCAAACATCCAAATTATCGGGAGAGTGAGTGGGAAAGTGTGAGAGAATTTTGTGCGGCATTACATAATGAATCCCTTTAATCTCTGCTAAACACATATCTACATAATTTGTATCTATGTACGTATGTGCGTGTGTGTGTTGTTCTTCTTTTTTTTTTTTTTTTGTTTGTATCTTGCAGAATCCAGAATATTAGTGGAAACTGAAAAGACAAAGAAACGAACAAGGCAGAGAAAAGAGACATCTTTGGCATTTGATTGGGGGATCATGAAGCAGCGTCACGATTATAACGGTATAACCAAACTATTGTGAGAAGCAGCCCTGGGCAGCGAAAGGAAAGAGAGTGAGGGAAGAGAGCGAGCGTGCGGGGGAGAGAGAGTGATATGCGCTGCGCCTAAAAGCGAGCTACGAAATGAGATTGGAACTGCAGCAAACGGCGGCACCTACATCAACAACATCCACGTCAAGCAGGTGTTTCTACAACTGTCCGTGCTATTGTTGCCGCCAGGGATGCTGTGTGGTGGCCTGTTGTTGCTGCTGCTGCTGCAGCCTGGGCTGCTTTACACCCTCGGCGCCGCCCTCGCCGCCACCGTCCATTAAGATAAAGCGCTCGCGAACAGGCAAATGGGTCGGTGGCTGGGGCTGCCGGGGGGCGGCACAGCTGGTTGGCGCGATGATCGAGTGCGCCGGATTGGCGACCAAGCTGGCCACCCCCTTTGTGGCCTGGCTGCAGGCGCTGATTGCCAGTTGCGTCATTCTGCATGAGATGGGACAGCCGACGCCCACGGGGGGCGGGAGGGCGCATCCAATAGCACCGGTGCTGGCGGCGGCAGCGGCCGCGGCAGGGGCCACCAACAGCACGGACGTCAAGTTGAAGGAGCAATACGGGCACACCTACACCGCCTACGACATTGCCAACGATCAGCAGTTGAAGACAAACAATCTGTGCAAGATGTTCTGCAACAATCGCAAGCGGCAACGCCGACGTCGCCGCCGACGTCGACGACGACGCCATCGGCATAGCAACAATGTGGGCAGCGGTATGGATAGCAGCAACAACAACAACAGCAAACAGCAGCAGCAACAGCATCATTATCAGCAGCAGCGGGAGCAAGAGGACATCTTCCATTTAAGCATGGAGCAGCGTCATGGACGCGGCCCAAGTCACAGCCCCAGCCAAGGAACATTCCTTTCATTCGAAGCGTTAAAGGCAATCAACCTAACGGTGCCTCCCGAAATGCGAGCTCCGGCCTTCAAGGCGCCATCCCTGTCCTCGCCCTGGCCGGCGTCCACCTCGTTTCGTCACTGCTCCAAGGGCAAACGCACTCGAGCCAATCTCGTTTGGCTCCTCATTGGACTGGTCTGGTTCGAGGTGAAGCTTATCAACTGCAATGCCATAGCCAGTGGCTATGTCTCCAATCTGGTCACCCAGAAGGGGTGCACCCTGTGCCAACTCGAGGAGGGCAACTTTTACAGTGACAAAGGTGAGTTGCCAGCCCATACACAATGCTCGTATAATATGCCTCTGCACATACTCGTTTGTACTTGTATATATATATACATCCCGAAGTTAGATCTAGTGCTTATCCAAATATATATGTACATATGTGTATACATACCTCCCAAAACCAGAACATAAAACTCAACTCAAACTCAATTAGCGTTTAAGGATAAATACTGTAACTGTCTGGCACTTCATCTCCAGAGCAATGCACTCGTGAATATGTCTATATATTAGATCTATTTACATATGTATAGCAATCATCTTTTTTAAATTATTCCATCAACATAACCATATATATCGAATCCTAAGTGAAAAAATATTACATTTCATGACACAATTCGCTGTTTTTCTTTTTTTTTATTCAACAAAAAATAGATTGGGGTTAGGTTCAGAGCGAAATTCTGTATGTGAAATCGCATACAGAGAGAGAGAGAGAGAGAGAGAGATAGAGATAGAGAGACTCAGAAAAACAAGAGTAGCTGCAAAAATTAATTAAGAAATTTACTTCACCCAACACTTACCTCTATATACTTACATACTAGTCGAGTTAGCAAGACCTAAAAATGTTGAGTAGAGCACAGATTACGAAACCACTTGGGTGTTCTAGTCGAATGTAGAAAACTCAAAACCAAAGATTTTAATCGCCTCACTCCCACACTTAGCTCAAGATCAGAGGCCTTTCATTTAATCTGTGTAGCTTGATTCGATTCGAGGCTTATTCAATTTCGCTTCAAGGAATTATCGGACTTAGCCCCCGACTCGTTTAGTTATTAAAAGCATCTTTTCTAAAGCACACAAAATCATTTTGTCGAACCACATATGTATTCTCTTCCTGTTTGTGACTCTTATTCATAACACTTCTTAAGTCAAATTATGTTTGAAAACTTCAGATACTTGTTGTTCTATGAAAATATTGGTAAGAGACGAGAAAAATAAATAGCTTGACATTTACAATACCCGTATATCTATATTTCTGTGCACGGTAATACTTTGTCGATATTTGTCGCTTGTGGCCAGGGGGGTAGCAAAGCCTTACCTCATCAAAGCACCAGGGTCTAGGTCGCAAATAATGGGTGTAGAAAAAAATTGAGTAAGAGAGAGGGTATTATGTTCTCAATGTGTGATTGTACAAGTATTTGGGGGGCTATATGTATGTATATATATATGTATATTATAATCCTAATTATGTAAATTATCTTGCTGTTAAGTACATTTTAAAACTCTATGCCTTACAATAACGAATAAGAGCTCTATTTTGTGTGTATATTGAAAGAAATTTACGCCCATACCTAAGCCCACAACATCAGCCACAGCCATATGCACTTGGCACATACTTGTAGAGTAATTACCTTACCACTTACCAGTTACCAGTTACAATGTTAGCCCACTAAGCCCACTAAACAGCCCACACACCCCACACACCCCTCACACACTCATTCATACAGTACCCGTACAAATGCAACACAAATCCAGCCAACTTTGTAACTTACATAACACTTTACAATTGTAACATTTACACAGATAATCCACACACAGACTACAACAAGTACAATAACAACAACAACAACAATTACTTCTACAAAAAAACTAATCGAAACCATAACAACATCAACAACAACAATATCGCGCCAAGCGACCGCGTTCGCTTGGAGTCGATCAAGCGACAAATTCTGACGAAACTTGGCCTCACCCACAAGCCGAATGTGTCGCATCCCCTGCCAAAGCAATTCATCTGGGAGACCATTTATCGAGCCGAAGGTGGAATGGTGGCCACCGATGCCTTTAACAGCGATCTCAGCGAGCGGCGGGCGCGTTTGCGAACCCTATCCGAAATGAATGTTTTCCACAATCGCCACGCAGTTCCCATGCCTATGCCGATGGCGATGCCGATGCCGATGCCGATGTCCATGTCGATGCCACTATCGATGGCCACAGACGATCAGGGATCTCGGGGTGCGGCGACCCTAACGTCCCGTTGGGCCCCATCAACAGGTAGCAGAGGTGCTGGTGCCAATCAAGGTACTGGCACTGGGGCGAGTAGTGGCGGCCACACTGAGAGCAATAACTTTGGATACACTATCAACACGAGCAGCAGATATAGTCCGTATGAGGAATTCCTGAGGAATCGCACGGCCGTGAAGGTACAGCCCCAGCTGATGGAACAAGACGGAGAGGCTGAGAATGCCGACAACTCTTGGGATGATCAGAGGCAGCTACGAACCTCAAAAACTCGGGCACGCACTCGCCCCCATTCGTATGCGCGTCCGGCGAAAAAGCAACGCAATAATGGAAGTGGTGCCAACAGCTACAATAACAACAACAATAACAACAATAACAACAACAACAGCAACAAAAAGAACAAGTCGAATGCGTACAGTAAATCAACATATCTCATAGATATAAATCGTAGTAGTGATAGTAGCACCAATAGCGGGAGTAGCGGCGGCATCGGACCCAATGATCATCTTTATTTTAACGATTACAGCATTCGCATCCGTGGCAAAGGCCATCAGCAGCAGCACGCATCATCCATGCAGGATGTGCAGGAGGACGATGGGGAGAGCGGTGCTGGCGGTGCGACGTCTGACAGCAAAATGATGCCGGAACAGGACGCGTTCGAGCGAGAAGACTACTTTGGCAACACTCAGGAGATCATCACATTTGCTGAGGAGGGTGAGTAGCACTCTCAATATTTCTCGCCCCCTGGTCAGACAGACAAATAATTTGTTATGCATTTCGCAAGTACATATATCATGAAGTTCGACTTCCTTCTGCTAAAAATAATGCGAATTTGTGTGGAAATTATTTGCCTGTCTGATCCTCACTTAAGTTTGTTATTCATAGTTATAATGTAAGTCGAGGGGAAAGCACTCTACCTTTTCCAAGCGAATGAGTAATTCACGCCAAAGTAAAACATGCTGGTCTATTCCCATTTCCGACTTTGGTCCATTTATGCGGAATTGAGGTTGCGTAATTCACTTAAATCCGATAAACGATAACATTATTTGGCTTACAACTTATTGGTTGATGCCATTTTCAATCCGCTAGCTACTTTTTGAAACGAACAACTCCACAAGTGTTTGAAACTTCGAAAATTTTACTAATATCGATTCCACATAATTTGATCGAACTAGTTAAATAATTATTCAATTTCAATACTTAATTTAATGAATATATCCCAAAAGATAACTGCGAATAGTTCGAGCTATATAAGTCCCGTAAATCCGTTCGTACAAGTAGGTTGGCCAAAAGATAACTAAAGGAAGGCCAATTAACCAGTTTAGAGACGTAATCGTACTTTTCTAAGATTGATTACGCATATAGTATGTGTCCATTGTATACAATCAGTAATGCCAATTAGAAGCACATATAAATATAAAACAGCCTGTTAGGGAATTTGGAGAACTGCTGCAATTATTATATTATATAGAGAATTTCAACTATTGGTACACGCAGTTGTTATTGAAGAATTTGCTTGCATAAGTATTATAAGTAAGTGTTTATTATCTGTCTATCCTTATTTGTACAGCTCTCTATTTAGCGCTTCTCCCACCAACTACTAAATGCATGCATTTATACAAGCAATTAGTTAGCCTAGATGATGGAGATGACGTTGATTGTCATTGGTTTAGAGGTAGTTGATGACTAAGTATTATATACTTGGTATATTTTCTAGAATGGTGGCGCAGGCAGTTCTATAGATGTTAGTAATTTGTTGAGTCCGTTGAGGCATATTGCAATTGCAATTGAAAATGCAATTGCTGCAGCGTTACCCTATACACCTATCCTATCCCATCCATCCATCCATCCATCCATCCATCCATCTATATCCAACGCAGAGTGGTTGTCTATCTTTTAGTTACACTGCGCTTCACTGTCTCTCTGTCTGCGTCTCCGTCTCCGTCTGCGCTCAGCCTTCTTCCGTCTGACGTCGTCGTCGTCATCGTCGTCTACGGCGGGCACGACTGTCTGGGTCTGGCTGTCTGGCCTGAGTGGGTGACAGCGGGGGTGGAGGCGATGGCGGCGGAGGAGGAGGAGGTTATATTGGGCTGCAAAGTGAGAAACAATGGCGAAAATATGCGTTTGCTAAGCCTTGCATGAGTCACGTAAGTTCAGTTGCTCGCACACATATGAACATACTTATGTACACATACTGTGCCCATGCATAGATATGTGTGACAGACACACTCACACACACACACACACACACACATACTCATACTCTGGCATGATGGCTGGGCCGACAGGCAGGCCGTTAAACAGACAGCTGACAACACACGCAGACACGGCAGACTGGCAGACAGATGATACGTCTAACCTAAACAAGTCAATGTTGGAGGGTGGTCCCAGGTCTCCCCAAGAATGTGTGTGTGTGTGTGTGTGTGTGTGTGTGTGTGTGTGTGTGTGTGTGTGTGTGTGTGTGTGGTTGGGTGTATAGGTGCAAGAATTTGCAGGTGGGCTAGGGTAGTCAGTCTCACGCGGATTTCAGTCTCATGTATCAGCGGGTGCGAGTCGATTTCACATCGCATACTCGTCCGACTAGTCGTAGCCACCATAGTCGTGGTCGTGGTCGTAAACTTGTCTCAATGGTCACAAAATTGCACTTCTCGGTTCGGAACGCTCAAACTAACAGACGCTCAGACTAACGGACCAGCGGACTAACGGACTAGCGGACGAACAGACGCTTGGGTTTCAGGCCACTGTGCGTGCGTGTACCTATTTATATGGCCACTTGCGTCTCTCCCCGCGGACCACTTACGCGTGGAAGTGGAGTGCTGTCGTCTGAGTGTTTATTGCAGACTGTTGATGTGGTGAAGTACTTTCACTATTGTTCTGAGGTGTGAAACAAGAGCATCAGACAGTACAAACAATTAAAAATGCAAAAAGAGGAAAATAACGAAAGTACGCCCACTTACCCAACACAACACCTACAAGTACACACGGTGAACCACCAGCATGCACACACACAAGCACACCACACACAAACCACCCATCATCTCAGACCGAGAGTGGGACCGAGAGTGGGACCGAGAGTGGCACCGAGAGTGGGACTGGGACTGAGACCACCTACCAGCCGACTCTAATGGTGGGTAATGTGGAATACCCTGCGTATAGAAACATGCCTCCATTCTACACGCCTGCCAGCTGCCACCTGCCACCTGCGAGCTGCGACCCCCTCTGACTGCCACTCCACCTCTAACTAGAAGCCTCGAATTGGCGCCCTTACCGAGTAATGAAGTCGCTTGCATACTGCCTATGGGCTATGGTGGTGCGAGTAGTCTGCGTCTACGTCTGCGTCTACGTCTGCGTCTGCGTCTCCGTCTGCATGACCTGCCACAGTGCGTGCTTCTGGCCGTCGCGTCTAAGTGTGTCCTTTGTTGTTTGTGTACAGTTAAGGTGCGAAGCAATCAGTTGTTATCCAGCCCATCAAGCTACACAATCGGGTAATATTCACCCCACAGCTCGATTATCCACACGCTCGCAATCCACTCCAATTCCACAACATACAAGTACGACTATTACGATTTGATCGAATTTGTTGAAGAAACCCTTTGGATAACAGACAACACAAATACTACAAATTTATTTTGATCTCATTTTTATTCATACAAGTGGGTATCTTAGATAACTTAATTGGTTCTCTAGCAAAACAACCTTCAGGGCTTTTCATTTATTTTAATACTCGAATCAAGCACAACATCACGCAGATTTAAGATTCTTACGATTAATAAATAGCCACATGAAACATACTTATACATATACAGTGAAAGCGCCCTTAATGGACACCTCTTTATTCGGATACTCTCTTCGGCGGACACTTTTTCTAAAGCATCCGATCGATAAGCGGACACTCCCAAAAGAGTTTTCACTGTTTATTGATTAATTTGTTTGTGCCGATCACAAATATATACAAGTAGTATCTAATGCTAGTTATCTGAGAGACCTCCGGTTCGCTTCTTTTTTTAAACTACAAGTACACCCTACACGCTTTCGTTATCAAATGGCGGTTGGGTATCATAAAAAAAAGTTGTATCTTTCTAATTGTTAGGCCTGTTAACATAAGACATGGAAGACTATGAGCAATAAGAGTTATTTCATTTTCAGGAACACAATATCGCCAGCATCGCATTGTGGAGTTTTCTCCGCAGAAGGCGCGCGTTCCCAATCAGAAGCTTTCCATACGGAGTGCAGAAATCCACATTCGTATCGACAAGCAGTTCGACAAATGGTCTGGCGGGGATGGAGACGCCACATCTGTGGGGACTGATAGGCGGCAGTACGTGATGAACACGAAGCGAAGAAGTCGGGCGAATACACCCCGACAAAGAATCAAGATATGGGTTTTCCAGCTGACAGCAGGAATAAACATCACAGAAAAGGTAAAATTAGTATACATATGTGTAATGAATGGAATCCAAGATAATCTAATCCCTAATCTCTCCCATCCACATCGACAGGGCATCGACCAAGCGTTCCTATTTCGGGCCTCTTTCGAAGTGGACACGGACCATTTGGGCTGGCAGAAGTTCGATTTGACCGAAACAATACGCGATTGGTACGGGGATGCGAATGGCGAGAATCTTAGGTTGTTGATCGACTGTTCCGGATGTGGGAGCCAATACTCATTGCATCTGTTTGAGCTTGCGACGCAGAATGCGAAGCCCCGGCTGGAGGCGACAGCGACCCATGTTAATCCGAATCGGCCTTTTTTAGTGCTGCACACAGAATCGACGAGGCCGCGACGAGTCAGGCGCCGTGCTGTGGACTGCGGAGGCGCTCTCAGCGGTCAGTGCTGCAAGGAGTCCTTCTATGTATCGTTCAAGGCGCTGGGCTGGGACGATTGGATAATCGCGCCGAGGGGTTACTTTGCCAATTATTGCAGAGGCGAGTGTACCGGTCCGTTTCGAACGCCGGACACCTTTCAAACATTTCACGCTCACTTCATAGAAGAGTATCGGAAAATGGGTCTCTTGAATGGAATGAGGCCCTGCTGTGCTCCAGTCAAGTTCTCGAGCATGTCCCTAATCTACTACGGAGATGATGGCATTATCAAACGCGACTTACCAAAAATGGTCGTAGACGAATGCGGCTGTCCATAATGTGAGTATTTCGGATCCAACCTCCTCCCTACCGTTCCATCTAATTTAAATATCTTGGGGCTGCAAATCAGTTGAGTGCCAAAGTTTCCATAACAGAAGCACTCTTGCTTAAAATTTACATTCTGATTTCTTTGAGTACCATATTCCTGTTCAAATCCATAATCTTCACCAACCTTTCCGTTGTTATCTTTCATCTTTGAGAATCTGTGGAGAAAAACGGTTAAGCTAATGTTTTTGTATTTTTAAAAATTGGAACTCACCAAAGCGATAATACAAAGTTAATGATGGCGGTTTTAAGATGATCTCTCAATCAATTATTCCAGATTGAAATTTAAGTGTTTTGCAGCCTTAAAGTAAAAGTGAAGACTCGTAGACCCGATAACTAAACTACTTGTATGAATAATTCTTCTCTTTGTCTCTTTGCAGTGAGCATTCGTTTCTGGCTAAGCTCGCGACTTCCGTCCGTTTATGGTTATAGTCATAGCATAACACAGTTTATAGATACCCTATTCAAAACCTGCTGTACTAACGATTAGTCGGTTTGTTTGCTTTTGTATTTTTTTTTTCTTTTTTTTTTCAAGTCTGTCTGCCGGTTGTTTTGTAAAAATCTTTAATGGCACTAACAAAAAAATATCGAAATTGCGTTGCAGCATCAGTTATATATACAAGTATATATATATACAAATAATACTTATAATATAAATAGTGGTTAGCTGCACATTTTGGATAGGGTATGACGTATTCGGCATGCCGATAGTAACAATTTTTCTTGTTTAGATTAGTTTCAATTGGACTTTACAACGAAAAGCGGGCGATATAATGAATATATATACAAGTATATATATATATATTTATTATTATCTGAGTAATAATTACAAAAGTGCCTAAATTAGCGACAACAATTTAAAAATACATATAAACGAACGCGAAATTAAAAACAACAACAACGACAACAACAACAAAAGCAAAAAAAGAAAACAAAACCCAAAGTAAACAATAAATATAATATAAAAGATAAAGGAATCCATATGTTTAATACTAAGCCACACCTAGTTATGAAGCTGTGCTGTAGCGTAGCCAGAATGTCGGGATGGGTTAAAAATTCGATTTGCCATTTCCAAAGCGAACCACAATGGGTCCCAAGTATCCGTCCCGTCCTTCTGCCCTGAGACCAATCAGTTCATCCGAGTCTCACATAGCCTAGAAGCCTAGCCAGCTTGAAATACAATTTAGTAAAGGGAATTTCAAATACATACTACGAGTATATATACAAGTAGTTTAAAAGATTGTCGAACTCCCCAAATTTCAACATATAGTAATATACTTAGCATACGAGTGGAAGGGATTTGGAAGTGGCACCGAAGCCTCGGTGCACCGAAGCTAACAATTTTTAATGTTTTAATCAACTAGCTAGAATAAAGGTACCAAATTAAATTTCTTTCAGAGGCGATTTACGAGCAGTTATGTCCATTATAAGTAAAAACCCCGTACGATTAACTCACTCGGTCTGTGCCATGCATTTCAAAAAAGCAATTCCTTTCCTATTCTTCAGTTCGACCTATGCTAATTGATTTTTTATGTGCTAAACAATATTTAGGCTATGCATACAAGTATATGTGCTAAGAGGCATTCGAGTTTGTTTTTTTTTTGTAATTTTTTTTTCATTAACTTAATCCGTAGATGTCACGAAATTGAAGGATTATTGCTCGGTTTACGCGTTCGCATAAACTGTCTCTGCTGAATACCACACTGAATAGTCCCAGCCAATGCGAAGAACAGACACAGATTATACTATATTTAGTTATTCATTGATTCACTTACTTGATGACTGGTTGGTGTTGCTTGCTATTTTATGTGTGTGCCCACAGACGGCGTATAAGTACTTATATACTTATGTTCTTTACACATTTAAGGATTTCAACAAGGATCAAATTGATAATATTGTAATCAAACAAAAAAGTAACAACAACAGTTTCAGAACCAAAATACTTTAGAGTCTCCTTCCTAAAACCTATTACACAATACACAGTTTGTTAATTTGTTACTATCTAAGTAAAAATAAAACCATATTTTTAAACTAAAAAAAACACACACACAAGCAAGAACGTGTGCGCTTCTTGCCAACTTTCTATTTTAAAATATTATATGGAAATAGGATCACAATGCTCAGAAAATGGGTAAGTCTAATCGATCGAGAGGATCGACCAATTAGTGGATCCTGAATCGCCAATTTGACACTGAATTCTATTTCTGTTCCATATCCACAATGATTAGAAGATATCCAGCAAGAATTTATCGAAATGAGGAACGCACCCGACTTTCATTCCACATTGTCTAGCTTTTTGCTTAAGACGATTTATAAAATATATCAATACTTGATACAAAATTAGATGAATAATTATTGAAAACTATGCAATTTTTTCCAATTCTAACCATACATACAAGTATATATATTTATATACTTAAAATTTATTTATTCTACTATATTCTAAATTATATCGTAATTTTAGGACGTTTTATCGCAATTGAAAATCGACTGCGAGCGTTAACCGAATTGAACAATTTTGTAGCCCTTTGGTAAGGCCTTCTTTACGATAATTTGTAAATTGTATGTGTCCAATGGAAACGTTTAGAATGCTGCAGAAGTATTTTGGGGAGTCTACTCTATCAGGAACGCAAGTCTTAAAGTGTCGTCCATCCACCTTTGTTAACAACGCTAATATCGGAGAAGTAATCATTTCGCATTAGAGAGAGATAGCTGATGGATTGACTCAACAATGAAGATTCATACGCGCCAGATTTGGCTTTCTGTTTCCCAAACTTTAATGAGTTGATCTAGGCCGTAAGCAGTAGTTAGCTGAAGGAACTAAAGGCCGTCCCGCCCGAGCGCCGGACTAACATTTTGGCATTTCTGTTCTTTCTAATTTCGAATTTATTTATGTCTGTTATATCTTTTTAGAATTTAGTTTTTAAAATGTATGGTAACCGAAAAGTCCAATATAGAGTGAAATATGCATATTTTAATTATGATGATGACTTAAATGGTTTGGTGGGAAACGACAAGAAACTGTAAATGGAACGCGCTAAAGGACTAACTCCGCTAGGAATAGCGCTCCATCTCAATCGACATTTGTCAGAATACGGAAATCGAACTGAATATTAAAAATGTATTTATATTTTTATACTAAGCGGCCCTATTCTCATTGTTATAAACATACTATTCATACATACACATGTACAAGTATGTACAAGTAGATAGTATGTGCCTACATACAAGTATGGCTCCAGTGCTGATGACCGTCGGACGAACCTATCTATGTTCTTTGTGCGAGTATGTCTCAGAGTGTATTCGGGTTCAAATGTATCAATGGAAATCTATATGCTGCTTATCAGCAAACTCAACTCAACTCAACACAACAAAGCCTGCCCTGCCCCCTCCATCTAAAAAAGTTCGTTGAACTATTTGTATGCACTCTGATACCGATACCCCATTGAGCGTAGCCTACGTTTCCATTGCAGGTCCCTTGCCCGTGCCCGTGCCCGTGCCCCGTTCGCATTGGTCTCATAGGGTATGAACCTCTATTTATGGAAAATTTTATGGTCTCTGTGGCGCAATAGAAAGTACTCTTATGTCAGTGAAGACAAGTGCTGTACATTCTCCGATCTGATAAAGTTTGGAGTGATTACTTACTTGGGTCATACTGATTATTACACAGGCACTTTGAAGGTGTTGGTGTTGGTGTTGGTGTTGGTGTTAGTGCTCGTGTTGCTCTTGATGGGTCTTCAATATATGCATGCATATATGTATGTATGTAGCTCGACTAATTAGATAAGCGGATCTGAGAATTAGACCTCTGAGTTGAGCCTGCCCTTTGAACTTTGTATGCGATGCATCCATATAGCTCAGACACTAGCTCAGCAATCTTTCTAACACTTACTGCTGCTTCACACTATTCGAATCGTTAGCTAAAAAATAAGAACTATGTATGTGTAGGCATATATGTATGTACATATGTGTGTGTGTGTGTGTGTATGTGTTTGTGGGTATGCACGAACAAACACCCCACAGTGATTCCATTTAGGCATAAAAATAGAGAACGAATACGTGTATTGTGCGGAAGAGCACAATTCGGCTTTCTATGCTGGTGGCCCAAAATTTGAATATTTCGAGCTGAAGTGTGAGCGACCAGCTTGGTAAATATCTTGAGAAAGATAAAGATTGGCAAAAAGGATACTACCGGTATTCGTGCACACTACTCTATAAGCAAACATTCGTCGAACTGTAATTTTTTCTGTCAGGTACGAACCTCAAGTCATTTTTGCGCTTATCGAGCCGCGTTTTGCTTTCGAGCAACTTTTAATTATATGTATGTTTTTATGTATGTATGTATGTATGTATGTATATAGTAAACTTTCTTATCAAGCATTAACTGCAATTAATGTACACACACGCGCCCCAAACATACAAACACACTTGCCTGTGCCCTCAGCCTCATGCCTCATGCCTCATCAAAGTAATCAATGCAGAAGTAAGTCCAGCACCAGCACCAGCACCAGAAGCAGAAGCAGAATCAGAAACCGAAGCTCTGTATATGCATTTAATATAATCACACATTCACACAATCAAACATCGCACATACAATGTACATATACATACAAACGGAGAAAAGATTTTCAGATTCTAAGGCCTTGGATTCGCACAGCAACAACGAAACGCATTACTCTTGTACTATACCCTATACCCGATGGTTGAAAGGGTATACTGAAAGTCCGAATGCGTGCAACAGGCTGAAGGAGGCCCGTGCCAGAGATCCTATGTATACATATGCATATACTATATACTATATTGTATAACAGGTTGAATCAATTTAGACACGTCCCTCTGTACGAACATCGATTGATTATGGTTGGATATTGGTTTGTCTTTTGCATATATGGCCCCATTATTTGATATGCACAGATCATTTTTGGTGAAACAACGTAATTGCAACTACATACATTCAATAATTATCAGTTTTTCATATCGAAATAACGCTCTGAATGTACAAAAGTTTCATGAAATCGGAAGAGAAGGAAACGATCGGCCTTTAATGCTTATAAATTGTGAATACTCTGAAGTCTCGTCAACATCGTCGCCTTAGAAAACGATTGGATTTTTTCCCTTTATATCCAATGACGAATAAAATATTGATGAGGTGAGCAGATATAACCATGTCCGCTTGGAAAGTCCGATAAGGGACAAGCTTACGTATTTTTTTTTTTGACGTTGCACACCCACAATTTCCAGCGATCGAAAGAAGTTCCAGAAATAAATATAATATCTGTTTTCGTTCAAGTCCATGATGTACACGTAACATCGAGCGCATTCACCAGAGCACTATGATCACTGATCAGTCCCTGGCGAATTCAATGATCAATGATGCGATGATCATGATCACCAGATTTAATGATCACTAAAATGTATCACAAAAATACTACGATACACCAGCTTTGGTTTCTGCATTAATCGAAGCACTGCTGTTTACTTTATTTAAAACGAATATGTTGACGATATTGTCGAGATCAAACGATTCCAGTATAAATAAAAATATTGACAATACAAAATTACCGACTTAGTAGGTAATTTAAGCCTGAAAATAAGCTCCTTCGCTTCATCATTTCATAAAAATATTATTTACCATTCAAATGTAAATGTTTGTAGAAATGCGGTATTATTAGTGCTATTAAGATTTTAATTGTAAATGACAAAGAAGGTTTTTTTTTTTGAAAACCAAGAGGGATTTTAGTGAGGGGGGTCTCTAGTAATGTGTTTTTGTGTGTTTTATCTTGTTGGACTGCGCGATAGGAGACGGGTACAGGGTATACAAGAGTCGCACTTTATTCTATACTCTTTATTTGCCATTTCCAATAACAAAACTATTTACATAGTACCAAGCAATAGACCTTAGATTACAAAATTGTTTATATTGCAATTAATACAAATTATAACATTTTTCATAAACAAATAAGTACGTACATATGTATGTATGTATGTGTACGCCTTTGCGTAGAAAGATCGAGTAAATATGGGAATCCAAGGGTTTCTTCTTTCTTCCCCGCAATCTACATAGTACTATACGTATGTACATCCTACTTGTATATATGTATGTATGTGTATATGTACAGCTGTATGCCCATATAAGTGCATCTAAATATATGTATCTACATACATACTTGTATATACTTGTAAGTTGCTCCCTTTGTCCACACTTGTTTACACATTAGCGCATATATATGTACATACATACATACTCGCATGTACATAAGCACTATATGTACGTACATACGAGTATGTATGATTTTAATGCTAAAGAAGCCCCGTTCTTGTTTGGAATTTTTAATCAGTGGTTGTTACAATTTGTTTGCAAAAATTGCGAAGCCATAGTCTCTATGCCTCTCCGATTCGTGGTTTCATCAGTATTTTAATAGGAAGTATGGGACACGTGCATATATAAATGTGTACATATGTATATATATATATGTATGTCCATAGATAGATTCCAAGTGTTGAATTTAATTCATAAACCATGACAAACACTTTTTGTTTTTTTCGAATTATCAACCTTAAAATACGACAATTCAGCGACAATTTTTGGCAAATTTTAATGAAATCTGCTGACATATGACATGCATATGTACATACTTGTACATACAAATATATACATGTATGTATAGGTCCGGGACTAGTGTATTTATTAATTACATATTATGAAAGTTGCAGGAAAGAGCTATTAATAACACCAACACGATCAAAACGACCAAAGAAAGTTCAAGTACGCAGGCAAAGGCTGTCACTGGGATCCATAAATATGCAAATGCATGCACGCATATGTATGTAAATACGAGTATAGTAGTATATGGATTTAAATATAATTATTCACACATATGTACATACAAGTATATATATTATTTTGTATATACAATGCGCATACATGCAGAGGAGCTGGAGGTGCTGAGCTCGGGTCGAACACACCGATATGTCTTCTGATAATAGAAAGTATCACCCTCACCCTTCGATGTTCGCAGCCAGCTCGATGAGAGAGGAGAGCGTTCGAGAACAGTTAGAGTGCTATGTATGTACATATATATGTATGTACATACATACATATGTACGAGTACTAGCTAGGCTATTCCGAGCCCGGGAACAAACCACCCAGAGCGCCTCTGCTGGCAGGCTAGCTGGCTGGCTGGCTAGCTGGCTGACTGTCTAGCTGACAGGCTGACTGGCTGGTGACTGTGACAGCAGCAGCAGCAGCAGCAGCAGCAGCAACAACAACAACAACGACGACAGCGAATGCGGACGTTTACATACATACATATGTATGTATGTACAGATGTACATATGCACGTATGTACATATGGTTGAGCATGTGTCTGACAGCGCGAGGTATTTAAATTGTGAGTTTATGGAAAATGAGGCTTAATTCGAAGTCGGACGTCGCTGAATCCGTTTCGAGTGCAGTTCGGAATATTTTTTAGAGGCGAGAGTGCGTATTTCTATGAAATCAATTTCGTGAAAAGGAAACTCAGTGCAATTTTCGGTAACGAAGAGGTAAACCCGTCTTATCCTTCAAAAGTGCAATTGAAGCGAACGTGCCACAAACTCTATCGTGCAAAATAAAAAAATAATTAATATTGGAACAAATTGAGAAACATGCAAAAAATATACATACACTGGGAATAAGCAAACCTATTTTCAATATTGTTAATTTTTTTTTTCAATTTTGTTTGTTTTTTTATACATTTTTTTATGTGCCTTGAGCTTTTCAAGAGAATTGGTTTATACATAGATACCTATACATACACACATACCTATATACACATATAAATACTATATACATATTTCTTTAAAAAGCAAACATGCTTAACTCGCGTCCAATGATCGTTTCTCTTTCCATAGGGAAGACCGAGTAGGTCCGAGCCATGATGAGGACGATGAATCCTTGTCATGCATTGCGACTTTTAATTGGTGCAGTTTTCTGTTTCCTCCTCCTGGTGGGAAGCACAATTGCCGGTAAGTGATCATTTTTGTTATATACAAGTAGTATATATGTATGTACCATACATATATTAAGTTGTGGAAAATATTTGTTGCTTTTTATAAAGTTTAGATCGATCTGGAAAAAAAGACGAAACAAAATTCATTGTGCTTTGCAATAAAATATAATTTTTTTTAAATTTTTATTCTTATAATATACAAAATGTTTAATTTATTAAATACTTATAAGCAGCCATTTATTGTGTGCAAGAAATTTAGTATTCATACTTACTGCTTCCGTCTTTAGCTTATACTTGTACAAGTAAGTGATAAATTTCTAGAAAGCTTTTGCCGAAAACAAGAAGTCAACAAACACCCTGCTAATAGGTATTCTCAGTCAGTCTAATGAGACGTTATGAAATGTAATTGATTTAAAAATCTAAATTGATATTCTCACACGAGTGTAGTGGGTGGGAGAAGACCACAAAATCTTAAGACGCGGTATTGCTGGACCTTTAATTTGGTAATGCGCGACGCTTCCTGTTTATGCTTTCAATATACTATAGGACCAGCCTAACATACTTGTAGTGAGCAGGGCAACTTTATGGTACTTAAACCATTTATCTGATTTGTATTTATACAATGAAGCATTATTTTCATCAAAATGAGCGCTTGTCTGCCTTTTGATTGAAATGAATTGAGCTACTCGTACGCGTACCATATGCGTTGACAGCCAGTGGATGTTGTTTTTGAAGAAGTACCGGCATCGCTTCGACCCATGCACACATGTACAAGTATAGTACGCGTACGAATTAGTGTAACGCGTTGAAAGCTTAGGGCACTTCCCATACAATACAACTAGACAAACATGATGACAATCAAATAAAATACAAATATATACAAGTATATGCATATATGTATGTTTTCAAATGACTCGTTGCAGATGGCAGCTGCAGCAAAGGATGCCCCCAATGTAAGTGATCTTTTTATTTTGTACGCTCTTGATGAACACGTCCGTGACTTGAAGCTTTGTTCCACACTTTATAGCTGATAATGGCCTCTTGAAGTATACACCGGGTAATGTCTACGACTATGCATTCGACAGCATTCTAACGGTTGGCCTGAGCTCAGGCCTCGTGACTGAGGCGGACGACACCAGTCTCAAAGTGACGGGCTCGGCAAAGATCTTCGCCCAGGGCAACTGCGGCTACACGCTACAGCTGGGCGCCGTAAAGGTCAGCAACACCAAGGAGTCGGTGGAGAAGAAAATCCTCAGCAACATACAAAAGCCCGTGCACTTCACACTGGCCAGCGGCCAGGTTGAGCCACAAATCTGTACGGATGGCAGTGATTCAGCCTACTCGTTGAACATTAAGCGCGCCATCATCTCTCTGCTGCAGTCGAGCACCGCTGGGGAGAACGAGGTTGATGTTTTCGGCCAGTGCCCTACGCACACATCGACCTCTAAGGTGGGCAACGCCGAAGCCATTACCAAGGTGCGCAATCTGAACAAGTGCGCGCATCGCGAGCAAATAAACAGCGGTCTGGTCTCTGGAGTCGTAAACGAGAAGGCGGGCATTCGCTCCTCACTGCTGCTGCAGGCCGACTATACCAAGGAGTCGAAGATTGAGCGTGGCGTGGTGTCAAATGTGCACCTGGTGGAGCTGTACAAATTCACTGGCACCACCAAGGGCAACTCTGATGTTAGCGCCAAGGTTGTGACCAATCTTGTTCTGAAGTCTCCAGCTGGTTCGCCAGGTGCTGCTCCGGCTACTGGCTCGCAGACTGCCAGCATTATCTTCCAGAAACCCGAGACCTACACAGCGAAAAACATCAACGCCTTAAAGACAGCTCTATCGGAACTGGTGGACCTGACAAGCGATTACGTGAAGAAAGACAGTGCCAAGAAGTTTGTGGAGCTCATCCGCTTGCTGCGCAGTGCCGACACTGATACCCTCTTGGAGCTGGCTGGCTTTCCCCACCCAAACAAGGAACAGGCCCGTAAAGTCTACCTGGATGCACTTTTCCGCACCAACACCGCAGAGTCCGCGCGTGCAATACTGAAGCAAATTAACAAGCTGGACGATCGTGAAAAGGTTATTGCCATATTGTCATTGAATCTTGTTGAGACTGTTGATAAAGATACAGTAAGTCTTGCGGCCAACCAACTAACTCCCAACGCTCGCAAGGAACTTTATTTGGCTGTGGGTAGCCTGGTCTCCAAGTACTGCGCCCGCAATGGTTGCGAGCAAAGCGATATTGACGCGGTTGCCAAGAAGTTCGCCGATGGCCTGAAGGGTTGCAAAGCCAACACAAAGAAGGATGAGGAACGTATTGTGTACGTCCTGAAGGGTATTGGCAATGCCAAGCAGTCATCTGATAATGTGGTCAATGCTTTGGCTCAATGTTCTTCGCCTGGCCCCTCTACTCGCATACGCGTTGCCGCTTTGCAAGCCTCCTCGGCCATTGGATGCAATGCACAACTGCGTGCCAAGGCCCTGGAAGTACTAAAGAATCCCAACGAAGACTCTGAGCTGCGTATTGAAGCCTATTTGAGTGCAATTACTTGCCCGACTGCAGAAGTAGCCAATGAGATTGCAGAAGTTGTGAACAACGAGAAGGTATATCAAGTGGGTGGATTTATTGCATCTAGTTTGAAGGCCATTCGCGACTCAACGGACGCTACACGCGAAGAACAGCGTTATCACCTTGGAAACATCCGCGTGACCAAGCAGTTTCCCAGAGATTATAGACGCTACAGTTTCAACAATGAAGTTTCCTACAAATTGGATGCCTTGGGTCTGAGCGCTAGCTCTGATTACAAGCTGATTTACTCACAACAGGGCTTCTTGCCTAGATCTGCCCGCTTGAACGTGACAACCGAGATCTTTGGCACCAACTTCAATGTGTTCGAGGCCAGCATACGGCAGGAGAATCTTGAGAACGTACTGGAATACTATGTGGGACCCAAGGGTTTGCTGAACAAAGACTTTGATGAGATTGTCAAAATGATTGAAGTTGGTAATGCTGGCGTTGGAGGTCGTGCCAGACGTTCCATTGCAGATGATGCCGCCAAGGTTTCCAAGAAGTACAAGACTTATGGTAGCAAGAACACACACGACCTGAACTTAGATCTATCTCTGAAGCTCTTTGGCTCTGAGCTTGCCTTCCTCAGCTTGGGAGACAATGTGCCCAGCTCTCTGGACGACATTATCAAAACATTTTCCGAGGTCTTCGAAAAGGCTAAGAAGGAGCTGTCTTCATTTGAAAAGGAGTTCTCGTGGCATCATCTCTTCCTCGATACCGAGTTCGCCTATCCTACGGGTGTTGGTGTGCCCCTAGAGTTCTCAGCTCAGGGCTTCGTGGCAAACAAAGTTGACTTTGGTATTAATGTCGATGTAAATGCTATACTGGAGCAGGATTGGCAGCGTGCCACCTACCGTTTGAAGGCCGTACCCAGCGTTGATGTGAACGTGAATGTGCAACTCGGTTTCAATGCTCAGGTGCTGGCATCCGGACTGCGAGTTACCTCCACTGCTCATTCTGCCACGGGAAGCGACGTCAGCGTCGGCCTCATCAAGGGCGCCGAAGGCTTCAATGTCGATGTGCAACTGCCGCGTGAAAAACTTGAGTTGATTGATATTGAAATAGCAACGGAGTTTTATGTGGCCGAGCAGGGCAAGCCACTGAAATCGGTACCTCTGAAGACTGCCAAGAAGCAACAAAAGAGCAGTGGAAATGAGGCCTGTTTCACCCCATTGGAGGTTGTAGGCGTAAAGCTTTGCGCTATTAGCTCAACTGTTTCGGATCTGAGCAGCGGCAAAGTGTCTTCAGGCGATACCTTCAATTTGGCCCAGCCCTTCTCCGCTTCGGTATATGTGGTTACCGAACGTAAGTTCAACTTCAGAGGATCACATACAGTTCAGCAGGGTGTTAGCCAGCAATGGAAGCTAGACTTCAGCACGCCCGGCTCGAAAGTTTCGCATGATACCAGTCTGACTTTTGAGCTAGGTTCCAAGCCACGCACCTATGGTCGTCTTTCCCTCGACAATCCCCAATATCAATTTGCACTTGAAGCTGGCATCAACAACGATCAGCGGGAACTGGTTCTCTATGGTCAGTATGAGCAGGACAAGAACATCAGAAAGAGCAAGATTGGCTTCCTTAAAAATGGCAACGAGTACAAACCAGTCATTGAGGTGCAGGATCAGAATGGTGTGAGCAACAGCATTAATGGCTATCGAGCCGATGGCAAGGTAGTGGTACAGAAAACTGGCGATAAGCAGTCGCGCTTTAGCTTCGAAAACTTCCAAGTGACGGGTCCCTCCAATGAACGCGTCGTAGTCAATGGTTGGGCCGATGTGGGCCAAGCATCACTGAACTCTGAACTTCGCATTGCTCCCGGTCAGGAGTCCTATTTCGTGAAAGGCAACTTCAAGCTCGAGGGTGGTCAATATGCTGCTGGTCTCTTTATCAACGATGAGCGTCAGCCCGACAATGTGTATGGAGGTTCAGCTCAACTTTCGGTTGCTGATCAAGCCTACGCTTTGAAGGTGACTGGCAAAGCAGTGGCCTGGACTTTGGATAGCGCAACAGATCTACAGTACTCCAAGCCTGAAGGCTCAAGCAGCGTGAGGTCCAGCACTTTCTCACAGGAGCTGTCGGTGAAGAATAAGAACAAGCCAGTTGGTGCAGTCAAGGTAAAGGCATCTAGCGATGTAAACAAATTCCAGCTAGAAGCAGAAGCTTCTCGTGAACAGAAGGTCGCATCTTTAAATGTCAAATATGAAAGCAATCAGCGCTCGGTGCATGACTATGCTTTGGAGGCCAATGCCAAACTAAATAAGCATTTCATCGATGTCCTAGCCAAGTGCGATGTGAATGGAAATCTTTATGTAATTGATAATGTTGTAAAGACTAGCTGGGGTACTTCATTGACTGCCAAGGGTGAATTAGGCCAACGATACACGCCTCAGGATGTACACATAAATCTGCAGGGCAGCGCTCAGCTCAGCAACAAGGATAAGCCAACACAATGGATACTCAAAGTCATTGGAACCCCTGAGAAAACAAACAGTGAACTGCGCGTCAGTCGCGACAATGCCGAGCTCGTCAAGTTCACCGGAGAGTCGCAACACCCACAAGACAAAGTCTCAGCTGCTAAGGTGAACTTGATCGTCAAGAATTTGTTAACGGCCAAAGGCGACTTCAAGTTGGCCAAAAATGGCAAAGGTGATCTGACTGCCACCATTGAAACCCAAAAGACTGAACCCAAACATAAGGTTGATATTGACACGAAATTCCATATACAAGCGCCCAAATACGACATTGAGACAAGCATTACGCTCGACAGCGACAAAAAAATCCACCTGAAATCCGAAAACAACATTGATAAGCTGAAATTCTCCACAAAGAATGTGCTTACGGCTCTGGACAAGAAAGTCTCCTTCGATGCTAGCGGCAGCGTGAAAGGCGAGTTGCGCACCAATGGCGAAATTCAGGGTAACTTTGCACTAACCGCCCCCGATGGACGCGTTGTAGATGGCAGTATTAACCGCAAGACGAGCGCAAATGCCAAGACTGGCATTTCTCAGAGCAACATAGATCTGCAAGTCAACGATCAAGATCCCACCAATGGCAAGAAGCGTTCAATAGTGCTTAAGAGCAAGCTGGATGTTGCAAAGAACAAAGATATATCTGCTAACAATCAGCTGACGTATACCGATTTTGATGGTCAGGAAACTGAGGTGAAAAGCCACATCAAGACTGTGAAAAATGGTCCCAAATCGACTCTTGATGCAGGCGTGTCTGCACGCAGCAATCTCCTCTCCCAACCCATCGACATCTCCGTTGTGCTTGAGGAATACCCTGATCAAGGTGAATCGGTAGGCCGTGTTTCGGGAAAATATGGCAATCGCGTAACAACCAATGTCAATGGCAAATATAACTTGGGCGACTCCAGCACGCCCGCCACCTTTGAGATTCAGGGAAATTTGCAAGTGCCTGAGACCGGCATCAAGTCGTTGCAGTTAAGCGCAAATGGCAAGTTCCTGAAACCCGCTGTAGAAATTGGTAATGGTGCCTATGTTTTGGAACTGTTCGTCGATGGTAAAACGGGCAGTGGCCAGTTTGTTCGCCTTAACACTGACTGGAAGGGCTCAAATCAGGAGGGCAGCTACAAATTAGAAGCACAAACCAATAACATGGAAGCCCCTCTGAAATTTGATGGCTCATACCAGCGTGAACAGGCGGGCAGTCTGAGGGAAGGCGATATCAATGGCAAACAGAAGTTTGCTTTTAATATAAACTACGCAGACAAGTACTTGAAATCCAGTGCTGATCTGAGCTATGCTGCTGCTGAAACAGCCACACTACGCTTGAACCTGGACACAAGTGTGGAGGGCGTCAAGAACATCGAGGTTAATTTGCGCAGTCACAAGGCAGTTGAGGACACGTACGTTATCGCTGCACAGGCCAAGCAGGATGGAAAATCCTATGCTCTAGACACTAAGCTCTATCGCTCCTCACACAAGAAGGGCTTTGATATTAGTGTAACGTTGCCTCAAGGCCAGCCCATAGTGTTGGTGGCCATTGTAGAAATTTTGGGTGAGCGCAAGGCCAAGTTTGCATTGGACATTCAAAATCTGATTGATCTGGATTTAAAAATCAACACGGAATCCGCCTACAATAATATCGATGACTTCTACATTACGAACCAATGGACCTCGAAGAAACTGAAACTAGACAACTATGATCTGGATGTGCGCGGCCAGGGCAAGGCCATCACTGCACAGCTTAAGAATGCTCAGGGACAAGTATTTTCGGGTACAGCCACGTACACGCTAAAGAAGGAGAAAAATAAGTCCATCATTGAGGGCCAGGGCCAGGTGCAATATCAGGGCAAGTCACACAGCGGTAACTTCAAGCTGACACACCAACTCTACGAGCTGGCGACCGAAAAGGAAGTTGGCTTCTCCTACACCGTCAATGGTAACTTTGGACCTAAAAATGGAGTTTCCACGCTGAAGATAACAAACAAGGAGTTTAACACGAAGCTTTCCGTCTGCGAGGAGAAGAAGCAATGCACCAATGTTCAGGTACAATCCATCATCACAGCCGACGAACAAAAACTGGACTCTGTACAGCATGCAGTGATCGTTCTAGTGGATCTGCGCGAGCTGGGCTACCCCTACGAATTCGAACTAAAATCCAAGACGACACGTCAAGGCTTCAAATACCAATACAATCTCGATAGCGCCATTGTGTCCGGCAATAACAAGAAGTACCAGCTGACAGCTAATGTGGTTCCCACCTCATTAATTGTAACGCTCGTGCTGCCCAGCAGGGAGGTTGTTTTCGAAACCACCCAGCAGATACCCACGGATAACAAGGTCTTTGGCCATTATGAGCTATCGGCTGCATTCTACATTGACAAGGCGAACCGTCCAAATGATGTAGCTCGCGTTGTGGCTGCCGTGGACGTTGGTGGTGTGGAACGCATTGCCGTCAATGCCAAGGGTCAAGTGAAGCTGGAACATCCAACCATTCGTCCACTCGTCATCTCGGGTAGCCTCGGTGCGAATCGCGAACAGCGTTTCGTCAACACTGAAGTAACCATTGACATCTTCCGCACCCCCGATCAAAAGATCATTGCCTCCAGTGAATTGCGTGATACTCAAGGACAAAATGGCTTTAACATCACCTCGCGTCAGCAGCTTCGCTCCACTGGTCTGCAATTACAGTACGAGCTGAACGCTCATTCTGCCTTTAATACTAAGACCACCGAATTCAGCAGTGGTGCCGAGCTGCAAAGCGCCACCAGCGAACTAAAAGTTGGTGCCTTCGTCATCGCCAACAAGGAACGCTTGGAGGTCTTAGTCAACGCCCTGGACGAACAGATTCTGCATATTGCCGGCAACTTCAATACTCAGAAGAGCATTGTTAAGCTCAACACTAAGCTGCAAGCATTTGGACAAAAGCCTGTGGAAATCACTTCTGAGGTGCACCCAACACTAGCCAAGATCACTGTTAAGCGTCAGGGTCTTGTTGATGCCAATGCTGAGGTCAAACTTGGCAAGGAATTCAAGTTCGATATTGTCGGCAGCGGTAAGCCATTGTTTAATGGACGTGTTGCTCTCGATGCAGCTAATTTCCTGCAGACCACCTACAAATCGAATGACCAGGATGTCGACGGTTTCCTGGTAGGAATTACTTATAATTAATATATTTTTAAATGGCAGATGAGTTACAGTTTTTTTTGAATTGCAGAAATCTGCGGAGGCTGAAATCAAACAAGAGACTGAAGTCGTTACGCAGAAGATTAAGCAGCGTTTCGAAAAACTGCGTCAGCGAGTTGAAGAGCAAGTTAAATTGGCCAAGGAGAGTACCCCAGACTTCCAGAGGCTGAAGGACAGCTATAACTCCAATGCCAAGGCAATTGTCAAGGAACTGGAAAGCGACCCATCATTGGCGCCCATTATTAATGCCATGTAAGAATTTTTAAAATAATTTCTTAATTATTTATTATAAATTATCATCTAAGCGCTCCAGTGCTCTATATTTTTGTAGAAATCATATATGTAGTTTGAGGCTATTAAGTGTGTTATATTTATGTACATCTTTCAATTGAATTCCAGCCAAAATTGGTACGAGAAGATTGAAAAAATCATCGACCAAATTACCAAGACTTCATCGGCAACGTTCGAAAAATTACAGAAGACTGTCGTTGAGCTGTACGAACAGGCGCAAACCGTTTGGAGAGACTCATTGCTTAAGACATGGGAAGAGATTGTAGTTGCTGCGACCAAGCTGGTTGGACAGGCCCGCATCGAAATTGTAAATGCATACACGAAAGCCTTACAACAAATTTTGGAAGTTCTCGAGAAATACGGCCCGGAACTAAAGAATTATGGCAAAGCGATTAAAGAAGCCATCAAACCACTGAGTGAAGCGGCCCAAGAACTATTCAAGGTTACAATATCTGCCACCGAAGAGTTGATTCAGGATCTCAAAGAATATCTGGAGAAACTGCCCACATTCGATGCCATTCGTGATGAGGTAGCAGACAAGCTGCAGAAGCTCCAACTGGTAGAGAAGACGCTGATTTTCCTCAACAATGTCTTCGATCAACTGCAAATTCTGCCACAGACACCTGAAACCACCGAATTACTGCAGAAGGTACATGAGTATTTGGAAAACAAACTGAAGCGACAGCCCGTCAACGATGAACAAGTGCTCGAAGAGCTGGCTAATCTGCTGCTCAAGGCACTGCGCTCCATTTGGGCAGCCATTGAGACTAATGCACCAGCCGGCGTCCCCGGCGCAGCCAGTGGTGATCTGCAGGCCTGGTTCGGCTCGCTACCCAGCACTGCGGATACACTCATCAAGTTGCCCTCACTATTATCCTTCCGCGCTAGTGTCATTAACTTCCTGCTTAACGAGAACTGGGACAACGTCTTCAGCAAGAATCTGTTCCAATCGTGGGTCTTCTTCCAGGACTTTGAACTGCGCGGTCACATTGTCGATGGCCAACACATCTTCACATTCGATGGCCAGCACTATGCCTATCCAGGCAATTGCAAATTGATTTTGGCGCAGGACAGTGTTGATAACAACTTTACTGTCGTCGCTCAACTGAACAATGGAAAACTGAAGGCAATCACCCTGGCCGATCGTGATGGCAACTTCGTCGAGGTTGCCGATAATGTCGCTCTGAAGGTAAATGGCAAACCTGTGGAATATCCACAGAACTTGCCTGGAATTCACGCTTGGCGTCGCTTCTACACGGTCCATTTGCATTCGGAATATGGAGCAACCGTTATGTGCACCACAGATCTTAAGGTCTGTCACATCCATGTCAATGGTTTCTACACAAGCAAGACCCGAGGTCTGCTGGGCAATGGCAATGCAGAGCCCTATGATGAATATCTGCTCATTGACGGCACTCTGGCCACTGATTCTGCTGCTCTTGGCAATGATTATGGTCTGGGCAAGTGCCCTCCTGTTGCATTCGATATTGGACAGGTTGATAGTCCAGTACGCGCTGATATTTGCAGTAAAATCTTTGGTATTGAGTCACCATTGTCGCTAAGCTTCTTGGCCTTGGACTCAAAACCGTATCGCAAGGCCTGTGACATTGCTGTACAAAAGGTTGCCGAGAAGGACAAGGAAGCTGTCGCCTGTACCTTTGCTTTGGCCTATGGATCTGCTCTGAGATTCCAAAATAAGTGGGTCGTGCTGCCAACTGCCTGCCTGAAATGCGCCGGTCCCGCTGGTCAACGTGAGCTCAATGAGGAATTCACCGTTAAGATACCGACCAACAAAGCCGATATCGTATTTGTCGTCGATGTGAACGTCAAACCTGTAGTGTTAGCCAATCTCATTGCCCCAGCCATAACTGAAATACGTGAATCGCTCAAGTCCCGTGGCTTCTCCGATGTCCAAGTCGGTGTTGTTGTCTTCGATGAAACAAAACGCTACCCCGCTCTCCTCACCAGTGACAATGGAAAAATCAACTACAAAGGCAATGTAGCCAATGTGCAGTTGAATGGACCGAAGAACTTCTGCGACAACTGCGTTGAACAAATCATAACTGAGAAGCGCATTCTAGAGCTCTATAATGCTCTGGAGCGTTTGATTAAGAATGTTGTGCCACAGGCCGATGAGAAGGCGTTCCAATTGGCTTTAGACTACCCATTCCGTGCTGGCGCGGCCAAGAGCATCATTGGAGTGCGCAGCGACTCGCTCGAGTACAACAATTGGGTAAGTTGGGGCCGAAAGCGTTCACACATCGTTCAAAAATTTTAAACATTGTATTCCAAATTGCAGTGGAAATTCGTACGTGCCCAAATTATAGGAACTGTGACTAAATTCGACGGCGCTTTGCTGCATCTGATTGCACCAGTAAAAGGATTCTCCTTGGAGGGTGTACAAGCCGAAAAATTAGTTGGTAAGTAGTCAGTTATAATCAGTAATACGTCGACATGAGTCCTAACTAACATTTACATGCAATATTCAAGGTTTTAACTCGCGTCTGGTGGCCACAGTCGATGGCAAGGATAACAAGAAGCGCGCGAAACTGCAGTTCGATAATGATATGGGCATTGACTTTGTACTAAACAACGGCGGCTGGGTGTTTGCCACACAGAACTTTGAAAAATTGAAGGCCCCAGAGCAAAAGAAGGTTCTCAACCAGGTCACAACCTCCATTGCTGATACACTTCTCAAGACCGAAATAGTTAGCGATTGCCGCTGCCTGCCCGTCAATGGTCTTCATGGCCAACACAAGTGCGCCATTAAATCCTCGAGCTTTGTGCCCAACAAGAAGCCGAAGGCAGCGTAAAACCTTTGTCCGGTTCTAACTTTTGGAACACAATCTAATTTTTGATATGCAAAATGTTGTAATGCTTAGATTGTAAAACAATACATAAATAAAATTAAAAATATAAATTATAATAATAGCTTAAATTGTATTATTGAAGATACGCGATTATAATTGTCGACTCATATAAAAAAGCATATAAATCTTAAATCTATACAAGTATATAAACATATGCACATATGTATATGTAGGTCTTAAATCTATGTATATACATATGTACATACATATGTATGCCTTAAATCTATATATGTAGATACATATGTATGCATGTAGTATGTATATAGTATAAATCTGAAATCTATATATGTATGTACATATGGATGTACTTGTATATACAAATCTCAGTGTTTGTCCGCAATTGGCTCCGAAATTACTGAACCATCTTAATACATATTTTCCCCTTTTCCCATATTTGTTCCAACTTAGTACTTAGAATGAAAGGTTTTATCACAATTAATAGCCTATGTACATATGTATGTATGTATGTGTATGTATGTATGTATATATTTTTGTTGGTTTCGTTCAATAGCAGAATGAGCTTATTTTGCTTGAGTTGCCCGACTCATGAAATGCGAAAAACAAGAAAATTCATTAAATGTGATCTGCACCGAATAGAGTCACCGTCATTTATAGCTTCCGGAATGTAATTGGACACGCAGAAATAAATCAGATTCGCTCTCAACACGAAAGATGGCCTGCTGAGCCACAACAACGCGTGCCTGCACTGCCTGAGCCACCTTGTATATAAATATGCGTGCGGGTGCATACATATGATGCAGCCCTGGTTTCGCATTTTTAAATTTTGGACTTCCCCTGGCATTCGTAAACAGTATACGCAAATACATACATACATATAATGCTTAACAAGAGAGGATGCTACACCCGAGCAAGCCCGACAATGAAATACTCTGAGTAACATATGTACATTAATCAGCCTACAACAGAAGCAAAAAGAGAGAACCCCTGCAGTAGTTTGTGTACGTAGAATTGGCCCATTTGGATGTAGTAGAGAATTATATGTACATATATTGATTGCGTGTGCAAAGTTTGGTTTATACATATGTACATATTTTATGGGTGAGATGGTGAGATGCTTCTTTTTTCCTGATACTTTGCTCAAGCCCTATAACCTTTTTACATTTCGGATACAGGGTATAAAATTCAAAGGGCACTCATCTTTTATTCGAAAACTACACGGTACTTAAACGAGAATGCACTGCTAGACAAGTGGGCAAAGCTAGTAGTATACTAACATATTTACTTCTGATATCAGCATACTTTCCCATAATTCACTTATTATATATGTATGCATATGCATATAATTTATCGCTGCTTTGGAATCATCCAGCTATACATCCAGCGGGTGTTTCTATTCAAATACGAGTCCCAGGACTCACGACGATTTTGTAATTGTTTTGTTTTCTTCCAAATTGAACACAACTCTTTGAACTTTGCCACGCATTCGTCTTAGCTCAATCTGCTGGTTCAAATGACTGACCAAAGAGAATAGAGAAGCCAGCGCGGTTCCAAATAGTCCCAGCATCTTTAAAAAGCAATTTAAAAATTTCAATGGACCATTTCTTTTTCATGTGAGTTTGCTATGGCCATGGAAAATTCTCTAAAAAGGTTTTTCTCTTGTAAGTCAGCTGATGCATATTTTTCCTGAAGGCACTTAGCTTCCTCGCAATACGAAAAAAGGGCAACATCAAAATTATTTGCAACAGGTATATATACATGGTTGTACGTGTATGTGCATATTTAAATACCTTAAGCTCGTCTCACACCAGTTCTAGATATTTGCCAGAACTACGATTATACTTCATTTCACTGTAAGTCTCATACTGCTTTTGTCGTACGACTTCAAGGCTTGCCATAATTTCCCGCTTCGTGTCGCCCATAGCATGAAGCTGATTCTGTTAAACAAAGATACATACATACATATGTATGTATGTACTACATAGCAAAAACGGGTCTGCGTAAAATTCGCACCTTGATGTCCAAAACAGTGGCGTGAGTTTACCGAAGCTCATCCATATGGGAAATTTCCTCCATGTATTCAAAAACCCTTCTTACAAGTCTTTTAATGCCATTTCCAATAACGCTCTTGGTAATGTACCGACCCGTATTCATCATTTACATATATTTCTTCATATAAAAAAGCGTTAACGAAAGCGTTTTACACCGGCTTCGGTATTATTATGATTTTTCTTTTGGCTACTTCCATATGTTTTACACAGTGCTGCTATTTTGGAAGAGTTCGCACCATTGATATCGGCTTTCGTATGATATCGATATGCCATTATTTTTTGTATCGAAGAGTCAGGCCACATCCCTGGCATGGAGGAGGCCGAACACCTTCGCTGTTTTCGCGTTGTTTTCGTATTGTAAAACGAAGTTTGGTAAATGATTAATGAAAACATATAAGTACAACAATAATTCCATCGTCTATTTTCCATATAATATCAGAAGCGAGTATTGGTATTTAATATCAGAACTCCGAATGGACTTCAGTAAAAATCAATACTGAGCCTACCAAGATGGATTCCCTGGAGGAGCAATTGAGGCAGCTAACAATATTAAACAGTAGACCACTGCCTCCCAAACGACCTGAAGATGACTACGTTCGAACGGGGAAGGTAGCAGCCTTGGTCGATAACTTGCAAAAATCAAACGCCGCCACCGCCCAACGCAGGATTGCGCCCTCTGTGCCACCAAAACCGTTCAAAAAACAGAACGACACGCCCCAGGTACGTTCAGATATACACATGCATACATATGTACGAGTATATGTCGTTATTGCAATGTATGTATAATATTGTCACATTTTAGGTGCCGCAGAGCAAATTGGTTACCGATACCCGAGAACCGCTTTATTCTCGGCCTTTGCAGGGTTTGGATCTCAATGGTATTAAAGAAAGTGTCAGCGGAGGTGGAGGTAGCAGTGGCACCGGATCTATGCTATTACGCAAACAGCCTATTTATGTAAGCCAAGGCATCGATAAGGCAAACAGCAGTAAATCAACATTGGATAATCCTGCGGTATTAGAGCAACAACTAGAGGCTTTGGCATATCATAAGATGCAGATGGAAAAAAAGGGATTGCTGGGTTCCCAGGCGCCACCGACAAAGACTATAACAACCATTCCAAAACTATCGTCAACATCTTTAAGTGGCAGTAGCAGCACCCAGCCAGCTGTTATTTACAGCAATCTTCGCACATCCGAAAACTCTATGAAAATGGAAGATCCGAAAAATATATATTCCTATATGCCTACTCTGCCAGAAGAAAGTGCTAGTACTGTATATTCAAATGTACAGCAAAGAGGTTGGTAGCGAGTACGAGTGGTAAAAGAAGTAATAATTTAATTGTTTTCGGATAATGTATGTTTTAGATCCAAATTTGGTGGACCCATTAGCAAGGTTCCTATCCATATCTACTCACTCGGACAACTATGGATGCAGTAAGGAAACAGATGAGGAATTGCCACCGCCCAGCCCTGTTAGTTCATCCTATAGTGAATTGCGCCGTGCAACAGATGTATTCGATAAAGGGACCAACTTGGATGATAATTCTGGCAACAAGATGCCTGCCGAAGTTTTGCCTGGAAATATAAAACTTGGCCATAAGAATTATGCCCATCAATACACTTCGTACAGCCCAACACAGCAAGTAATGCATAAGAGGCTTGTAGAAAGGTTGTCCCTGCTTATTAATCCAATCTTTTGTATTTACAGTGTCATTTAAATAAGGCAAATATGGATTACTATGGGTATGGCGGATTGTCACAGGTATATCAAACATTTTTTTTAACAACTCTTTATTTGGAGAAAATTGTACGAATATTGCCAATTTTGAAGAAGCTTTTCTATAATTACAATTAAGGTTTAAATTAATTGAATTTGTGGCTTATTGACCAAGACAAGTCAATATAGGAATGCTCTCCTGTTTAAAATTTGCAATGGTTGACTCGACTCTTCACTTCTGTTTTGATTAGTTATCAAACTTACTTACTTAAATCTTTTGCTTTACAGAGCTCGTCAACATATGATTCCATATACGAACCCATTAATCCACGCCCACCAAGTGAGTTGAGTTCACGTTCCAACTACAATATGTATGCCTCATATGTAAACGGAAGTAGCTCAAACAGCGCCAGTATCTCCATGATGGGCAATATAAATACAAGCGGCACAAATACTCCCATGTATTGCAGTGGCGGAGCTCTCAGTGAAGTCGACCAAGAGCACCAAAGCTACCAGAAAAGGGATGAAAACGAGGACCTGAGCAACTATCTATCGAACTCAATGGATCCCATAAATGAGGTCGAAAATTATGGCCGTTGCTTTAAGTGCAGTGAACGGGTTTTGGGTGAAAACAGTGGCTGCACAGCTATGGATCAGATATATCACATCTCTTGTTTCACGTGCTCTGAGTGCCAAATAAACCTCCAGGGCAAACCGTTTTATGCCCTCGAAGGGAAGCCCTATTGCGAGTATGACTATTTGCAAACTCTTGAAAAGTGCTCAGTGTGCTTGAAGCCAATATTAGAAAGGATTTTACGGGCGACAGGAAAACCGTATCATCCCCAATGCTTCACTTGCGTCGTTTGTGGCAACAGCTTGGATGGTATACCGTTCACAGTAGATGCCACAAATCAAAATTATTGCATCACTGATTTTCACAAGTAAGTTGAATAGTGAGTTTTAAAAAAATGACAAAACCCATGTATTTATATCTAATTATCAATAGAAAATTTGCGCCAAGATGTTGCGTTTGTAGGGAACCCATAATGCCGGAGCCTGGGCAAGAAGAAACCGTTCGAGTTGTAGCTCTGGATCGAAGTTTTCACTTAGAGTGTTATAAATGCGAGGTAATCATTTAATAAACTACAAAATATTTAATTTCAGGGATTCAAAAGAACTGCAGCTGGATTAGAGTAAAACTGTAATTTTCATCTCAACAATATGATTAAGGTCTAATGAAATTTCTCGGTTTTTTTTTCAAACCAAAGGACTGTGGACTTCTATTATCCTCAGAGGCCGATGGTCGTGGCTGCTATCCTCTAGATGATCATGTTTTATGCAAAAGCTGCAATGCCCAGCGTGTTCAAGTTTTAACTAATCGGATGACCTCAGAACTTTAAATTAGTAATGATACATAAAAAGACAACGAAGGAATCTGGTAAATCTGGCTAATATTATAAAAGGCTGTATCATGGTTACATTCGAAGCACATACTCAAAATGTTCATGCAACATTAACATTAAATTAATCAAACAAAGTAGTTCATTCCATATTTATAAACGCAATAACATAATCTCAAAACAGTAATCACATAAATAAAAGCATCAAAATAACTTATGATAAAGGGAAAGTATGTGTTTTATTTAATACATGTATGGAGCTATCAGAGATAACCAAGGACTTAACTTATATGATGATATAATGTTATGGTACGACGATTTATATATGTATATCAGAGCTGTTAAAAATTCGAAAATGTTCAAATATGAAAACACTAATTTGTAAAAGTATGGGTGAGCGAACAGCTTTTGTTTTCCATCATATTAATCATAGGAAAAACCGATGACGATGTATCTAACCATCGATATTAACATTTTCTGGAATCGATTAATGAGGACTTTTTATAAATACCACTGATTTTCCAAGAACATTCGGCTATTAGATATTTCTCATCCGACTATCGAAATTTAATAAAGTATATATTTCGATTTTGTTTTCGTACGAACGTTCCTGTCTCTTCCACGCCCGGTAAAGCAAAAGCTTTAGGCCGGTCATGCGTGCATCATCATGTTACAACGACATGGAGTATACGCCAAAAAGTATGCAACTCCGGTGCTCTTTTTGCGCAAATACGTCACAAACTCCTAAACTCCAAACTTTGCATTTTTCATAGGAAATTAAACATTCTTTGCCTATTGTCGCTTTTTTTAATTTACACAAAAAAAAACGAAAAATGAGCTCCTGCCACCTGCTCAATAATGAAAAAGCTTAAAATAATTGTGACGCCATAAACGAATTGCTTTCTCGAGTGTCTTGAGCAGACACTGCGAAAGACCTGCGCAATGGTTATAACCATCCTCCTTCTACTTTCTGATTTGGAGCATGGTGCAACATGCGGAGCGCTTTTTTGCTCTCTGGCGCCAACGCTCACCACTCAGCCAGAGAGCCAAAGTTCACGGCATACGGCCTGGGATACACAGAAGCGTATAGATATGCATACCTATAAGATACACATACGCGCTGACATATTCCTCCTGGTTAGGCATCAAAAGTAGAGCGTGCAGCGGGCCGTCAGTGTTGAATTCGCTTTGCAAACTAACGGACGCTCTAATGTACAATATAATTTACGTCGCGTGTCGCTGAACGCCAGATAGTCACTAGAATCGTCAAAGGAACTGGCGCTGACAGAGCTCGTGCGTACCAGTGCTTGCATATACACATACATACCTACAGACATACAGACACATACCAATGGACATACCGACGCACATAAATATACATAATGAAATGTACATACATACATACATATATGTATGTACATACATTAATATGTAGATGTATAAGCTAATATGTGTATATGTATGTATGAATTTGCATATGCAGATGAACTAACAAACGGACGGACATTCAGATAGACAGATAGACAGACATTCGTATTTATAACCAACTAAATATATGAACATTATATTAACATACATACATACATATGTATTTATGTATTTACTGTCCTCTGGCTCTCGGCATCGGCACAGATATAAAAATATACACGCACGCATACATATGTATATTTGCTGCATTTGTGTGCGTCTGTGTGAGCGTGTTGCGCGCCAGTGTGTGTGTGATATTATATATCTGCCATATCTGAATATATATGTGTGTTTTGTGTGTGCTTGTTTCTGTGTGTGAGTATGAACAAATGAAAGACACAGTACCGTTGAAAAAATACGAATGTAAATGTGTATATCGACGATTTTTAGTCTCCGCCGATGCCAATGCCAAAAGCACGGCCAAAATCCAAAGCACATTTTATCTTTATACGGCAACAGCCTCCAAAGGACATTGTTATAATATAGCTGTCGACTTTAGCAGGCGATTAAAACACTTGCCAAGTCGCTAACCACGACGTGAAGGCGAAACAACCTCCACGTCGACACCTGGACATGTTTACTGCAGGTCCGTTGACTACTGCGATGGAGACGACGACGTTCGATATTCTTTTTGTATATGCATACATACATATAAACACACATTCTAACATGCGCACATACGTCTGCATATAATATATATATATACATATATATATATATGTATATAATATACATACATATATATATATATATATATGCACATATATATCTATTTTTTTATAATATGGTTAATTTAAATTCAAATAGAAATAATATATTTGCACTCTTGTTTTAAATATCATTCAAATACGTAAAATCAATTTTCAGTTTGTCGAGGTGTCCAATTAAAAAAAATCGAATAGTTGTGAAAATGTAATAAAATACGTGCATAAGTATGTATGTATGTATGTAGGCACGAGTATGTATGTGAATAACAGAGTAAAGTGTACAGTGAATTACAAACATAATGCTAACTTTTCGGGCAGCACGATATTGATGGTTAAAGTGATTCCCTTTTATTTGTATTTCATAACAATAGTTACTCCCCTATGTTAAAGCCGTTGAAAGTTCTTTATACACACACGTATGTACATATGTATGTACATGTATCTAAATGAAGACGTATGCATGTATGTATGTATGTATACATATATCATATAGATTTGTGCCAGGTACAATGTAATTTAAAAGGCTGAAAAAGCAACCTGAAAATGGACGCAAGTCACAAAACCTTACAATAACAGACAGTGATGGTTGCCCACCTTCGCCCACGCACCCGCTTACAAATGTACATACATATGTACGTCTGTATGCATGTATGTATGTCCACACAGCAACTTTAACGTGTACTACATATGTACATATATGCATACAAACATACATATGCACATGTCAGTTAACGGTTTCGAACCACACAAGTTTGAAAACCTGAACCGTAAAAACAGACAAGCTTGATGTGAGACCCATTCGTATGTAATAATTTTTGTTAGCCCTGTAAAAGGTTTTTCGCAGCAGAATTTTGTCCACAAAAATTTACAGCCTTTCTTAGTGGAAATAATGTGGAAAATTCATGCGCAACGAAATTGGAAGTTGGAAGCAAGAGAGAGAGTAAGATGAAGCATCTCTCTTGTCGGCTCTAAGGAGTGGACTTAAGCATTAAAACTGTGAGAGGAATAACTGTGTTCTATATTGCAAAGAGTGATTATTTGTAAATTGTGTTGTTTTGAAAAACCTTAGCAGAAGTGAAAGCCCATTTGAGAATTAGCATTAGAATAGGGATCGCACGGAGGTGCGTAATTTTTCCGCATTGCCATAGATATTGTTGTGCTCCATTTGTGCTTAATGCATCCAGGCCTCCAATAAGGGGCGTGTTGAGTTCTAAAAAAGCACAAACACGCACACACACCGACAAACAAGCCTTGTAAAGGATACATACAGTGGTCGTGCTCGTGCCTAGCTTTACTCACTCGCTTGCAGCTAAACACACACTCTGCTCTGCGGCTACTCGCAGAACTCCGCAGGACTCAGCTCCAGCTCATTTTAGTAAAGAAACAACATTGTTCGCGTTCGCAAACACCTGTCGCGCTCCGAGTTCGAGGCGAATAGGATTGAAAAATTAAAATTCTGGTACATATTCTTGGATATAATAAAAAAAAAAAACACTTTGGAATTGAAGAACTTTAAAAACGCGAAAATATACAAATTTATTTATGAACATACAAATGAGAAATACTACCAAAACAGATTTTTAGAGCTACGTGCATAAACTTTATAAAAATCCTATGTAGCTATGTGTAATAAGCAGGTATGTTCCTAAAGAATTAACAGTCATTGATTATGGTTTAAATCGAATCCGGCAAATACACGAATTGATTACGAATACTGAAGCCACATACAAGAACAAGAAGAATAAGTGCGGCTAAGAACATGTAGTGCCATTAATTTATTAAGTGCTGCTGGCACTTGAAAATCGATTTTTATATCAATCCCCACTGCGTGGAAGTGGAAGCGCACAGGATACTGACGAGTAACTGAATTATACTCCAAACATATAGGTAGAGAGCGCTTTGAAGAGAGTATGAAAAGAGTGAGTAGAGAGGAGAGAGTTAAAATTCCTTGAGAGTGGTTGATTGTTGGTAATAAGCTTGTGCTATATACATACATACATACATAGATATGTATAAAGGTATGTGCATACATACCATGTACGTAACTGTGTTAACTCTTCACTTTCGACTTCATTTGAGCGCATTTCCTGTAGCAATCCAACTAATTTTGTTAAGCCTTTTACTACCTAAAAATATACATATATTATATGCGTACATATGTATGCATACATCCGTGTGTGTGTGTGATTGCATATAGGAGGCATAAAATGTAGGCCAATAGTTATGCGAAGTACCACAATTGCATATAGCTTACATTTGTATGTATGTATGTACATATATGCATACATTAAGACGCATGCAGTAGCTGATGCGCATGAACAAAATTTGCCGCCACAGTTGTGTTTTAATGCATAGGCATAGGCTTGCCCGTGTATAGTCCCCCCTCACTCAAGAAAAGGCCAAAGAGATATCCGTCGATCAAAGTAATTCTTGTTTTGGTATCGAAATTGAACATCGATTAATTGCATTGTGTGTGCCAGCCCTGGCAAATTCGCATTCAAAATATACATATGTTGTGTGTATGTGTGTGTGATTGTGTGGGAGCATTTACATATATTTGTGTGGGCAGCGAAAAGCAATGCCGGGCGCTCATCGACGACTTGCACATAAAATTAAAGAAAATACACTTGTAAATCATCTAAATGTTGTTGTTATTTTCATTTGACTGAAACTGTGTTAACTAAACAATTTACTTGCACGTACATGTGCATACATGTGCATGTGCAGTTATTTCAATAGAACACAGGACACCGGAACAGTTACCAGATAAAGCCATACATAGGGAGCCTGAAGCCTGCAAAGCAACAGAAACCAATTCGCGCAATCGTCGTCGTCGTTTGTCGGAAAAGTGAGAAGTCGAGCCCGCTGCTATACAACGATTGCTGAAATTTTACTGCCGAAATAGATTTTCTCAAGTGTGCCATCGCGATGGCTGCTCCAGCAGCCTGTACGCGTTTTTCGGACAATTACGAAATAAAAGAAGAGCTTGGAAAGTAAGTATCAGCAAGCATTTGTACATATCCATATTAACACTCATATGAGTATACATATGTATGTACAATGTACATATGTATGTGCGATATCGTTAATGCTTTACTAATTTGCTTTTTCTCTTGCAGAGGGGCCTTCTCGATAGTGAAAAGATGTGTCCAGAAATCGACCGGGTTCGAGTTTGCTGCAAAGATTATAAATACTAAGAAATTAACGGCAAGGGGTGAGTACACAGTTTTATTATTACTTTATCATTTCTGTTGTTATCAACACGTTTTGCATTGCGGTGCTTACAGACTTTCAAAAGCTGGAACGAGAGGCCAGGATTTGCAGAAAATTACACCATCCTAACATTGGTATGTTGTTGTGTTCGTGTGTTGTTATCATCTAATGCATTGGCTCCCATAAAAACATAAATATATTCGTACAATTGTCAAATACCGCAACTGCAACCGTCACCGCCATCAACACCTAAATGCAATTGCAATTGCAACTACCGTTTAACCCAACATTAAAAACATACTTACATACATATGTACATCCATCTATCCATACAATAATCATGCATACATACATACATGCGAAAGTGCTAATATGGTTTCACGTCTTTCAGTTCGATTGCATGACAGCATCCAGGAGGAAAACTATCATTATCTTGTGTTTGATCTGTAAGTAAACACTTGCACTTGCACGTGTATGTGTAGTTTAGCATATGCCATATGTATATGTATGTGTTGTTCTAACCGAAACCGATACCTAAACCAATTTTACGATGCGATTTGATGATGATGTGGGAAGAGAAGCTTTCGATTCTCCTTCTCTATGTGAAATACTAATACTATATAGCAATGACTTGACTATTGTTTATTGAGATTCATACTTCATCCTTTTCCCCTCCGAGTTGTTATCTATGTATATGTAATCTATGTATTAATACAACAATCCCTTACAATCTGCACACTAAACTAAAACTAACAAAATCCAAACAAACAAAAAATCCAAGAACAAATTCCAAAACTATGTACGTATGTAGCTCTTAATTGTAAAGTACACAATGCCGTAATTGAATATTGCAAATGAAAACCAAACGAAATCAACCAAAACCAACCAAAACGAATTGACTATACATTTGCAGTGTAACTGGCGGTGAACTTTTCGAAGATATTGTTGCACGCGAATTTTATTCAGAAGCTGATGCATCACATTGTATTCAACAAATATTGGAATCGGTCAATCACTGCCACCAGAACGGTGTGGTGCATCGAGATCTGAAACCAGAGAATTTACTATTAGCTAGTAAGGCAAAGGGTGCAGCTGTGAAACTCGCTGACTTTGGTCTAGCCATTGAAGTGCAAGGCGACCATCAGGCCTGGTTTGGATTTGCTGGTACTCCCGGTTATCTGTCGCCGGAGGTATTAAAGAAGGAGCCCTATGGCAAATCGGTAGATATATGGGCATGCGGTAAGCGGATGAAATTGATTTCTCAATTCAAATTGAAAATATGCAATACAATACGTTCCAATGCGCTGGCTTTTAACTCCCGGTGCATTGTTATTACTGCACGGCCAATGATAATATATGTATATGTGTATCTTTTTTTTTTGTTTTTTTTTTTATTATTATTATTTTTTTTTTTTTGTGTGCTTGTCTCTGTTCTTCGTGCAGGTGTGATTCTATACATACTGTTGGTGGGCTACCCACCTTTCTGGGATGAGGATCAACATCGATTGTACTCACAGATCAAGGCAGGAGCTTATGATGTAAGTGAAGCCACAAAGCGCATATGTGCAAATATCCTTAAATCCATTTCTCTATCTCATCTCTTTGTCTTTGTATCCCTCCAGTATCCATCTCCAGAATGGGACACTGTAACGCCAGAAGCAAAAAATTTAATTAATCAAATGCTCACGGTGAATCCAAACAAGAGAATAACCGCAGCTGAAGCGCTCAAGCATCCGTGGATCTGCGTATGTATCCAACAAATCATCATATTGCTCACACTACTAAGAATTCTTTAATTTTTACCTCAATAGCAAAGGGAACGCGTGGCTTCTGTTGTGCATCGCCAAGAAACCGTGGACTGTCTCAAGAAATTCAATGCTCGACGCAAACTTAAGGGTGCTATACTTACTACAATGCTGGCTACCAGAAACTTCTCAAGTAAGTTCCGATGATACCATCAAATATAACATATAAATTTGCATAATTGGTTTCCACTCCATCGTCCACATTTTCAGGCAGAAGCATGATCACCAAGAAGGGCGACGGATCTCAAGTCAAGGAATCAACTGACTCTTCTAGCACAACACTTGAGGACGATGATGTGAAGGGTAAATATTAATACTAAGTCATAAAACAAAAAACCAATTGAAAGACAACATTAATTCCACCTAACCACGGATGTGTGTCATCAAAAAAGATAATGAAAATGTATTGAAAAAGTGCCCGCATATATGGGTTTGCTTTTTTAAAAAGAAATATTAATATATAGCTAAACGTTTAGTTTCGTTGGGTATGAATGTTCCGAGCACACTATTATGTGCATACAATTTTAACTAGCTGCTCCTTCATCCTCACCAGGATACAATAACAACAACAGAAAAAACGAAAACAACAACATATTAAACAACAACGTAGTTAAAGTTGTCCACCACTACAACACATTCATAAATCGGTTCAAAGGACTCCCCGCACCCCATCTGATTGTATAGCGTGGCTTTACGGTAATTCCAAAAGATTCCATAACTCCTCGCTATAATCAGATCGGGTATTCGAGATCTTTTTGCGCTAAAACAAGCGACATTGTTTATTCTTCTTTATTATTATTAATATTCTGCACTGATTTGCGCCGTTTTTTTTTGAAGAGCTGCACGTATATTGTTTTGCTCTTGTCGTTCTTTAATACATATAGCTATGGTGTCGTATTCAATATGCCTGTGTATACTTGCTCTTACATTTTTATGTTCACAATTATGCTTTTATATTTTTGTTTTACATACAATGCCATGCATTCCAATTCCGGTACATTCTGTTATAAATATATAAGTACCATTCCATTTTTATATTTCATTGATTTCACATTTGTACGTATATTGCACTTGCTGTCGTCTATGTAAGAAAAAAAACAAACAAAGAAACAAAACAAAATTGAATCCTATACGGCTATATGGCTGGGTGTATCGGGCCTTTTTTGTTGTGCTTGTCCCGCGCGCATAAATATGCAAGTATACATGTACATACTACCATATGTATGCAGAGCCGAAACCAGTCCGGAACTGGAACCAACATACTATATACATATATCGAATCAATTAACAATACAAACCCCCATTGGCTTAGCTTTGCATTTTGACATTGGTATACGAATTCATCTCCAGCTCGAGATCCGCCAATTATATGTTAAGTAATTGCTATTTCCTGGCATCCTGTATTCTATTTAATTTTATTCTATTCTATTCCATTCAATCCGAGTAGTCGGCGGCTTTGCAGCATACTTGTTTGAGCTTTATTTGTACTTTATGTACTTTTATCCACAATAATAAGGATAAGTAAGTCCTCTAAAATCACCGAGTGGTTGACAAGAGTCAAAATAGGCTTCGAATAGGAACTTTTATAGTGGAGCTTCACTTAATTACCTATAATAATGCAGGCAAATTATTGATAAATGTGTATGACTGACCGATACAAATTTAAGTACATACTATATATGTTATGTACAAAAATATTTAAGCTATGTATAATCTGTATAGGTACCATGTACGCTTCTGGTAAACTAATAAGTATATATGTACATACGTGTACATACATATGTACTTAGTACATTTTAGTGTTTATCAAATGATTATTTCATTAATGCTCAAGTCTTTGATTTTGCTAATACAGATATTTACGGATATTGTGTGTGTTCACAAATACATACACAACATACATAGATAGATGTGTCTGTGTGTTTGCATAGCAAATTAAATTTTTATTTTTACAACTCGCAGCACATGTGTACGTGTATGTACTATTACATGAGATAATATTTTTGCACCTTAAACAAAGCCAGCAAGCAAAACAAAACAAAAGGCAAATTTTACAAAATACATGCAGTAAGAATTTTCAAATGAGAAAATGCCCAAAATAATTACAAATTGCCTCTGTGTGTGCGTGTGTGTGTGTGCGTGTGTAGATGCTAGAGTGTGTTTGCCAGCATACCACACACACACACGCACACACATGCACAAATTTCATGTATGCATGTATGTAGCACGGTCTTTCAGACAGAGACACATAAATGCACACAGAGTGGGTTAATTTACAAAAATAATCAATTAAATAAAATTCAACAAAATTAAACAAAAGTAAAACAATTACAAAAATACATATTGGAATCAACACAGTTGCGTTTTCAATTATGAACTTTGTTTTTTTTTATTTTTCCTAGAAGATAAAAAAGGAATCGTTGATCGCAGTACCACAGTCATATCTAAAGATCCCGAAGGTAAATGTGAATTATTGAGTAAAAAGTGGTTTGAACACACACCACACACCACCCACCACACACTACTCGCATGCATACAACACTCTCACTACACACATACACACACACACACACACACACATTCATACTCACCTATATCCATACACACAACATACATACGTACACATACTATATACTAGCACAATCAGTTCATCAGTTGATCACTGTTCGTGTTCGTCATATTCTAACTAATTGGGAAATTTTCGATCCCACCTCATCATTGTGTTGAAAATTTGAGCTGGTCCCTACATAGTTCTTACTATTGATGGTCTTGGCTACTACGCTACTAATGAAACTTTTGACTTTCCCACAAACGCCCAAACAGAGAATATGAGATGAGGAAGCATAGGCTTAAGTTTGAAACGTACCACCGCCCCCTATCCCCATTATCTGAATTTGAATTTGAATTCGAGCGTCTTTTGGTTGAGCTCATGTGTCGCTGCTACCTTTCTTATTTTTCGTTTTGGATCCCTCTCAAAATTCATGAAGTATGCTAAATCAGGCTTTGCTTCACCGCTACCACCCACCCACTCTCACATCTTTCTCTCGCTCTAGTTCTCGCTCTCTTTCTCTCTCTCTCTCTCACTCTCCTTCCGTCTATGTGCGCTTGGTTGGTAATTAACAGCTATTTGTTACAGATGCGATGCGTAGGTTCGTTCATACTTTTTGTATTGGTTGGCCAGAAACGAAAGCATGAGCAGCACCTTTGCAAATTGCAATAGACTAGACATACTCGTACATACTCGTATATAGTTCGTAATCTGATTTTTGTTATGGATTAATTCGGCCGCATTTGACTTTCATTTCAGCGGTGGAGCTGTTGAACTTGGATTAAAGAAACTAACAGAAATTACAGTACCAAAAACTTCATTTTTTATACGTCTCTCTTGTCTCTTGTTTGTGTTTTATATTTAAAAAGAAAATACAACAACAAAACAAAAGAACATTCCAAACAAAATCCCAAGGTTGAGACTCCCTAATTGTTGACTTAAGTTAATTAAGGTTTATTTATTTGAACAAAAGAAGAAGCTTGTCACTCGTATTTGGGCACATTCGTTCAGTGTTTGTTGAATATTGGGGAACCCACAACCATGGAAGCAATACCGAAGCAATACCGAAGCCATGGAGATTTTCGTTTACAGCTGGACCAATACAATACCACACATACATACATACATATGTATATTGATTTGATTTAACTAATTAACGACTTGTATATAGAAAGATTGGAACTGCATTTCTTTTAAAATGGTGCTGAATTACAATCCACATAAGGTCGCATGCATATTTATGAAGTTCCCAAGGCAAACACACCGAATACGGACAGTTAATGCTAACTCTCATCTAATTAAACCACATACATACAATCTAAAGCCCGCCCAGATGCCAAGCCAAGACGTACTAAATACTAATAATGCATCCATCCAATAAGTAAAATGCCAAGAGCGCAAGTACCTAACAACTGCTCCAAGCGCTCCAACCGCTCCAAATGCTCCAAATAGCTCCAAACTGCAATCGAATCTGTCGCAAAAAGCTGGCGCGCTAACCGGTACAAATCATTCGAACACTAGGCGGCCGTGGCCATGCAACCCAGACAAGCGTCGACGTCGTCGTCGTCACCCCACCTACACCTCCATCCCCACCTGCGACCTGCGGGTCATCGGTCGCCGGCCTCAATGCCCGACCCGCGGGCCTCGCGCCATTCGGCGTTGGTTATGTAACGGCCAAGATCCAAAATGGTACTGACAATGACAATTTCGAGTTACAACTCCCAACGACAGGCCCGAGTAGCAGTCGCCGTCGGTTTTTAGGTGAGTATAAGTATAATCGAGTGTCAAATTTTGAGAGATGTACTTTGTTCGTACTTTAACACTCAAAAGGAGAAGTCGAATGCGATTCGGTGTAAAAAAAAAGAGAAGCTTACACCTGCAAAATATGTATTTCGTACTCGCTCTCGTCTTCACGATATAAATAATGTTTCATTACATGTTATCGTTTTCTCTCTCTATCTCTCTCCCACAAAACACACCACCAACACACACTCTCTTTCAATATATCTCTCTCTCTTTCTGTTTCTGATCTATTGCAGATCGCATGCTAAGTTTTTGCTGTTTATCCAAGAAGGAAAACTAAATATAAAGTTTGCAAGCGCGTGTATGTATCCTAAGTTCCCGACGCATCTGTAACATCCTCCCCCCTGACATGCACATAGTAACTCTATATGTATGTATATGTACGTACTATGTATAATTTAATGTGTATACATATGTAAACTCTAATTGTTTTGCGCCCCATGTACTATTTTCGAGATAAAGAGTTGTTGGCTCAGGTTGCGCTCTCGCTTTTAATAAAAACAAAACCAAAAATCAAATCGTTTACAAATTGCGCTCGCAGCACTTCTCGTAGTTATGATCACTGCCACATATACATATACATACAAACACACACACACACACAAATTTCAAAAAGTTACAATGATCTCAGAATTCACTAATACACAAGTGTCGATGTAGCCGCTGTCAGCACACACCGTAGATCGCCGAACTGTAATATCCCCCCTTGTCATCCAATCCTCCTGCTGGGCTAGGAACGTTTCTAAGAGCTCGTTAATCTAGTAAACTCTTTCAGCGGAATTTCATTTCTCATGCAACAATTATCGCAACAAATAATAATAATAATAATAAAAACAACCACAACAACAAAAATAATGATAATAACAATAACAACAACAACAACCACAACACATTTCAAAGACCACGTGCCTTCAGTTGATTTATTTATTTTTTGATATGCATATATGTATATCCATATATGTCTGCATATACATATATACATATATGTGTGTTTTAGAAATAAGGATTGTGTGTCCTGCAAAAACTTGCCAGCAAATCTCAGGAAACTCGCAGTGCTCTTCAGGTATGTATGCCTAAATGCCACCCATCCAAATCAAAAAAAAAAAAAAAACTAAAAAAAAAAAAACAAAAAACGAATATATAAAGAAAAATAAAAGCCCCAAAACCACCCCCACCCCCCGAACCCCTCTCACATGCATGCTTCATTCGCTTGCACTCAAAGCATAGATCTATATACTCTTACTATGTATGTATGTGTATGTGTATATATGTATGTATATTCGCATTGTACTCGTATGTGAAAAAAGACCCAAAACTCGCACTACTTTCATGCCCCGACCAAGAAATACATACATATGTACATATGTATGTAATGTGGAGCCCCGGAAGTAGATGTGGACAGACATCTTCGATATACATGTACATATATCGTCTCCGTTCCTTTGCTTGTGCCGCATGCGATTTTCAAATTCACAATTCACACACTCTAGAAACTCGGCTCGATATAATATTTTGATTTTGATCTGAGCTTCCTCTCTCTATCTCTATACTCGTATCTCAATCCCTCTGCCATTCAGTTTGTAGCTTTATCATTTTTATCATTTTTTCCCATATTTTTTCGCTTCGGTATTTGGTGTATGATTGTGGCATGTGCTTGCTATGTTTGCTTCGATTATAAATATATGCTCGTACTATGTATGTTTCACAGAAGCTCATCATACTCGTATCTGCACATAAAGAATTTATTTTGAAAAACTAAACCAAATCGAAAGTTATGACGAAGGAAATTTGTGAAAATCGGAAAATCGCACAACTAAATATCGCATGCAATATTTATTGTGTGTAAATAAAATTTTAAATTCTAAACGATTATTCCAATTTATAGCAGCAATCCGAATTTCGGCTGGTCTCTGTATATGTAACATATCCCTCTTATATTTTTTGGATCCTGTCGCTGGGAAAATGCTTTTTTTCGCAAACACACAAAAATGTTTCCTCCATATATGAATGTGTGTGAGTGTGCGATGGCACCAGGAAGAAAAGAAATAACAAACTCAAATACAATTTACAAAAAAAAAATTATAATAATAATAATGAACCGAAAGGTATTCTTATCCGAGCTGAATCTTTGAATATACTGACCACAAATCGTACTTACACATATACATACTTCTATGTATATGAAAAGGATCTACGCTCCGAACTACAGATGTAGATCGACGAGACACTGAACAGACACTGAACAGACACTGAAAAGACAGTCACCACATTATATAACCATCATCAAGCTATATATTTATATCAGTATCATTTGAAGTGTTTGTAGAAGCAAATTCATTTGTGCTATACATAATAATATAGATACACATATCGTATGTTGTTGTATAGTTAGGTAGTCGTCACACATCCACTTAGATACTCTCTATATATAAATAAATAAATATATATATATATATATTATGTAGTTGGACATACAATACATACATACATATGTATATCATTGTCGCGTACGTCCTGTGCATTTGTCTCGAAAGAGTTTTAAAAAATAATCAAAAAAAAAAAAAATGAAAGAAATATCATTTTGCGTTCTTTACTCTTATAATTTGTCTGTTGCCCATTCTGTTGGCGCTATTTTGGTTATTTCTTATATTCATTGGTTCGTTGGTTGGTTGGATCGTTCGAATGTAATTCTGAATCTCATACTCGTAAACGAATATCATCCGTGGATGTAATATCCCTGTGCAACAATCACTAACATCACCACCATAACACAAAACTGACTTTTTGAAATCCTCGATCCACAACTAATTACTACCCACTACGCCAACAAAGCAGCCAGACGACAGGAAATAATCAAGATCACAGAGCAGCTGATCGAGGCCATAAACAGCGGCGACTTTGACGGATACACGTAAGTCCCATTTACATACTACTTACATATGTACATTTTCCACTAATTGGACATATGTGTGTACTATATATCGATGCTTGATAACATGAGTTTCCCCTTTTCACGCAACCCATATAGAAAGATATGTGATCCACATTTAACTGCATTTGAGCCAGAAGCATTGGGCAACCTAGTCGAAGGAATTGATTTTCACAAATTCTACTTTGAAAACGGTAAGACTGACCTACATACATATATGCAATACATATCTACATATGTACTTGTATATGATATGAACCAACGAATGTTAGATGTTAATGTTGGCCTCTTTTCCCCTCAGTACTCGGCAAGAACTGTAAAGCTATTAATACTACAATATTGAATCCCCATGTGCACTTATTGGGAGAGGAAGCCGCTTGCATCGCTTATGTAAGGCTAACGCAGTATATTGACAAGTAAGTACATGTAATATGTCTTTTAATGAAGAAAATGCCTCCAAAGTGATGGTTTTCAGCAGGGTAGATATACAAATGGTTCGACTTAAAAAGAAGTTGAACTCAGAACATCATACGGTATATATTGAGAGTTTTCATATAGAGTTCAACTTTAAGTTGATTGGGTTCCAGTGATCTCTAAGCAATTTGAAGAATTGTTAATTGTTTCTAAACGGGATACCATATCCATATTTTAGATGAATAATGCTTACTCTATTTACAGACAAGGGCACGCACACACTCATCAGTCCGAGGAGACGCGTGTATGGCACAAACGCGACAACAAATGGCAGAACGTGCACTTCCATCGGAGTGCGTCGGGAAAAATCAGCGGTGCCACGACCTTCGATTTTATCCCGCAAAAGTAGGCTGTGGAGGGCAACGCGGGGCGCACCAATTCCGATTAACCACAACCGTAACAGCAGAAACAACAAAATTCGGCAACAGCAACAACAACAACAAATATGCACACGCCATGGAGGCGCTCATAAAAAACAAATTTAAAAAATAGCAAAAAACATGAATATATATATATACAAAAAAGGCGACACAAATTTAATGTAATGTAATAACGTGTTTGTTTTCGTTCACCCATTTCTGTTTAAGATATATACATACGTATGTGCATATATATATATATAGATATATAGATATATAGATATATATAGATATATAGAGATATATATATATAGATATATATATATATATATATATATATATATATATATATATATATATATATATATATATATATATTGTATTTATATGTTAATATGTTATGTTATGAATAATACTACTACTTAATATCTAAAAATTCAAAATTTGATTCATCCAAATGAAAGAAATCAATATTGTAAAACAACAAAGATGTGTAAAGAAAGCGTAAAGCAACAAAAACCAAAGACATAACAACAACAACAAAAAACCAATAACTCGAAACAATTGGCTGATAGATCGATTGATTAAAATGAAAACTTAAGATAGCAGTTTTGATCCAAGTGAGGCTTCTTCATTGGCAAAAGCAAGATAAAATGGAAAGGAAAAAATAAGAAAGAGATAGGAATAGAGAGAGAGAGAGAGAGAAAGAGAGCGAAAGAGAGAACGCTGAACGAACATTTAAATGAATTAATCTCTAAATAACATTTATCAAACCATTTCGATGTTTAGATATCCCCAACTGTAACTGTGTGTGTGTGTGTGTTCTGAAAAGCAAAAGGATTTAACTAAAGAAACAACAACAAATACAACAGCCATGTGGCTATTAAGTCTGGCATTAACACAGATACATATACTATTACACACAAAACTACTTTTGTCATTAAACAACAAAACAAAACCAAACAACAAAATTTACATACATCTTACATACTTTTTGAAATGGAGTGCCCACAACACTCCAAAGCATTCTCAATACATAAGCAATTTTCAATACAATATAAAAAGGAAAAAAAAACCAAAACAAAAACCGAAGTGAAATTAAATCTTACAAGACAAATTTGTATTTATAGTAAGCCTACAACAAACAGTAACAAATTAAAAAAAAAAAAAAAAAAACAAATAACAAACAGAAAGCATCACAAACGATCTCTACTGACATCTTTACACACGCCTCTATACCACGATATACCTACATACCTACCTACCCACATATAACCCGAAACAATTTTGGGTACTTATTATGAAACAACTACCCAATAAATGCAACCACAAGTGTGAATATAACAAAACAAAAACAACAAAAACAAAACGAAAGAGCGTAACAAAACAAATGAACTAAATACTATAATACAGAAGGAGTCACGAAAGTGCAAAGCATTAGATAATTTATAAATAGCATTTACAAATTTAACTATACCAAAAACAAAAAAAAACAAAAACAAAAAAATTAAAACCAAAAAACAAGAAAAACAAAAATGAACATTAGCTAATTGTTATAAAATTATAGCCGCAAACTTTAAACCAAGAGCTGCGCGTACAGGCAAGCGGCAGGCAGGTACGGTTAGCCAATTAGGCAATCTGGCAATTAGGTGGTGGGTAGATCGGTGGATCGGAATATCGGTAGATAATCTTTAAAGCATCCGCGTCCAATGTCTAATCGGTGCAGCGTATTGGGCCCGCGTATTTAGTTCGGCGAACTGCAGAATCGGGCAACGAACGGCCCGACGCACTGAAACCGGGTTGCTCCTTGTCAGGCCTATGCCGCACACTCACATTCACAATCGCTCACACATCCCTTGATCTGTGTGTGCGTGTGTGCCTGTGTTTTGTGTTTGGGAGTGTGTGTGTACGTGCATACGTCTTTATGTCTGTGTGTCTGTGTTTGCACTTCCGTTGCAATCACAACAATGCAAGAAAACAAAACAAAAACAAAAAACCAAAAAATAACAAACAAAAATGATAAAGAAAACGTTTTATTATTATTATTATTATATTACTATTATTGTTTATTCGAATTTTATATGCATATTTCAATATAAATAAATATTAAATGAAACAAAAAAATTTAAACATTTACCGTACGGTTTGAAGAGCAAAGCTATATGATGAAGAGATCGGGATGAAGATGAGACGAGACGAGACGATGTTGACGTTTATGTTGATAACGATCAAGAATATATAGTATTGCAGTTTGCATAAACAAAATTTATTAAATTCCAAAAATGTCGCGCTTAAGCAGTCTCTCTATTTGTATCTGCATCTGTATCAGTGTATCTGTGTGTATGTATGTATATGTGCGTGTGTATGTCTCTGCGTAGTGTGTGCGTACGTGCGATTACGTGTGAATACGTGTTATCAAGTTAATATTTGTCTAACAATAAGATGATCGACACCTTTTGCTTATGCACTGAATTTTACAAGACCACATGAGCCTTCTCAAAAACTTGATAAACAACTCGGAAAATATCTCTGATATTCGTATTTTGAAAAATAACACAATTACTACTATTCGTCCTAACCCTCCCCCCTCTCCCATCCACCCAGTTACCACACGGAATATGATTTTATGTATTCAATTTCCCCAATTTCATATTCTTCTACTCAACTTCTGTCTTAAAATTTTATCTAAAATCCTCACTCTAAACGATATAGATCTGACCATATATGCATATAACAATCAGTATTATTGCAGATGGGAAGACCAAAATTCAACCCTCAAGTACCGATAAGCTCTATCTATGTATTATGGGCGTACATTTTCGTACAGTAATATCTGTCTACGCATCCCAGAATCTTTAAAATCATCCATTTAACAACCGACAGCAAATCGAGCATACGAATTTTCCAATTCATAACAGCCTCTAGATTATTACGCAAAATACACAACCAGAATAGCACAATAGAGGAAAATAAAATAGCTAAATAAAAAACGAAGTGGCCGTACAGAGAATAACACATTTGAGGAAATAATATGTATTAATTGTAATGGGTCTAGGGTATAACAAATTTAACAACGTATGTACATACGTCTATTAAATAAATATGGAAATTATATTTAATGAATAAATAAAAAAAAAAAAAAAAAAACAGAGCCCAGAACGATCATGTTGTATACATTTTCAATTGAACCAAAGAAACAAAGCAACAATTTATTATAAACCATTTTCTAGAATTTAACATATTTCCTTATATGATCATTATCTTCATACATATGATATATTATGACAAAAAACAAAAATGATAAAGAAAAATTATTACAAAATAAACTCAACTTACAAGTCGAACGAAGAGTTGCTAGGGCAGAGGAGCGCAGATTGAAAACTTTTAACAAATTGAAAAAAAATTGTTTATCGAAATGAAAAAAACGTATCTTAAAACAAAAATAACGATTGCCTATACAAATTACTTGCTGTAGTTGATGTCCTCGATATTTAATAAATATTTAAAGCAACAAATAACGCAAATATAACAGTAATAACTCTAAATTAATATTAATTATTCCATATTTATGATTTATGAAATACAAATACATACTTAATAAAAATTATTACAAATATCACCTTTAAATTAACTTTGATTTTGACAATTCCAGTGGACTTTCGGTTGGCAGGGGCGTGCATTAACAACTACTTGCATGAAAAAATAATTAAATTAAATTCTTAATTTTGTTTATTTATGAATATCTCAAAATATAACCATTTGTACTGGCATTGCATTAGAATTTTGTGCAGTGTACAATTACTTATTGGCGTAAAAGCTGGTAAAGAATAATCTGTGTTCGTATCATGACAGGCCTCTCGCAATTGCTGACTGCTATAACACGCATTCGGCCGTTTTAAAGGGATGTAAAGCTCCGAGCGACGAAACTAGTTATTGCTCTCGCTCTGCGGTAACAATTCTTCCTTGACTAACGGTAGTTTAAGTGAATGTGTTTTAAGCAATAATACATTTGTTAAAAAAATAAATAAAAATGAAGTGATTCTCAAATAAAAAAATACCTAATACAATTTGTGAACGTTGAAATTTAGCTTTTTGGGTAGAAATATATTCGTGTGTGTGTGCCAAGCAGCCAAGCTTTTTGGAGAAAAAGCTACAAGAGGATTTTGTGAGTGTAAGCTATTATTTAGTTTGGTAATAAGGAGTTTTATCGCACAAATGATGGCCGACAGTAAGGCTAAAGGTATGTGCCAATATTAAACTAAGCTTTTTGTAATTAACAGCAAGTATAGTTTAATTATGCTAGTTATACAAGTATATATGTATGTACATGTATACCTATTTACCGCTGTATGTAGATACATACATATGTATAAATAAAATCGTGGGTGTATAAATGTTGCAGTGTTGAAAAAGCTTTGACTGCAGCTACACATTCCCACACGTATACATAAATATACAGTTGTAGCTTGTGCCGCGAGCTTTTTGTGTTGCCCTGTCTTTGACACCAGCTGTTTTCTGAGCACGATAGCTAGAAACAATCGCAAGTGGGTAGGGGGGAAGGGAACAAACTTTCATAGTAAATAAATAGATGTTCATATTGTGTGTGCGTGTAATTTGTTCATACTCGTCTCCAGGCCTAAAACATATACGTCTGGCAACACTGCAACTAACGGCGAAGGCGAGACTAAATCAACCAAGCACATAAAAGCTGCAACTGCACACACAAGGAAAAAGCTTTTTCGCTTGGTCTTTAGTCTTTCTGTTTGCGGCATTGGTGTCGGGTCGCTGAAGTGTCGGTCGGTTGTTCGTGCCAGATGCATGTGTGTACAGAGAAGCAAGAGTTCGGGAAAAATTATCATAAATCTTATCCAGAGTTTTGTTTTGATTCCCGCGTGTCGTCTTTATACATGCTGCAAGAGGCAGCATCGCGGTCACTTATAGTTGTGTGTTATATACATATTTATCATTTGAAATTATATTTAATGTATATGTACGTATTCTATACATACAAAATTATGCATAATGTGTACTAGAAGAAACCAAAAACAAATTCGCCGCCCAATGTGTGAGTGCTATATACATACATACATAACTACGAATACTACCTGTGTGTTTGTGTGTTAGTCTCTGTTTCTGTTTCTGCGTATATTTGTATAGTATATGGATACATACATACGTACATATGAACAAAAATACATGAATATACATATGTGCAGCTACAAATATACAAAAAATATATATGCATATACATATGTACATATGTATTGAGTGCTTGTGTTCGAGCTGCATGTACTTCTACACAAGCACACAACAACTCTATGTACATATGTATGTATGTTTGTATAGGTGTGCATGCGTCTCTATATATGTAAGTGTGTGTGCGCGCCTGCATGGTATCCACAGCAGCAGCAGAAGAGAAGAAGCAGAAGCATCTAGTGAAACCACAAAACAGAAACAACAAAACAGCAACGTCGATAGTATCTTTTATTTTTGTATTTTCTGCTTGTGCTTGTATATCCGTGAATAGGCGGCACACTGGCAACTGGCACTTGCATGTGGTATGCATGTGTGTGTAAGTTGGTGTATACAAATATACATACTTATGTATGAATGTACATATATGTATGTATATATATATATATATATATATATATATATATATATATATATATATATATATATATATATATATATATATATATATATATATATGCGCGTGTGCTGTTCTGCTGACTGCCTCGGCCTCCTCTTCCCCATTTGCACGATTGACCGTCTGTCTGCCTCTTCGTCTGTATGTTATGGCATGTGTATGTACATATGTATGCATGTGCATATGTAACCTACAAATATAACACAGATATTTCGACCTACGCTCGCCTCGTCCTTCCGTACCATTTTCTACTTCTCCGTACGCATCTCCCCACCTCCCATCACAGCCTAAAGCCAAGGCAAGCTAAAACGGAAGCTTTGTAAATTGCAGCCGACAATAAAATTGCCGGCTTCGCATGATGCACCACACAACGCATTCCCTTGATAGGGGGAGAGAGCACCGATGAGTGTATGTGCAAGAGACAGAGAGAGTGTACAAGTGTGACTCCCGCAATGTTCAAATTTCTGTTTGTGATGATTGTAATGTGCGACTTGATCGATCGACAAATTCATAACATCTTTGCAATCATCGCCGGCACACATTTTCATAATGCAGTTTTACATATGTACATACATAAATATATACGTACACACATACAAAGAAACGCACATATGATATATGTACGTAGGTATGTTTGTATATAAACTTTCAGACCATGTGAACTTCAGTGGAACAATACTCAAAACGTACATACAAAATTATTCATACATGTACATAGACGCTTGAACCGGTTAACACCACACACATATATATAAATATATACATCTCTTGCACATACAAACATACACATATATGTATGTATGTACATGTAGAGATCCGTTTTTATTAAATAAGCCATTGCTGAATCGCGGTTTTTGAGTTGGTGATGTTGTTGCTGTGACTGTTGTTGGAAGCAATTGGTGTAGTGGTCAGTTCAGTTCAGGTTTGGGCAAGTGTACATCTGTTTGTACATACACTATGTACAAATATATATATGTACCTACATACATATACATGTACGTTATATTTGTATGTATGTGAAAGCGTGTACGATCACATATGATTGTATGTATTATATGTAGGTATATATTCTCGAGAAACAAATTTTTGTAAAGGTAAGAGATCACCAATTTTCAGATATGTGGGAATACCTGATTTTTGGCGGGCGACAATTTCACCAAAGAAATCGTTTCTGAGCTTTTGGTTGAACATGCATACATAGCTACATATGTACATACATATGTACATACATATGTACATACATATGTACATACATATGTACATACATACATATATACGCGCTTACATGTAATTACTTACTTTTACTTTCAAGAAGATTGTTGCTTTTTAAAATTTGAATCAATACATCTTTGAAACAACACAATAGTCCTCAAGTTGACTGAAATGTCAATGTCTATTGATTATGCTTGTGACAGAATTATTTTTAAATACAAAACCAAGTTTTTAGGTAAAAATGTGATCAATATTCTATTTGGACATTGATAAACTACATTTCTGATTTCCTATTATCTTGCAAATGGGAATTAGTCGATCATGTAACATGCTTCATTCTATTCTCAATGTGTGTAGTCGCATATTCTAGTATTCCCTAATTTTAGAGATTAGTAGAGATCTTTTGTAATATTCGTGGAACATAAATATAAAATATGCTTTGTTTTTATTTTTTTGAGAATCTGTCTATTACTGAACTTCTACAAATCAAATAAAGTCTTGATAATTATTCCAAGGAGTTAATTTGGGGTATACCAGTGCGTGTGTGTTTTTATAGACGATTTCTCTTGATATGTGTGTATGATTGTAGGTATATATACACATAAGTACATATACATACATTCATATATACATACGTGTATTGTACTTGAAAGCAACACAACACCTCTGTCCGTCCGTTCGTGCGTCCGTGCGTCCGTGAGAGAGGGAAATGTAAATTTAGAAAACCACCAGCTCTATGTTCTCACCGGCTGATATATTTTTCTGACCATTCCAATGTGTGTTCTTTTCATAGTGTGTACGCACTTTAAGATGGCAATACATGGTACTGGTATCTAACATTCGACTGCTTTTATCACTGCAGAATGATTTTACATATGTACATACATATGTACATTTATACACACATGTATGTTTTGATGTACTTCAATGTTATGCATTGGATTGATTTTTTTCTTTTGGAAAAAGGAACCCATTCACTATTGTGGCTTCCAACTGTGGAAGCTTTGTAAAGCGCGGCCAGGTTTTCGGCCATATGTATGTGTATATGTGCGGGTGCCTATATAAAATATGATTGCGCATATATGTTCATACATATGTATGTATGTATATGAATATACATACCTATATGTATATATGTATGTACATATATTTTCGGTTTTTGCCTGCTCTCTCTCAGTGGGACACGAAATTTTAAAAACGTTTTTAGACGCAAGACCAAGACGAGAAAAAAAGAGTAAATAATAAACAGCAAACACAAAAACACAAACAATCGGAAGAAGGCGCAAAGCACTGATGGACTGGGCGGACAGTAGGACAGATAGAGAGACAGACACACACACACACAAACGGACTGACGGACAGCCATACAGAGGGCCAGGAGGACGGAATGTTTTAGCCTACCAAGAGCAGAACGCAGCGCAACAGCCTCAACACATCGCCAAAATCCATTTTTAAACATATGTATGTATGTAGGTATGTACATATGTCTGTGGTGTATGTATGTCTATACCTATGTACATGTGTATTCAAAAATAACGTTTTGCTTGTTCGTCTATTAGACCAAACGAAACGATCAGACCCCACATTTTCAGCACGCCCCCATTCATCAACACGTTCCCGCTCCCAACGACGACGACGACTGCGACTGCCTGCCTGCCTGAGTGTCAGCCGCCTGACTGCCCCTGCCTCGGCCCCTACACCCCTCCTCAACAATCCCTCACAGCCTGCCGCCGGCCAGTTTGTCTCGCAGTTCATCACATAACACACTGTGCGCGCACAGTGAGCCCCAAACGTACATACATACGTACATATACATACACATATGAACAAGCGAACCAAACCTACACACATATATGCTTGTATGTACGTATGTATATGTAGGCAGGTATGTATGTACGTACTTACGTACAATATGTTGTATATAGCCAGCTTTCGGACGTTTTGTACGTTGAGTGCACATACAAACATACTTACACACACACAAGCACACAACACCACTCACGATGCGCACGAGAGAGCGATAGCGCCTTTTGCAACCGTGAGGCCTTTTTGGATAATCCAAAAATATTTATCACATTACAACAAGTACGAGCTACATACTATAATACCAACGTGAATTATTTGAGAGTATAACCGCTTTGGTTTGGGTCGGTTTAGTTTTTGATTTATCCATATAAACAACACTACCCTCCCAAAAGACAGTATTTAGAAGCTCATAGTCATTAATGTAACTGAAAATACAAAAACGCTTCTACAATTTGCAATTTGTATTGGAAATTGCATTTTTTTTCTAAGAAAAAATTTGAAGAAGGCCTCAAAAATATTCTCAAGCCATCGGAGCATCTCTTATTATCAATTTGCATATTTGATCATTATTATTTGGAGGAGTCCCTATACGATAAACTAAAACGAATGTTGCAATTGCTGTTGACTCAGTGTGCGCTGCCAGTACAAGCTGACGTCCTCGCAGTCTGCTGTTCCCTCTGATGTTGTTGTTGCTGGTGCGGCCGCTTGATGCAACTGTTTTCGTTTTTGCTTCGATTTCGTATTAGCTTTGTTCGTATTGTTTTTGTTGTAGTTGTTGCTGCTGCTGCTGCTGCTCTGTAGCCAGCCGCCTGCTTTGGCTCTCTGGCTCTGACTCAATTCCGTTCGTTGTTTTCTGTGTTCGTGACAACAAATACACATAAAAGCATACAAACATACATATATAACGTATGTCCGCCTATATATATAAATATATATACATATATATATATAAATATACATATCTATATGTATATATATTTTACATATATATGTGTATATATATATATATATATATATATAGATATATATATATATAATATAGATATTTGTATATATGAACATCCAATGTACAGGGTGCCTTCGACAATACCCATCGACGGTATAATGTTCGCCATACCTGCTTAAAAGAAATTCATTCTTAAGGGCCTACCCAAGTTACTATAACCACCAAATAGCTGGCTGCTCAATTCTGTGACTATTCGCACAATTATATACATATGTATGTATGTTTATATAAACATCTATGTATGTACATACATACATATATTTTACTTTGAGTGAGGAGAGAAGGCAACCAGGAACGCGGTACGCGGGTACATCATTTATTATGCTATCCTCGTGACCTTCAATTGCGGCTCTTAGTAAATATAATATGCTGTGTATATAAATATTTGAGCTAGTTTTTATTCACAATTAAATTCATTGAAATAAAATGCAAACTGAATATGCAGTAAAATGTTGGAAAATTAGGTACAAGTAATGAAATAAATGTTATTGGTTCCCTTCTTTGTGTGTCTGTGTGTGTGTGTGACTGAAAACACATCATCTGTGGGAAAAAATTGGATAAAAACAATACCAGTACTTTTGCACTCCACACCAAATATTTATTCGCCTCTATTCGATGGCTGCTTACTCATTCGAAATCTGTGCCATGAAATGCGCGAGTGCGATACTGATTGCCCTGTTTTCGGTTTTGCCAAAAATTTCTCTTTTGTAGTGAGGCACCCTGTATGTGTACTTGTTATAGGAGCTTTTTCGTGAGTGCGTACTGGTTTTGTTGTTGTTATTGCTGCTGCTGTGGCTGTGGCTGTTGCTGGCACTACTGCTGCTGCTGCTGCTGTTGTTGTTGCTGTTGATTTTGCTAAACTTGCTGGTGCAGTAGTTTGGGACATAGCACAGTTTTGTTGCCATTGCTGTTTTTTTAGCTTCGGTGCATTTGGGGTTTTGTGCACTAACACACACACATACATATGTATGTATGTATGTATGTATATATGTTTGTATACTTATATATAGTATGCGTATATGTACATTTAACTTCAACTGTTGGTATATAACATGTCGAAATCCAGCCTTTATATGCAAACATACATACATATGTACATACATACATACATTTCTATACGTTTCTATATGCAATCCAAAGCTTACATAGAAACAATGCATATAACGTCGCAATTGTATGTGTACTATATATATTTTAGGCATTTGTGCAAACATTTTGGCAACAAATATTACTACATACATACATATACGTACATATGTACATACGTGCATATGAATAAGTATACATATATATTTATACATACATATATGTACATATGTACATATGCATACAAATAAGCAACGTCAGTACTAGATGCCGCCAAAAAAACAAATCAACTGTACTAAAGAGATTTTTAGACCGCTTTACTTTTTGATCCAACTTTTGACCCTGGACGAATTCCTTTCACCTGACGATCATCAGCTGCACCTGCACACACACATACACACAAATCCATGTACATATATACCTCTATGTACATATGTATATATTTTATATGCATGCATAGGTGTATGGGTAGAGCTAAAGGCCATGTCGAAATTTTGAATGTTCAAATTTATAGACACACACATACATATCTACATACTCGTATATATACATACATACATATGTATGTATATATGTCATAGCTATGTACGTGTGCATATACATATATATATATATATATGTATGTATGTATGTATGGTCCAGCAGTTTCTGGCTCTAAATAGAATTGCAATACATGACATGTTGTTAGGCTTGCTTTGCTGCTCTCTGGTTTGATTCAGTTTGATGGGTTGGCTTGTTGCTGGGCTTGATGGGTGTGGGGGCGGTGGGTGGCAAATCTGCATCTGCATTCGAAATATTTGATTAGAGAGCGAGCGTAGGCAGAGAAACAGCGACAGCGGCAGCGGCTGTGGCAGAAGCAGCTGCAACAGCAACAGCAACATCGCAGTCGAAAATCAGTAACTGCAACTATCAGCTTATTGACAATGCACAAACCCACACACACACACACACACACACACAAACACACACACATACTAGCGCGCGTTTTTGTAGCTGGACGCATGTGCAAACTGACGTTGTAGGCAAGCCCAGAAATGCCCACATCCGTACCATCTACATACATATATATGTTTATGTATGTGTGTGTGCGAGTGTGATTTGTGTGTATGTTCAAGTGAGCCCAATACATGTACATGTATATGTTGCATGTGGTCGTGTATGTGCCATCATCCTAATACATATGTCTATGCCTATACACACAAACATACATGCATACATACGTACAAAATGCATCAACAAATCTGCCTTTAGTTGTATATATATATGTGTGGGGGGTGCGAACAAGGATATTGGTATGGTCTGGTCATCCTGATGCGAGCTGCATATGCATGCATGTAACCTTAACTCTCAGTACAAAACAGCAAGGTATCCCATAAAATGTGGTTCACACGCGGCCCAGGAGCCCGGTTTCGCTTGGATTGGGTTAGCGGGTACAGTTGTTGTTGAGTGGGGGAGGGGGCTGGGGGACTATTCTTGGCATCTTCAAGCTTCATGCTTCTCGAATCCAGCCTACTCGATGATTCCACAGTTGAGTTTTGTAGGTTAAAGCCATCGTTGCCATTTGCATGTATTTTACTAATCGACTAACTTGTGAAAATTGCAAATTTAGCAAAGACTCACCAAATTTCGGAGCTCAGGTTAAGATTATTGTGTTAACAACTTCTGCTCAGCTTCTGCATATGCATGTATGTATATAGACGCATCAACATGTTGCAATCTCATTATTTATAAACTGATTTTTAAAATCGTTTTAATGAGTATTATTGTGATTGAATGAAACTTAACAGTTTTGTGAATGTGTGTGTGTCTCTAAAAAACTATTCAATGGTGTTTCAAATATTAATGACAATGAATGTTAAATATTTTATGTCCAAGGCATATGTTTCTACTAATCGTTAGAGAAGTTACAACTTTTCTGAACCAATTAAAAAATACATTTTCTTCGAAGACGGGCAGATTAAATGTTTAATCACGTTCGTTTCATTGTTTTGTAAAGCGTCTGTGTGTGAAAAGGAACAATACGAACAGTAATACGAATAATTGTCACTGTAGACTCAGATCTTGATTGGCGCCAAAATTGAAACCATTGAGAACCAAGGATTGTAATAAAAAAAGTGTGACTTGTCGGAAAACCTCAAGGTCCGAATCGAGTCAATTATAATAGTTATGTGATTCCTGTGATATATGTATATGTGATTGTTATGAACCGTAGTGTAGTATATATTATGTTGGATTTGTTTTCCTTCAGCGTAAACTAATCTTCCTCTCTTTAATTGCAGACTTAATGCCACTGGCAAGTCATCCACCCGCCCACAGTAAACTTGGGAAATCCGGCGAATATCCAATGTCGAGCAATTAGCAGAGCTAAGCAGGCAAAGATACTCCGACCGGGGAGGAAAACCAACAAATAGATTAAATTATAAAGTTATCCATTAAAAAAAAAAACAACTAAAAACAGAGAACTAAAAAGATACAAAGAAACGGGAAGACAGAGAGCACAAGTCGAGTTTTGGTTTTAAATGGATGCTGATTAAAAGGGAGATGCAAGTGGAAAGTTTGTTTGAAAAGGACATCCCGCTGATAAGTAGTTCCTCCACATTTACATTAAAAATAAGGCCAATAACAGCAACAGTAACAATAAAAAGATTACCAAGGCGTGCAAAACTCACGCGTACCATTGAACAAGAAAACGAACAACCACTACAGCCACTGTCGCAGTCCCAACATCAGCAATATCAACAATATCCGCATCCGCAGCAGCAGAAGAATCAACAACAAACAACATTAAAAGTTATAGAAACAGCGCTTTCCCTCTCATTGCCGCTGCGTGAGGCGGAGGAGCGTCTACTGGAAATAGCAGCAGGCACTGTGATGGCTTCAAAGGTGTCCACGGATGATAAATCAGCCACGACGACGACGACGACGACGACAACGAAAGGGCAATGCCTGGGCACTGATGAGACCAGCGCCACTGGTGGCAACAGCAACAATAGCAACAATAGCACCAACAACAGCAGCAGTAGCAGCAACAACAACAGTGCGCTACAGCCAAACAAAAACAAGAAGCCAAACAGCACGTTGCTTAGCAACATTGGAGACGTGGCAGTCGAACGTAAGCGCAAAAAGTTTCCTGCACACATCGAAAACGAGTCGGGTCAAGGGAAGGGGCAGGAAGAGGAGCAGGAGCTAGAAGAGGATATAGAAGACGAACAGCACGAGGAGGAGGATGAGGAGGAAGATGACGATGGTGATGGAGAGCTCGAAGACGGCCATGGTGAAGCCGTAGGTGAAGTCGAAGGTGAAGTCGAAGGTGAAGTCGAAGGTGATGTCGAGGATGATGGCGATGGTGAAAGCAACGATGAGCAACACATGAAGCTCATATTTCCCGACGATGAAGCGCGTGATGAGACCCGAGAAGCCCCGGCAACTGCAGATGTAGCTGATTGTGGAGGCTCCAGGGAGCTGGCAGGGAGCAGCGAATGTGTTGCTGAACCACATTTGAGTGATCAGCCAGTCCCAGGCACACAGGCCATTGAGCACAGGATAGCTGGCGAAGACACCCCGCAAGATAATGCCAACTCCAACAATAGTGACGACCACTATGGTGAGGATCAGCTGCAAGCAGCGACGGGCAGTGAAACAACGAGGCCAGAAGATGCTGGATCAGAAGTTGCCGCTGCCGTCGCCGCCGCCAACAGTAGCAGTAGCAGCAGTAACAGCATGGAATGCATTAATTCCGGCCAAATGTCAACGATACCAGCCACATCGTCTTATGCTAATGATGACTACATAGCGCCAGAGCAGGCGCTGGTCACTAGCGTCGAATTGGTTGTGCCCCCGCCCTCCCACGCCCTTGCCCACTCCCACCACTATGGCGATGTGGCCGCCTCCGTCTCTTCCGCCGCCCTGGCAGGTATCTTTAATGCTTCAGCAGCAGCGGTCGCAGCGGCTGCGGCTGCAGCAGCAGCAGCAGCCGCAACAACAACTTCTTCCACTTTAGTAGCAAATGATAAAACCGATGGTTGTGCAACAGACTCCAACTTGAATGTAAGAATTCCTACTAACTTAACTTTAACAACAGCAACGGGTGATATATTGCTGACAGACCGGCGCGGCACTATATGGGCACCGCATGGCGAATATAAGGATAACAGCAACAGCGGCAGTAGCAGCAACCACACTACACCCCAGCAGCAGCAACAACAGCAACAGCAGCAACACGTCCCGCCCGACCCACTTGAATCGGAGGCGGCGCGGGATACTTATGCCGATTTATATAGAACAGCGCCACTGCCGCCACAGCAGCAGCAGCAGCAACCGCCACCACCACAGCAGCAGCATCGACAACCTGAGCTGCTGCTGCAGATCGAAAAGGAGAATGCTGAGAGTGCAGCCTTTGCGCAAATGGTGCCGTTGCAACATCATCAACAACAGCAGCAGCAGCAGCAGCAGCAACACCAACACGAGCAACAACACTACGCACATGAGCAGAGGATGCAACAGCAGCAGCAGCATCACCATCATCATCAGCAACAGCAGCATCAGCTTCACAGCAACATGTACGCACAAATGCTGCAGCAACAGAACCTTAATGCTCTGCACCATCATCAGCAGCAGCAACAACAACAACAACAACAACAGCAACACTATCAGAACTATAGTCAACAACATTACCCGCATGATCAACTTTTTGGCCTGCATCACCCCGATCAGTCCCAGCAGCATCATTTGCAGCAACAACATCATCTGGAATGCCATCCTCATTTGCAGCAGCAACAGCAACAACAACAGCAACAGCAACGTGTGCCACCTCATCAGCAGCAGCAGCAACAAATGCAGGAGGCCTACCACGAACTCCTAATGGACGAGTTCCACGAAGATCCCAGTTCCGCGTACAAATTGTGAGTAATGTATGGAAACGTTCAAACGTTTGAATTTTCAAATTTGAAAATTCAACCGCGTTAGTTAGTTGTTAGTTGCAACACATAAAACAATAGATTATTTATATGATGTACGTTCGATACTCTTATATACAATCTTATTTCTAATTTCAATTGAAAAAGAAAACAGAAAAATCGCAAACAGATATTGAAGTAGAGATTCCTAAAATAGATGTATGAGATAATTGAGAAACATAAGCTGATGAAAAACAAGTTAACTAATAGAGCGAAGGTATGGAAGGATTTCAGAATCGATTGTGTACATGAATTGAGAATATCGAGCGCATATTGTATATATGTAGGAATGTAATGTAAAATTCGTATCTAATTCCGATTTTGTTTTCTAGAACCTTGTCGCCGAACAATGCGAAGCCCGAGAATCAGGATGACGGGTATGAGACAAGCGCTGGTGATGTCTTAACGCCCAACTCGCACAGCTCATCCACCCACTCAGTCACGCCGCAGCATCAAATGCAACATGGCGGTCTCGGGTTAATGCCACAAACGAAGCACGAGGAGCTCCAGGCCCAACAGCAGCAGCTGCAGCCTGGACAGAATCAGTCGGCCGCCTCATCGAATGCCAAACAATTGCAACAGGCCACTGGACAGCAGCCACCCATGGGATTGGATCGTTTGCAGGTGCGCGAGAATGTGCCGTCCAATGTTGCCGATCCCTACGGTTTCATGGGGGACGATGTGCGCATGTTGTCCCCGGCCAGTCGTCATGGAGCAGGCGGACCAGCCGGTGCCACAAGTTATGTGACAATGGCAGAGTCTGAACAGAACAACGATATGTATGCCTTAAAGCAGCAACAACAGCAGCAGGCAATGGTCTTAGACCCTAGCCTAAACAATCAGCAACCGCAACAGGATATGGGCCAACAGCATCTGCTCGGTGGAGAGCCCATGGGCGGCGACTCAAAATCCTTGATGACAACGCATGCAGGAGTAGACGCTAATCAGTCGCTAGATCCTGACAACGTCGACATGAATGCGAAGCCCACGCCAAAGAGAAGAGGACGCAAGAAGAAAATCATTGTGCCCGATGGTATACCAGTGACTCAGCCCTGGTATGTCGCATTATGCTTCAAGCTAATTATATGTGTAGGACTCCCACAATATAGTTTTTTCTTCTAAATAATACAAGCTTTGTGAAGAGATCAAAGCTCACAATATAAAAACGCATTTTTTCTAAATGTAACTTATACTTCAGAATTTTAAAAGTGCATATATGTATATATTTTATCATCTGGGCTTATAGGCAGAGTAGGGTATATCTTGAGGAGGGTTTTACACTGCAAAGATTGTTTAGTATGTACCCGAATGTTTTAAGTCCAAATATATGTAACAAATATTATGCAACATATGATTAGCAGGACTAGACGAACCGTTATGCATACATATCTACGTCCGTCTGTATGAACATCAAGAACTTCTGAACCATAACAGTTAGCGACACCAAATGAAGACTCGTCCTACTAATACGCAAAGCAATTTTATCACAAATGTGGCTTCGTAATTTTACATTATTTGTGAAAAAATCGCACTACAATATCTGTTTTGTTTATAAAAATATCCTAACCACACTTGGTATTTTTCAGTTTTGTAAATTTGAACGTTCAACTATATATACATACATACATATATATTCAAATTCACATTTTTTAATATCCATCTTTGTCTTTATAGTGATGGGAGTGGAGAAGTCATGGCTATGGCCGCTGGCAGCCTGGTGAAGCCAAAGGAGCGCAAAAAACACGATCGTTTTAATGGCATGTCGGAGGCGGAAGTTATTAAGCGCACCATACCCGACCACCTTTGTGATAATCTAGATATCGTTATAGTGAGTGTAAATTTCGTATTAGCATTAGTGAGCTATGCGCGCGCATTTCTGGAGAGTTGGAGAATATGATTAAACAACGATGTATTTCATTTTACAGGTTGGCATTAATCCGGGACTATTTGCCGCGTACAAGGGGCATCACTATGCCGGACCTGGCAATCATTTCTGGAAGTGCCTGTACCTATCGGGACTGACGCAGGAACAAATGAGCGCAGACGAGGATCATAAGCTCATCAAGCATGGCATTGGTTTTACCAATATGGTGGCACGGGCGACCAAAGGATCAGCAGATTTGACACGGAAAGAGATCAAGGACGGCAGTCGCATATTGTTAGAGAAATTGCAAAGGTTTCGACCGAAAATTGCCGTTTTCAATGGGAAATTGATCTTTGAAGTTTTTTCGGGTAAAAAAGAGTTTCACTTCGGCCGCCAGCCAGATCGTGTCGAGGGCACTGATACGGTAAGTCAAACTGTTTAATATATACGACTATTGTATGTATATGTTGTATATTGACAAACCCAATTGTGCTATCGCAATGCCTAATAATTGAATATAATAATTATGATCAGCCGCATCGAAATAAATATATCCATTCGTCCGCCCGTTTGTCTGTCGTCCGTAGAACAGAAAACTTTGAAACTCCTTATGATGGCTAATACTTCATTCCATTTACAGAGCAAGTTTATTGCAAACCATTTATAATCCTATTGTTTTATATAGTAAAGATTAGCCCATGGAATTAATAACTTTTCAATAATGCTTCTTATGAACATTCATTAGAATCGAAGCACTACATCTTCGACCTGCCATCGGCACGATCGGTGCAAAACACAGTTTTAGTAACAACTCTTTTTTCCCTTAATTGGAGCTTTGTACGTAAAATGAATATAATAGATCCCATAAACACAATTGTGATTCAAATGAATGCTCCGTTTTTCTGGGGGAGAGGGTATTAATGCTGTCCATGTGCATTTATAATGCTTCTTGGCAATATAAGAAGGTCATATACACATGTGGGTTTGTCGCTATTATTGTCATATTATCATAATTTGCATTGTTAGTTTCGTACAATTAAGATAGAGATTTTCCTTTAAATTCCAGTATATTTGGGTAATGCCATCCTCGTCGGCACGCTGTGCTCAGCTGCCTCGTGCCGCGGATAAGGTTCCGTTTTATGCGGCGCTGAAAAAGTTTCGCGACTATCTCAACGGCCAGATACCGCACATGGACGAGGCTGAGTGCATATTCACGGAGCAGCGGATCCGACAATGCTGCGAGCAGGAGACCCTCAAAAACATTTCCGCCGCCATGGAGCACAGTGAGCAGTCTAGTCTATTGTTTGGTGATAATGCGAGGAGCGCCAACATGGAAGGTGGTGGCGGTCCGTGTCCTAGTCAGCAACAGGCGGAGAAGCTGCTGCCACATTTCGGCAGTGCCGCCCCCGACGTAATTGCCCGTGAAAATTTTATGTATGGTGGCGATGAGAGTATGCGAGGGGCCCAGATGGCGAGCATGGCACAAGAGCCAAGGACCGGGCCAGTGGCGGGTCCTGTGCCTGGCCAGGGACAGCTACCAGTGCCGAGCGGCATGAACGAAAATTACATGTCTGCTTTCGGGCCAGGTCTGCAACCGCAGGAGAAGAAGAAACGCGGTCGGCCAAAGAAAATAAAGGGACAGGAGATGATCGATCCGACCACTGGCAATAAAATTTCAATTAATAACCAGCAAATGGCGCACAACGACTTCAACAACATACTCAATCTCTCGATGATTGGTGCTGGCAATGGCGAGACGCCCAAAAAGAAGCGCGGCCGGCCAAAGAAGCTCAAGCCGCCACTCGATATGATGTCTGCGGCTAAACAGCCGCAACTTCAGCAGCAACAACAACAACAGCAACAACAACAACAGCAGCAGCAGCAGGTGCAGCAAACACAGAATGCCATGTCGATGCACACGCTGGCCATGGAGCACACTTCATCGCCCCAGAGCCATCAGGCCCCGCCCAGTCTGTATAATACGCCGCCGCCATCGCACATGCTTTACACGGCTTCGGCATCGCCGATGGCTTCGCCGGCGCTCAACTGCACCTACTCGCGAGGCACGCCTCCCGTGCCGGCCCAAGGTACACCGCCGATTGTGGAGCAGCAACAGCAACAGCTTCTGCTGACGGATCTAAACAAGAATGCCGCACAGTGCATGGACAGCCCCACCGATCATCAGCATCTGGTCTCTGTGTCCCAGCAACAAGCGCAGGCAGGCTCGCATGTGGGTGGGCGCCTGAGGGAGCCACATCTAGGCGAAACACCGCCGCCCAGTTCGCCGAGCATGTGTGCCGTGGACTTCGATCCGCCACCAGATGCCGGCATTACGGAGCGCGCCGAAGCGGAGCAACAGGGCCTGTTAATGGCACAGCAGCAGCAGCAACAGCAGTCGCAGGCAACGGGAGTGCCGCAAAAATCGCAATACGCCAGTCCTGCTCATGACACCGAGTCCCATGGAGGGCCGCAGGAGCATTACCAGCAATGGCTGTCGCCGCACCATCAGTCGCAGCAACAGCAGCAGCAACAGCAAGTTGTCCAGAAGCCTCTTCAGCAATCTCACTCACCTGTGCTCCAATACACGCCCCTTCACTACCAGCAGGAGCAGCCTGCTGAGCATTGGCAGCGTCAGCAGCAGCAACAACAGCAGCAACAGCAACAACAACAGCAGCAGCAGCAACAGCGGTACGACGAGCATAGCAGTCCCTACATGCTGGCCTCACCGCATCACACACACACCCTCACGCACAGTCCTCATAGCCAACAGCAGACCCAGCAGCTGGGCAATCCTCAAGCCCAGATAGCCTCCGATGTGGCGCGCAAGAGCTTGTCCGGCCTGGAGTCGCTGGTCGATCAGATACCATCCATGAGTGAGCACGAGACGAGCGCCATATCATCGGCCACAGTGGCAGCAGCAGCGGCCGCTGTCGAGAGTCGTCTTTTGGGTTTGCAGCAACAGCAGCAACAGCAACAACAGCAGCAACAGCAGCAGCAAAAACGCTGCATGTCCAGCCATCAAGACAACGAAGTGCCGTCCGATACGTTTGGCACACCCTCAAGCAACAGCACGGCGAGCAACAACAACAACAGCAACGTCCTGAGCAACAACTTCAGCGTTAGCAACCTGGCGGCCTCATCAACCACGGACGCCATCGTGAACAGCAGCGCTGCTCACAACAACTCGAATAACAGCAGCCATAGCCATCATAATCTGAGCGCCAATGGCCATAGCGAGTACGCCACACATAGCCCCACCGCCTATCATCATCCGAATCTCATTAGTGCCGCACTGGCAGCGGCGGCGGCCAACAATCAGCAGGCAGCCGCCCATCATGTGCCTCATCCGCAAATGTATATGGATCCCCATATAGCCCCACATATGGCCCATATGCCAACCGTAAATACGATGTATGGAGCAGCGGCGGCTGCGGCAGCGCCCCATCATCATCCCGCCTATGGCCCGGCGGGTCCCCAGCATAGTGCCGGCGGTGCCACAGACTACGGTCATGGTCATGGTCATTATGGATTGCCGAGCGCACAGGGCACTACGCTCCATGTGCCCAGTCCAAACTATCCGTATGCGCATTATGGACACACGCCACCGCAGACCAATTACCCAAGCTATGCGCACCACCACCACTCGCACCATGGACACACGCCGCACCATTTGAGCGTCTTCGAGCGTCTCAAGCCGTCCGACATAAGCGGGTACAGCGGATTCTGATGGCAACAACAACGATACGAGTACAGCGGCTACGTTTAAATGCACACACCAGATGGAAAAAAGAGATAACTACTCGCCGCCCACCTCCAACCGCCGCCCTGCAATATATATATATATATATATATATATACATGCATATAGTATATACATACATACATACATATACATAATACATATGTATTCAGCAATCTCCGGCGTCGCCGTTTTTTGTAGTTTAAGTAATTTTTATTTTTTAAATAAGATAACCAAAGACTCCGCCTAATAAATTTCTTATGTAAGCATACCTACTTACCTACATATATATACATACATATATAAATTTACATTACTACTTATACATACAATACATAATACATATGGTTGCTGTTTTATATTATGTGAGAGAAAAACACAAAAAACAAAAAACAAAAAAAAAATACGGAAAACAATGAATCGAAGAAATGCAAACTAATTTTTACTAAAGGGAGACGACACACATATAAGAAGAAGAACATAAACATAAACAGATAAATCGTATGTATAAGCACCGTAACTGCATATACACCTGCATAAACAATTCATTCAAAATAGTAAATCAATGTTAAAGTTTACTACTATGTGCTACATATTAACTACAATTACTACAAGAAAAACAAAAGAGAACGAAAAACAAAACGAAAGCAAAGAGAGAAAGAGAAAAAAGAAAACAAACAAAAACAACACTAATCATACGTAACTGCAACTGCAAACTGAACGAATTTTTCGAATTTGACGAAGGAAGAAGCCACTTCTATACAGAATATATACAAAAAGAAAATTACATACATACATAGATGTAGATACTATTGTATTTAGGCGTGGCACGTGACACGTTACACGCGCGAAACGCATCGAAAATCCTCCAATGCAAAGACCCCAAGGGCCCTTCATTAGTCCTCTCATCAGTAGGAACGCGAACGCATCAGTCTAAAAAAAAAGGCAGTCCCATTGCGTCTAGCCGACACTGTTCTCGAGAACAGTGTCTGCCCTCAACTTGGGTCGCAATGGGTGTGGAGCGGGAGCGGGAGCGAGATCGAGATCTAGATCGAAAGAGCCTGAGTTACAATCTCGGCTGCACTGCGAACTGAAACTGAATTCAACAATAATAAACTGTAGAATACTTTGAACTTCGTATATTATACATAAATGCTCTATGCTTTACCTTCAATTTAATTTAAATGAAAACAAGAACAATACAAAAACAAAAAAAAAAACTGTTTAAAAAGGTGCAATAATAAATTATATACATACTATACTACTTAATTGAAATGTTTAAATTTTCTTTATTTCTTGCATTAGTACTTTTTTTCAGTTTAGCTTTGTGTAAATACGAGTACGGTACGAGGTACTTTATGTAGAAACGAACAAATGTCTGATTTTTAAAAAGTTTATGCTAATCACTAATACTGTTTCCAGTATGTGTTGGCTTTACCGATGAAGGCACCCCCAAGTTTCTGTAGCACGATCCATATCTGTCAACCACGATCCATCAATGACATTTGTTGTTTTAGTTCGAAAAAGCTTTTAAATAATTTCTTCTTATTCGCATAAATGTCCTTCATATCCAACATCGTTAAGTGACGAATGCAGTACCGTAACAATAAGATGCGTTCCACTGTAGCTTTTACGAATGGGACTTGGCGTAAAAGAAACTCCGAGTTTGGCCCACAATTGTGCAGCATACTTTTAGGGACATATTTTAACTCTTCATGTTACTTCTATTCGCATGTAGAGTAAGAAGTGTTGGAAATCGTTTTTAACAAACACTAACTTCAAAATGATCTTTTGTATGCCCTTGTCGAGCGCATATTGTGTTTGGAATAATGTTTGTAACGCCCAGATGGAGGCATGGCGGATCACATGTTATGGGACAAGGGTTTCTTTCTTCTGCAAAAACGAGTCCACATTGCTTATACGCATCGATTAGGCAATAACTTGTTTATTTATGAAGCAATGTCGACCAACTTGAATAATTTGTGGTTACGTATAATGATGAATTATGTACTCGGATTTAGTATCTATATCATATTGCCGTCGTATGCTACTGTTTCTAATGACGTCTAAAGAGTGCGCCAAGTTAGAGCCGAACCGACCGACTATGCATGTATGTATATTATTTAGCTCCCATTGCTATAAAAAAGCTTAGAAATACATTCGCAAGAGTATACGAGCTTCGGCGCAATGGTCTGTATGTTTTTTTAATCTTATTATTGACAGCAAAACAATGGTCTAGCATTTTTATCATTGTGTTCTGCTTTTGCGAAAAAGCGTTAAGTCGTGTCGACTTCCAGTCCCTCGAAAAGTCGCTGGACGGGCAAACTGGTTATGTGGAACTCTGTTTATAGAGAGGAGAATTTGAAAACGAAGCATGACTTCTGCAGTTTCGAGGCAATAAAAAAATACGTAGCTCGGCGATTCTGTTGACAGTTCAGTCTTGAAGAGGGTGTGGTTAATGGTAAATCCGGAGCAGGAATCGTGCAACTATTCAAGTTCATCCCCAATTCCAACAGGTAGTGTAAGCAAGCGATAATCGCCAATATGAATTCGATTTTTCTTAATATTAGTATAAGTATAGGAAAATTGCTCTCAACCCTGACACTTCAATTAATTTCACATTGATTCGGGAGCGAAACATTTCCGATCGATCAGCACATTGTTAGAGGAAATGAATTCTGGGAAGCCTTGTTAGGGACTGCGATTACTTACCTCTTACAATTGGTGTTATATAATGAGAATTGAAAGTGAAATGCATTTTCGATTTGCTTTTTAATATGTATGTATTTTTCATATTTTTATTTCGTTATAATATTATAATATATGCACATCTCTTGCCATTCATTAAATATATAGGAACTTTATAAATATTTTATGTTGTAAATTCTACGCAATTCTTGCAGCAACTCTGATTAATATTATGATTATTATTCCATTTCTCTTTTTGCGATTTCGTTTTGTTATACTCGTAATGTATGAGAAAATTAGGATCGGAGCTGGTGGAAGTGGAATCGGAATGAAATTCCTTTCATGGGGTTATTTTCTTTTTATTTTATTTTTTACTTTACTATACGGTTGTAAATCGAAAAAAAAATTCTGTTCAATGTCGGCTCGCACAGAAGTTGAAAGTCATCCTAACACCTCCCCGCCCGACATTGATCGCTGATCGCTGCTCTAAGCGCGAACCTTTTACCGCACTCTCCATATGCCTAAGCATGTACGTACGTATGTGTGTATGCTATATATATATATATATATATATATATATATATACATATGTGCAAATCTTTTTATTTATGTAGACAAAACGTCTTACGAGGATCGCGAGTTGGAGTTGAGTTTTGGACATGGAGACGGGCATTGGCGGTGGCGCGAGTTAGCGACGAGTTGAAAGCAGCTAGATCCATGGAGTAGTTAGTCATACTTCTGAAATCGGTGATATGTCATCTGCTTAGCAACTCGGGGAATACGTTCTCTATCCTATATATATTTATATAGATTTATATATAGGGATGAAAGGTGTCGGCTATCAGTGACAAATGCATTGCAAACAGCTTAAGTTTAGTTTTCTCGACCATCATGAACATACATATATATTGATTCTATTTTTGTTTATTTTAATTATCTGTGAGAGTTTCAGTGTATTTTTCGTGTTTCGTGTTTCATTCTTTGTTCGTCTGTGTGTGTGTGTGTGTGTATATGTGTGTGTGTATGTGTGTGTGACTGTTCTGTCTTTCTTATTTTGTCTTTTTGCGAGATTCAAGGTTCGTATATGTATATGTGTGTGTGTGTGTGTGTAAGTACATTTATTTACCTTACATTTAGTATATATATGTATATGTATATATATATATATATATATATATGTTTATATATATATGCATGTATATCATTATGACTAGATATTTACTTTTTCTGCGAGGATTTCAATTTCTTAAATATCGAGTTTGCCATTTATTTAGTTTTTGTTTTTCTTCTTCTGCATCTTCTTCTTCGTCATCATCTTCTGCGTAATTCTCCGTTTGGTTTTTACTTTTTAAATTTTCTTGTTTGTTTCGTATATAACACATTAATTTCAATTTCTTATGTCAATTCAAAATAATTGTTATGCAAGTATTAAAATATTTCATATTTTTATTCCCAAATATGATTCGTGGTGCATACTTCTACATCGGAATGTTCTCGTATGTATGTATGTATATTGTATATATATATATATATTTATATATGTATGTGTCTTCTTAGAGTTAATAGTTGTCAATATTTAATACTATAGGAACTTCTTAGTAAAGTTATCTTCTTTTTCTTCTTCCTTTATCATATAATTTACATGTTACTTGTGTGTGTGTGTGTGAGTGTATGGGTGTATGTGAGTGTTAAAAAACAATTAATGAATGCATTCGAAATCAATTTCTATTTACGGCTGACTGTGCGCTTCGTTCGTTATTCGTACTGTTTACAGATCTAAACTTCGGGACCAATTCTTTTATAATTCAGTTGGTTTCGGATTAGCGGACGGGCGCCAATATTTTGAAAATACATAACTCATAGAAATGAACGAAATTAGGCTCAACTCAATATACTATATAGTACATAGTACCTTTGTGTGTAGCTCGTAGGTTAATTAATTTTCAAGTTTGATTTCAGAGCGAAAATATCTAAGCAAATAATGTATAGTTGTGTTTATATAGATAGATAGATAGTTATACTATATGCATGTATTTGTGTTGCTGTATTATTAGGATATTGTGTTTAAAGAAAGAACAAATTGTTTTAAGTAGTCTTCTTGCTGAGTTGCTGATATTTGTTCCATTGCTCGTAAGTAGGTGATGTGTGTTCTATTTAATCTATCGGTCTATAAATACATTATGAATTTATCTGAATTTATCTAAGTAGAGGCGATTTGTGTTTTTTAAACAAGTAACAGTATGATATTAAGGTTGAGCCTCTACTCCCGATGCTCAGTCCTGTGTTGGAAGCCATTTAGAACTGAAAACTCAATCGTGAAATAGTTTATCCTTCCTAAGATAAAAAAAAACCGTACGTATGTATATGTAGCTTAAAAAAAAACAAATAAAACAGAAACAAAACTAACAAATGTTAACAAAAACCATGTAATAGATCGAACGTCTGATCGCTCCTTCTAATTCTTCTTCTTCACTTCCTCACACTTCCAGGAGGAAAGAGCTCTCCATGCTTCGCCTAATAGAGTAGTGTGCAGGAAAGTATAGTATGTATATAATGGAACCCAGTCGAAACTACTAAATTGTCGTCTGCAATTGCAATATCTTTTATATATATAGTATACATATATATGTATGTTTGTATGTATGTATGTACGTGCATGCAGAAGTACTAAGCCTTGTTGTATGCTCTTTCTTGTTTCCATAAACCTTCTGTTTTGCAAGAGTATCTCAGTCAGTGGAGGCTTTCGCATGATACGATAGATACGATACCTACATATACGAAGGAATGCAACATTGTATGTATGTATGTATGTATGTATATGTACATAAAGCGATATGTATGTATCGCAAAGCAAACAATTGGCACATATTTTCATGTTTTTAATGTTGGGTGCTAGTCATACAATACTTCCTTCCCTTCCCTTCCTCCGTTCACTTATACATATATCTATGTATGTATGTGTGTATGTATATATTAAAAAAAAAACCTACATGTACATTCTGAACTTTTTGATTCACTTTCCAAAAAGAATATCTATATTATGATTTTTTCTTTCTCTTATTTTTTGTTTCTTATCATCTTCCTTTGTCCTACTTGCTGACGAAACTCGACTCTTCCGACGTCAAGCAACTCTTATGGGGGGCTATGTGGATCGTCTAATCAAGCAATATGTTTTAGAAAAAAAAATCCAAAGAAAAAAATTCTCCTTAATATATTTAAATCATATGATCTATTCACTTTTTATAGGAACTCTTTTAGATAAGTTTGACCAAATGTTTCGGTTAAAATTGCAGTGCAATATATTTCTATATATTCCCTCGTATTATAAGTAGTTTAGCGCTTCGGCAATTCTGACAAAGGGAACTTTTTGGAAGGGTCATTCAAGCTTCGGCTTCTGCCGAATACGCGATTATCGTTTTAAGACGAAAAAAAATTGTTATTTATATGTTATGCTTAAACGTTGTAATAGGTTTCGTTTTCATTTTCATTTTTTCTTTTCTTTTAATACTTAAATAGAAAACAAAGGCATAAAGCAATAAAATGCTAGGAACTCAGTTTGCGTCTCATCCAACCCTCTCTTTTAAATCAATCTTCTCCCTTTCATCTCACATCATCTTCTCATCATCTCACTTCATCGTTTTTCTTACATTTGCGGCTGACTTGACATCGCCTTCTACTCATATTTATATTCATTCATTCGTGAATAGAATACAATCTCTTAACTCTTAAGTGTAAAACGGGCTGCACTCATTGTCCCGGACTTATATGGTAGCAATGGTTCCATTTCTGATTTACGAAAGGACTCATTATATGTGTGGGGTTCTTTGTATTCCCCATCTTTTGTTTCTTTCTTCGTTTTTGCGTTTGTGTTTGCGTCTGCGTCAGCTTTTACTTCTTCATCGTTTCTCCTTCCGTTTTGTTTATGTTTAGATTATTGCTACATATATTTTGAATAGTTAGGAACACTTCCGTATAATTTGTAATTCTTACTAAATTAGTATGTTCGTTTAATTTCCTTAAGGTTAGTTTCTTTAAATTTCATGTTATCAATTTCTGTAAAATAGGAACTTTCAAGTTTTCATATTAAGATGAATGATTATATATGTTTTCTTTTTTCTTCTTTTTTGTTATTTTTGTTTTATGTTATGCATCCTTTAAGCTGAATTTGTACGCGTCCGCGCACGTTCTTCAAGCTCCTCCCCTCTCTTTACACTCACAGTTGAAGTCTCGGAGATTCTGCATCAAGTTGAGCTTTGCCACGCATTTCTAGGATGTACTTTTGGGGCTATTAGCCTGTAAATATAGTTATAGAACCAGTCGTTGAATGAGCATTTCTACACAAACACATTACATAATAGAGATGAGAGAGAAGTGCTCTGAGTTGGAACTTACCCACAATCCGTAAATATCATGACTGGTTACCCGCCAGTTGTTTAAACAATGTTTCGTGTTTATTTGCCACCTATAACTATGAAAGGATGGTGGTTACTTAAGTGATCCATTTTTAAGACCTAATTCAAGTACATACACAAGAATTCAAAGAATCAAAAATACAACGAAACAGTCAACGAAAAGGAAATACAATACAAAGGACATGTTAATCGAAAATCATAAGCAATTTTGTTTTGGGTACACTCTAGTTTAGGAATCTTTTTGGACTCTGTACAGGAAAATCTTCAGAGTAGGACTCTGAAACAGCTAATTAACTAAATAAACGGAATCTGTTATGCTTTGGTCAGAAAGGCAAATAATTTGTGCACGGATATATTGAGTTTCACGATAAGAGCTATAACATTTTTGTAAAAAGGTAAGATTTTGTAGAGCAACACGCTTCTTGGAATTGCTGCTAATGGCTTACGTCGAGAATTGGACGAGTTTGTGTGCAAATTATTTGCATGTCAGTAGAAATCTGTCGAAATACGTTCGATTTGAATGCCCTCCACTAGATAGAGGCAGGGCCCATAATATTAGCATCCATATAACTGACTAATCATATAATGAATCAGTTTGAATCGTTTTGGTGGTGAAAAGTGTTGGTTCTCCCCCAGTAGAAGGGGCGATCGAGGACTAGTTTTCAAAAGTATTGTCGACATTTATGTATTTTAGGAACATGGCTTAATACAAACCCTTTACAGTAGTTAAAAACAAATAAACACAAATGATAAATACAAACAAAATCAAATCAATTTGAGTAAAATAAATCATTTATTTTATGTACAAGTTTTAAAAATAATTATGATCTGTTTTTAGTTTTCATTAAAACTAGTAAAAAAAAAAATAATAATTAAACATTGTTCGATTTGCTTAATCTAACCGATCGAGCTTCAATTGCTTTAATTTAGTAGCCATAACAGTAACAGACAGTAACACCCACTGCTAAACTCTAAACTAAATAATTGTGCAATTGCCGGAATGTGCGATCCCATCCAAAGCAATCGATTTGCGAGAGCGGGTACGGGAATATACTCGTTATGGTAGTACTATGTACTAGCCCTCCAGTGTACAGCGAGTACGAATAGAGAGAGAGAGAGCGAGAGCAAGAGAGAGTGTGTGTCTTCGGAGGACTGAACATAATAATATAACGCACTTTTAGTGTTTAGTGTAAACTGGAAGCATTATCATGCGATTCGCAATATGAGGTTTCTCTCTTACTCCATTTATATACGAGTGTGTGTGTGTGTGTGTATGTGTGCGTGTGTTTTTGTGCGATCTCGAGTGATGTGTAATATACATTTATGTCAAAAAAATAGATATACTCGTACTGCATGTAATATCTATGCATGTGCCTAACTTTAAATAATAAGTATGTATAGCTATGTATATATCTTGTATGTATAATATATATATATATATAGTATATGTATGTATATAGTACTTTATAGTATGTTTGTTTGTGTATATATTTCATAAATTATGAATTGCGAGGCGTATGTAAAATATTTCTATTATAGCAGTAATTGTTTAAAACAAAAAAAAAGTTTAGTCTTTGACAATTCATCATTATTCGAACATTGTGTGTGTATTTTAGGGGGTGACTGAGCTTCTCACCCCTTCAACTCGTATAGCGCTAATTTGTTGTTGTTGTTGTTGTTTTGCTTTTGGAATGTTTCTAAGTATGTATGTATGTGTATGTATCTGTGTGCTATATATGTAACGGCACACAATTTTTAGAGATTAGTTTCGGGATGATACAAAACAAAAAAAAATACAAATAAATTTTGATAAAAATAAAGCCAAATTAAAGGCAAGAATCAACAACATACTTGTTACAAACGAAAACGAAACTGAATGATACGAAGACAAAATGCTAACTGATGCGGCACGCACGAATTTCGTAGCAAGTAGCCGCAACTCTCTTACCGGTGATTTGGTTGCGATTGAACAGTCGCTGCATGAGATCGCGATCACTGCCCGCACTCTTGTTGCCACTTCCATCGCCATCGTGTGCAACAACATCGCCGTCGATGACGCGCTGCTCGCCGCGCGGGTGGACGCGCCGATTGCGACGCCCTGCCCCGGAGTCGACCATGGCAACAGCCGAGCCAGCCTCGAAGCCAAGCATCTCCGTGCCGGCTGCCGCATGGTCCACACCCATGCCCGCCGTATTCGAGACGACGTGCTGCAGAAGCAGCGCCTTGGATAGATTGTAGAATCGTTTCTCTCTGGTGGTGGCACCATCGGAGTCATTGTCATCGCTGCCACTGCCGTTGCTGTTCGCATAGAGCTCACTTGTCTGCTCCAGCAAGGCTTTCACCTTACAGATGTGCTCGACTGTGAACGCATGCTTCTGCATATTGACCTGCGGAACTTGGCACAGCTGGCAGTCCTGGAGGGGTTCGTCGGCATCTGAACTGAGATTGGCCTGGGCATTGGCTAGTTGGTTGACTGGGTGGTCCTGGGACAGCTGTTGGCCTTTGAAGTTGGCCCCAGGGTTGTCCTTGCCGTTGGAGCCATCGAAGCTATTGTTGTCATCCGATATGTGTGCGTATTGGCGCTGGTTGCGCGACTTCTTGTCTTTGGCCCGCGAGTTCTGGAACCAAACCTGAAAGCCAGAAGTCGAAATGTAGGACGGCATGAGTTTCGGCTGAACTGAACACTCGCAAGAACGAACAACGAACGCACTTAATCAAGAATTTTCCAAAAATCAAGAATGTCACATTTTCTAAAACTGAAATGTTCGAAATGCTCAGAGTCAAAATCAAAAGTTACCAAAAATACTACAAATAAATATCAATTTGATAAAATTAACAAATAAATGTCTTAAGTTATTAGTTTGAGGAACCTCTGCTAAGCCTTCAAAACGTACATCCTGTGAATAGTCCTACGTAAAGGCATCTTAAAGAAGTTATCAAGTTTCAATATTCAATTGCCCGATAAGTGGAAACGACTGCGAACAGTGGAAGACAGAAAGCTCATTGCTGCAGCACTCGCAAGTTTCATAGAAAGATGCCGCAGAATTTACTCTTTTGAGGAGTGTTGGTTGTAGTTCGGAACCAAAAATTTCCCATTTTGATCTTTTCTTCTGTACGATATGTTTTCCCCTACGTTTTCGGCATTTCTCCCTCTCTCTCTCTCTATCTATCTCTTAAGCAGTTTCAACTTTATAAGATATTACTTTATATACATATGTACATATATTAGCAACGGGCAAAATGGCTGCCGAGCTTCTGCTCTCATTAAGTGCGCTCGTGTCTCTGTGATTTTTATTTATGTGTCTCCATTGCCTGACTGCATGAAATTACCTGAATATCTCTTTTTTCTAGCCCCAACGCCCCATCAATGGCCACATTCAGGGCCGGCACAACTTCAAGCGTGAGCTCCAAGGCGGCTGAGGCAGCAGTATTAAAAGCTGCCGTTGTTCTGGAGCCTGGATGGCTGTTTTGTCCTGGCAGCCCAACAATTTGCTGCTCCCCGATGTTTGCGATGGCATCAACATCCATCTTCGATCTGTCGGCATGCTTCGAGAGCAAGTGCCACTCCAGAGCCGATTTGATTCTGAATATGCCTCCGCAGTAGGGGCATTTCTTATGAATTACCTCAACGTTCTGCCGAAATTGTCCTTTGCGTTCGCGGGCTCGAGAATTTTGGTACCAGACCTACACACATGTGGTATCATCATCATAATCATCATCATAATCATCATCATCATCATCATAGTACTTTGATTGTTTGTTTTAATTGTTTTCTGTTTTGTTTAGTTTTTCTGTTGTGGCTTATATACTTGTATGTATAAAATGAAATTACAACTTGATTTCGTATACATTGCGTTCTTAGGTTGACCCCTGCTTCGTTTTTTCTTCTTTCTTGTTTCTTTTTCATTTATCTTTCTGTTATTGTATTTTTGTATTTGAAATTGATTTTGTGTATGTGTGTGTCTGTGTGTGTGTGTGTGTCTATAAGCCACAGCCAGCAACCTCAGAATTTGTGTGTTCACTAAATAAAATGAAAATAATAAAAAAATGAATGTAAATATAAGAAAATATACAAAAGCAAAAAAACATAAGCTTAATCCAAAACAATGCATTCGGAAGTCCGAAGCACAAATCAAATTATTATAAATTATTATAGAAAGATCCAAGATAAAAATAAAAAAAAAAAACTCTAAATAATATGTTGACTCTTATTATTAGAATGCATTTGTAGAATATTTTGTATATAAGCTTGAAATATTAAGTTGTATATTCCTTTTCCATGCTACCATATATGAACACAAATTGTCTCTTTATAGATATTTTAGTTTTTCCGAACATGTTTTCGAATTCCCAAGAGGATATTGGAAGCTTCTAAAACCCATACATTTCGCATTATTATCTGATCTATTTCGTTTTGGAAAGCAAGTGCAACACTTGCCAATGACTTTTTTCAGGTTTTCTAACTCAAAATCAAATCAAACTTGGGTTATTTTATAATATCTAAATCCAGGGGAATGCTATAAAAAATGAACTGTCAATAAATTGAAAAAGGAAGTTCAGTTCAGTTAGAGGATAAATTTTGAAATTAGAAAAACTAGCTTTGGAAATTCAATGAATGGTAATTGAAAAGATTTTGAAAGGGTTTTGGAACACTACCCTAGGATAAGAAGACATTGAGCTCAACATAAAAAGGATCTAAGATCTACTACTCGGATATATATATTGGTATATAATAGGTCCCCTTCGATATACCTATTGTTAGTTATAAAAAGATACTCACTTGAACTACACGCTTCTTGAGGTTAACCTTTTTGGAGATCTCTTCGAGCATCTTGCGACTGGGATTGGACTCGGTTTGATAGCATTCGTAGAGGAAGTTCAGCTGTTCTGGGAGAATGGTGGTGCGAAGACGCTTGTTCTGCTTAGAGGGTGCATTCAGTTGCGTTGGAGAGTCTGAGACTTCGGCAGCTTTAGCGGCGGGAACGACGCTCTCGCCTTTGGCTTGAGTCGGTGTGTCATCGTTGAAGGTGAGTGTCTGCGAGTTATTCTCAATCATGGTGGCGTCGAGGAAATCTTCCAGATTTTGAAAATACTGTGTCTTCTCCGTGCTGCTCGCCTTGCGTGTTCGTCCGCTTCGCATGTACGGCATTTGTTTGTCATCGGAGGAACGTACTAGTTCCATATCCATGTCATCGACTGCCTCATTGCTGCCGGCATCGTGCTCCGATCCCTGATTATGATGATGATGATGTCGAGACTTTTCAGTTGGCTGCTCCTCGCACCCAAAACCAAATCGTTGTTGGTGCTCCTTATCGCTGGGGCTCATATTGATATTGTTGTTGTTGAGCTGGAGATCCTCCGCCTCCGACGTGGCAGCTGAGACAGTGGGTCCATTGCCCAGGCGACGATGATTGAGCGCGTCCAGCTCGCTGTTGTTGTCCCTGATGTGCGACTGCTTAGCGCAGTGCTCCTTCTCGCCGATCCCTTTCATTTGGTCATCCGCCGTCGCGTTCGGCAGCTGCGACGACGGCAGCGAGACTGCGCCATCAGGTGTTTGTTGGGGCGAGGCAACTAACTGAAAAAACTTTTTCGACTCGTTCAGTTGATAATATTGCAGCAAGAATTCAATGGTTGGCTTTTTGGTTGAGCTAAACGGTTCCTGTTGCTGCTGCTGTTGCTGCTTCGACAGATCCTCATTTTTGCGATAGTACTGATATAAAAAATCATAATTGCCGGCCTTTTTCAATTCGGTCTGTTGATAGAAATTGGTTAGGAATTCGATTTCCACATCCGAATCGGGATGCTGCTGTTGTTGCTGCTGCTGTTGTTGCTGCTGTTGTTGCTGTTGCTGCTGCAGCTGGTGTTGTTGCTGCTGCATTAGAAATTGTTGCTTGAGCTCAGCATTTGTTTCATTCTGCATGAAATACTGATAGAGAAAGTCATATTTCTTATTCGGTGGCTCGAATTCACCCAACGATGGCAACTCATCGGCATTGGACGATGTTTCCGAATACTTGCGCTTTTTCGCTGGCGGATGTTGCTGCTGCTGTTGTTGCTGCTGCAACATTTGTAGCTGTTGCTGCTGCTGTGCAGCCTGTTGCAGACTCTGCAGTATGCTGCCAAAGGGTCCGTAGGTTGCCTCTGGACTCGTCTGCTGCCCGGTCGCCTGTTGGCTGGCGAACAGGGCTGGACTCATCAGATGCATCAGCTGATGTTCGCGCAACAGATCCAGATGTGTGAACTGCAAATCACACTTGTCGCAGTCCAACTTCTGTCTGCCCTGGGACTGGGATTGCTGGGACTGCTGTTGCTGCTGATGATGGTCGAGACTGTTGCTGCGCTCGCGTTGCGGTGGCGTTGGCGTTGTGGATGGGCTGAAGTCGGTCAGGGATGAGGATTTGCTGAACAAATGCTGGGGCGATACGCTCAGCATGTTCGTGTTGCTGCCCGAACTGCTGCTTGCGGAAACCAGAGCGGCAGCTGCCACAGCAGCCACATTCTGGGGATGGGCGCCCAACAGACTGGCGCCACTACTATGATGAATATCCATGGAGGAGTTCGAGTCCTCTGAGCTGAGATTCTGAGCAATTTGTGCAGCGGCTATTTGCGCTTTGGCCGATTTCTTGTTGTTCTCCTCCTTGAAGCAGTGGTTTTTCTGGTGACGTATGAGCTCGTAGTAGCGCTGGAATTCCAGGCCGCACTTCTTGCACTTATAGTTGATGTTCTGTTTTTTCTCTTCGGTCTCGTACAGGGAGTTGTTGGGCTGGTTTTCGTAGATCTTACGCTGCTTCTGACGGGCGTTCTGGAACCAGACGACAATGACGCGCGGCGAAAGTAACAACAGCTTGCTCAAGTACTCCAGATCACTGTCCTTGGGATACGAATTGTTCTCAAAGAACTCCTGTAGAACCTTGATCTGATAGTCGGTGAATCGCGTACGATTGGCCCGCTTCCCACCCGAAGTCGACGATGAATTGGATGAGTTGGAATTGGTCTCGAACTGCGAGCCCGGCGAGTTCTTTTCGAAAGCCTTGCTGCTGATTTGCAATTTCTTTGGCGGTCCCATATTGTTCATATTCCCCATATTCTCCAGTTGCTGGCTGAGCAAGTCATTCATGCTGCTATACAGGTTGCTGGCGGAGGCGCTGTTTGGGGTTTGTGGACGTGAGAGTACATCGGAGCTACCGCTCTCCGACTTTGTCTCGTAGCTGTTGGATAGCACCTGTTGTTGTTGTTGTTGCTGTTGCTGACTGGCGTAGTGTTGGACTGGCAGCACGGGAACATTATTTGATTGCTGCTCATGCAAGTCGGTATCCTGGAGCTGCGATTGTTCCTGCGACTGTTGCTGCTGCTGTTGCTGCTGCTGTTGATCCTGCTGCTGTTTTAGAAAGTTCAGAGCCTGTGAGGAGCCGAGCAGTTGCTGCTGCTGCTGCTGTTGTTGCTGCTGCTGTTGCTGTTTCTTCTGATAGGCAAACTCGCCAGCAGCCATGGCCTCGTCCTGCGGCTCTGTCTTTATTTGAACATCCAACGGAAATGGCAGCAGCGACTGCTGATCCTGCTTGGCGCTCATGTCGCTCTGCTGGCCAAAGCAGAGGTTGTTAGTGAAATAGTCCGAGATGTTGCCACTGGAGTTTGTCGATTCGGGACGCGACTGATTGCCCTTTGGAGCCGGCGCTGGTGCTGAGGCAGCGGCTGCTGCTGAGGCGGCAGCTGAGTCATTCAAGGGCGTCACTTTGGCCTGACCGGTGCGTTCGTACTCCTCCAAGTTGAGCGTGGTCGATGGTGGATTATTGAAGTTGTAGGGTGAGTCTTTGTTGCGTTGGCGTTCCTTGAAGAGTGTGTTGCGGAACCAGTGCTTGACCACCTGCGGAAGGACGGAAAATGAAAATTATAGCAAGGTTTCCTCTTCTCATTTATTTATTTAAATGTAGAGACGCTAGCTGCTTACCTTCATGGGCAGATTCGCCTTTTGGGACATTTCCATGATGCTCTCCTCGCTGGGTGAGTTGTTGATATCGAAATGAGCTCGCAAGATTTTCAATTGATCGTCTGTGATGCGTGTGCGAGCGCGTTTCTGGTTGCTGGACATTTGCTGCTTTACAATTCAGTAGAGGAGTATTAGAGAAATTTAAAAATATAGGCATATATATCGCTGCACAAGTTACCTGAGCATTGGAGCTGACGCTAGCCTGGGGTGGCAGAATGTTCACATTGGATGCCTCGCTCGTTTGGCCGATGGGTGTGGCAGCAGCCGATTTTTGGAGATCAGCAACGCTTGGACTAGCGGATACTCCACTACCGCTGACACCATTATTCTGAGGACCAGCAGAACCGCCCACGCTACTCCCAGTGGTTGCTCCAAATATCAATGGAGGCGCCAGATTCATAAAGTTCAGCGACATCAGGTGATGGAACTGCATGAGATTGAGCATATCCACCGGATTGATGGGCATACCCGAAGCGGCGGCCGCTGCAGCCAACTGCTGCTGTATTTGCTGCAAGTTCTGAAGGTTCTGTAAGCTCTGCAGCGACTGAGCGTTCATGTTGGGGAACTGTTGTTGCTGCTGCTGCTGTTGCAGTAGCTGCTGATGACCCTGTGGGCCACCGACCTTTTGACCGAAGAGCGTCGGCTCTACTTGCAAGTGATGCATTATATCTGCCGGAGACATGCCTTCAACGGTCGAGGCATCTTGTTGGCATTGCTGCTGCTGCTTGAGAAGGGCGGCGGTTAGGGCCGCGAAGTGTTGTTGCTGTTGCTGTTGTTGGGCCGAGTCGAGTGCACTGGGGGACAATGCTGGAGGCATCTGCATGGGTTCCTTTGGCACTGCTGCGAACAGTTCCTTTGACTGCGAGTCTAACTGTAGAGGAGACTGAGTAGGGGAGCGCCTGATGACTTCACTGGGTTTTGTGCCTGCAAAGGGAAGAGCAATACATTGGTAGTTATGTGCGGGGGCTCATACAGATGGGTATGTTTACTAGACTGTGGACAAGTTCCTACCTGATTCATTGGGCCTATTCGCATTGGCGTCAAAAGAGTTGGGATCCGTCGTGGATAGCTTTTCCACCTCGTTCGCGCTACTTGGCGACATAGTGCGCGGACTACCTGCAACGGTGCATTCGCCGGCGTGCGTCTGCTCCATGTGCTTCTGGAGCGCCTGCGTGCTTCGAAAACTGCGCTGGCACAGCGCACACTTCGTGGCGTCGCGCATACTGTGGTAGAGCATGTGGGTTGTGAGCTTCTCCTGCGTCTTAAAGGCCAGCGAGCATTGCTTGCAGCGATATTTGTAGACGTGTCGCTCTGAGATGACCAGGCTCATGTGCGTATCCTTGTAGTGGGCAATCATTGTGGGCAGTGCGGCGAAGACCATGTAACAGGGACGGCTTATGTGACTTACGGCCAGGCAGAGATAGTCGCCGTTCTGAACGGGATAGTGCTGAGTCTGTTGGGCGTGCTGGAGAAGCTGCTCCTCGTGTTTGAAGCTCGCCTCGCACTGCTGACAGGAGAGACCCTGAAGACCTGTGGAGCTGCCGCTGCTGGTACCGCTGTTGCCACTGACGGGTGCCCGATGCTCGGAATGAACTGCAAGGGCTGGCAGCCCTGAAGTAGAGTGCTCCTCGGCAGCGCCTTTCGAATGTCCGCTATCTGTGGCTGCTGCTCCTGAAGGGATACCCACAGACGCACTGGCATTGCCAGAGCTTCCACTTGGCGGTGTGTTCCAGGCGCTCTGATCAACCAGCTGTAGCAGACGTGACAAGCCATCGCGTGCCACACTGTGTACACTCATCAAATGGCTCTCCAGCAACGACTTTTCATTGAATCCGCTCTCCAGACACAACGGGCACTGCACGCCAGAGCTCGCCGCTGCCGTTTCACTCACTTTACTAAGTGTGGCATCCTTGGGCGAGGAGTCGTCGGCACTGCAACGAGAGTTGTCTGCCTCGCAGGCGGCAGTGCTCATTTGCTCCTCATCCTCTTCCAGACGCTCGCGCTTTATATCAATGGGACAGTCGTCTTCAGTGGCTGAGCGGGGCGAGGCAGCGCTGCAACGTTGGACAGCGGCCAGAGCGGCGGCTGCGACAGCCGTTTGGAAAGCCTGGAGAGCCGCTGTGTTTGTGGGTATGCTCATGTAGTCATCATTCTCCGCATTCGGATGCACGCTCTCAATGTGTGCCTCCATATCCTTTTTCGATTGCACAAAGTACTCGCAATGGTTGCATTTGAAAATCATTGTGGACATGCTGGCTGCCCCACTGCTCGAGTCTCCACCACCGGCTGGTGAGCCGATGCGCGCCTGCGCCTTGCCACAGGACGCCAGCGAGCAGCTGGACGTGGGGGAGAATATGTTGCTGTCGGCCGAAGAGGCGGCCACTGCTCCAGCGCCAACATCGCCGGCAACACAAGCTGGTGTTGCCAAGCTCAGACCGTCCGTCATTTGGCCATCTGGAAGGAAGACGGAGCGAGAGGGTGAAGAAGGCATACATACATACATACATACATATGTGATTAGTGATATACCAATGAAGAACAAGAGGGAGTAATTGCCAATGACTCTTCGCAACATTCAAGTTGCGGCAGGGGACTTACTTCAAAGCAAAAGAGAAGGACTACAGTCATACTTTGTGATAAATAACTAAACGTGGAAGGGATATTATTCCTCTCAATACCAAGTTATTCCCATACAGATATTGTAAGATAAGGAAAGGAGCGGACAACAAAGATTATAGCAGTTCTCACTACGGTTTCAAACTAATATTTTAACTGATTGACGATGTTAAGGCGAGTAAATTATAGCAAGCGTTTACTGTTATAACATAAAGCTTTCGTCCCTATCAGTGCATCTACTCGTACTCGCCAAAAACCAAAAGTACAGCAGATGTTTCCTGGATTTCCGGCCACTGCCAACAATTTAAAGGCCAAGCAAGAAACGCGAAAAGGAAAATGCGAAACGCGAACGCGAATAAGTTTGTCTGCATTGGCAGCATCGAATCATTTATGCCCTGCACAATTAAGCGAATAGCCTAAGCGGATTCAAGTTTGCATACCAGAAAAAATTACCAACAGTCCTTCCCATAATGAACCAAAAACTGAAAAAAACAACTGAAAAAAAACAACTTGACTGAAACTAAAGCGATGATGATTACAATGTAACTGATGGTTAATCCAGAGCTCGCATATACCACAGACACAAACATTCACACACACACACATACATACGTACGTGGTTAAACCTTAAGAAGCCCTGCGGCTAATCAATGCGATTGATAATAGGAACAACAACAACAACAACAAAAGCGTCATCGGCAAAACGCAAGTCCATGAGCAACAACAAAAGGCAGACAGTTCGGTCGAAGTCTTCGAGTCGCCGTCCCAGCCCCAGCACTGGTCCAAATCCCCCATCCCAACCTCAGTCTCAGCTCTGTCTCAATATTCGTCTTCATCTCCGTCACCGTCACCATCATCGTCCTCGTCCCCATTCCCCCCCTTCGGCCATCATGTCTCTGTTGGTCTCAGCTGCGTACGGTTAATTGCAAGCAAGGGTGCAGTGGTGCGACCAAATGCGAATATATTTCAAATTCCATTACCAATTTCAAAGCAATTTCCATACAGCCTGATTGCATCGAGTTAAAAAGCCAACAACAACAACAACTACAAAAAGAACACAAAAAAAGAAGGAGAATCAAGACCGCGACTGCGGCAGAGTGTAAACCACTGGGCAGAGAAAGAGCGAGAGAGTGGGAAACGAAATGGGACGAGATGGGACGAGATGGGACGAGACGTTACGGGACAAGAAACAAAACAAAGCCAATGTGTATGTGTGTGCGTATAAATTTGTGAGTGTCTGTCTGTCTGTCTGTCTGTCTGTCTGAGTGTGTGTATTGCAGTGTTGCATACCCGAGCAATAATCATGCGCAGCTGTTGCCGCTGCTGGCGCGGTCACTAGCCACCAACAACACCAACAAGCAACAGTAACAGCAGCAACAGCAACAACAACAACAACAACAGCAGAAGCAACGCCAACGCCACCAACACCACTTACTCTCCAAAAACACAACTCCGACACCAATAGCAACAACAACAACAACAACAACAGCTAAGCAAAGGAGCCGTGCAACGGCAGGCAAAAGGCAAAAAGACCAAAACTCACTTATGACTTAAGATGGGTATCATTATGTAGCGCTTTGTGGCAGCAGCAGCAGCACCACCAGCAACAGGCAACTCACACACACACACACACACACACACACACACACACACACACACACACAAACTAACCAACAAAACGAACTGAAGACCCCAACAACAATAATAACAACAACAACAACAACAACAACAACAACAAGAAAGCAACAGGGACGAAGACTCGCACTTTCAAGTCATTCTATAGTTGTGTGTACGAGGCTTCAACGTTCAGGGAACGAAGACTAAGCTTATTATTCAATAATTCCAAGCATAGTTTTCGGTGTTATATGAAAACGACAATAGCAACAACAACAACAGCCACCGCAAGATCACAGTCTGAAGGCAAAGCAATAGAATACAAAAACAGCTAAGCTTGTGACGAAGTGCATATACCCTTTACCAAAAGAGTTCCTCATTGACGTTGCATTCCTTTCAGTATAGCTGGATATATTTTTCACGTTCTAAATCAAATTTTACGAAACGTATAAAATATCTCAAAGAATTGTCAGAACCCAAAGCCTTTGAGTTTTCTAGCTCTTGCTTACAAAAACATCTTAAAACTTCGACAATTTTATATTGGCGCACAAATTTGTCTTATTTTTCAGAAATGCTTTAAAAAGCCAATTCCAATGAAGATTTTAGTAAATAATTGTTTTTAGTTGAATAATTACTTCAACTGTCTGGCTATTCCAAGCTAATATTTTATGCAAACAGAGTTAATTCCAAATACAACTTTATGAAACATTGAAAAGTTCTTAATGAGACTGTGTGGTGAAACAAACAACTTTCTCAAAAGATTTCGCGGAAATTTACTACATACTTGTATATATTAGATAAGTAATTAATAATTAATAATAAGAACACAGTCTGCAGCATGGACAACGGAATTACATACTTATTCGATTGCCCATTTCTAAAGACTGTCTGAGCAATGTGCAGCAAGCTTCATCCGATCATCGAGCGACTCTTCGCGCTCCGCACGCCTATAACAATAATAAGAACAAGCCCTGAGCCATAGTCAGAGTGTAGGGAGCAAGGTTTGAGGAGCGTGGTTCGCGTCTGCGTTTCTCGATATGGCAAGCATTTCAATTTTGCATATACACTCGGCTCGTGCACCCTACAATGCAATGGAGAGGCATGCGGCATGGGGCAAGATGGGGCATGTGCAATTATTAGTGAACAACGACGCTGCCTGGTGGGTGTGTAGAGTGCAATGCCATATTCGTGGAGGTGGTGGTAGCGGTGGTTTGGTAGTGAGGCGGTGGTGGTGGTGGTGGTGCTAGTGCTGGTGTTCCCGTTCCCCAGCGGTTTATGCGGCGTCTGTTTGTGGCTGCTGTTGTTGTTATTGTTGTTGGTGTTGTGTTTTTGTTGTGTCTCTGCCTGCTCATCAGCCAGCAGACTCAGTCAGTTGGCTGGTTGGTTGGTTGGTCGGTCGGTCGGTCCTGCTCTGTGGTTAGGTGCCTGCGGTCCGGCTGCGGCTGCGACTGCGGCTTCAGATTCAGCTTGAGCTTCAGGTTCGGCTTCGGCCTCGCACGACGCGCACACCGAAGCGCAACGCGCCGCATCTGATATGGGAATCACACTGTGGCGATGTCTGTTTGCCTTTTGGATTGTGGACTGACTGTATGGTATGGAGATGGAGATGGAGCGAGCGAGCGGCGGCGGCGGTGGACTGGCGTGGAGCAAAGTGTGCACGTCACTAATTGCAAATTCGATGGATACACATAATCGTTTTTGCATTCTTAAGTAATTTGTAATAATTTCCTCAAGGGTCAGCGTCAGCGTATAAATCTCACAGCGCATATAAATCGCACCAGGCAAGGGCGAGCGAGGGCACGCAATGAAGAATTTACGTATACGCGGACGCGGACGCGGACGCGGACGACGACGCTCAACGACAGACAGACAGACAGAGAGACAGACAGACGGACAGACAGACATACAGACAGACGGACAGATCGAGACAGACCGAGGGCCGACAAGAAGTTGGGACGCGGGACGACGACGATAATAATCGAAGAGCGGTGCAAAAGAAATTGAACTGAAATCAGCGCTTAATGATGAGTTACGAACGAAACGTATTATACAATGCAATATGGGTATGGGATATGGGCATGGGCATGGGCATGGGCACGGGCATGGGCAAGGGTAAGGGCACAAGCTATAGGATTGGGGTGTGGGGTGTGGGGTATGGACATGGGCATTGGCATTGGGGCATGGCTATGTGGGTAGAGGTAGAGGTAGAGCTGAGACTGATATTAAAAACGCTCATAGGAATCGAAGCTACGACTACAACAGCAAAACACATAATAGCGCTTTACGATTATGCATCTGTATCTGTATCTGTGTGTGTGTGTGTATTTGTAGGTGTGAATGTGTTCGTGTCTGCGAAGATGACAAAATGTGCTAGAAATTTTAACAATTAAACTGATGTGAGTTCAAAAACACATTAAAGAGTTGTGCCAACACAATATTACGACCACTGCCTAGAGAGATTCTACAATATTTCATTGAATTTAAAAGCTCGTGAATGTCCTTCTCGCTTTAATCAGAAGAAGCAGAGAATAATTCCTAATAATTTTTAAAGTCATGGCAACAACAACATTTCTTCGTCTAAAACAAAAGACTGACTGGAGCAAAGGCTACTAGGGAAATCGGAATTGCATCCGGAATTGCATCCTTAATAAGATCTTATCAATTAAAGCTGTCATTCATATCATTCACACATTTATTAGATTTGGTTTCTCTTCCTCCATCGCACTCACTAGGATGGGGCGCACTTTGCGAACAATGCCTGTATCCCAATCGGATTCATCGTTAATTTGTGAAAGCGCCACAGATTTGACAGAACAAAGGACTTTCGCTTCCGCTCTACACTTAACGCACATTCTCGAAAAAGGGCAAGCATCAAAGTTGTTCAACTGTCAGCTTAGTCGACAATGAAAGTAAATGGGGATAAGTCCTGGCCACAAAGCGGACACGTTAGAAAGGGCGAATCCTGCTACCAACTGAAAGGGGAGGTGGGCTCCAACCGAAAAAAAAACTGTCAGTTTTTGTTGAAAGCCACAAGACATTAACTAGCATTGAGTTTTTGATACAAAAAAAAAAATTGATTTCATGCTTGAATATGGAACGGTAATTTGAAAGGGTATACATATTTGTAAAAATACTCTATAGCTAAATCGGAATTTGTCATAGTTTGAGTATAAAACTGTGGCCAGAAGACCTTAATATTATTCTTTCAAAAGTAATAACGATTCTCTACTGTTCAGTTAATGGTTCTACATCGTATATAGCAATGGGTTTCTGTGGAATTCATTAATACTTTTTATTTCTGCTGGGGGTGAACATTTTTGTATTTTTTTAATTCCCAAACTGAAGGAAGTATAGAACATTTTTTCAATATCTGCTCTGATCTTCACTTTTTCATTAAATGTACGAATTTGTTCAATATATTCTTTTATCTTCACTTTTTCATTAAATGTGAGAATTTTTAATATTAAATATTTTAAAAATATAGTCAACCAATTGAGGAGAAAGATTACCAATTGAATGCAAATTATTCTAAAAAGTTATAGTAAGCACTTCCTATTTCTCTACGATTCTTTTTTCAGTTGCGTTGAAATTATTTGAACTTTGTGCGATTTGAAGAATTTGTGCGCAAATTATTTGCTGGTCTGACCATAGCTTAATTGTATGCGGGGACAGATTGATTGATATGAAGGTAGATTGCAGAGGTGGGGTATTTAAAGGCATTTACTCACCTTCGCCGTTGCCTGGAAGCTGTTCGGTGACCTTGAAGACTTCGTTCAGTCCCGGCATTTCCAGATTCTCGCTGCGTCGTTGCAGGCAGATGAACTGCTCCACCTGCATGTGTCGCAGACTCTTCACGTGCTGCACCATCTCGTGGAGATTGCGGGCGGCAAAGTTGCACAGCTGGCAGAGGAGAGCCTTCTGCGAGGAGACTGAAGACTGCTGCTGCTGCTGATGTTGCTCCTCCTGCCCAACATCGGAGGCGTCTGTGCCGCTTCTGTGCATCCGGCTCTGCTGAACGATGTAGAGCAAGTGCTGGAATATCATGCGCATGGTGTCGTGTCTCATCTGCTGCGTGTGCAGGGACAGCTTCTGTATCGAGTTGGTGTGAAAATCACAGCAGTTGCACTTCAGCTGGACAACATTGGCTGCCAGCTGGGGCTGATATTGCAGCTTGTACTCGTTCCTTGGACCGCCCTCGCGTATATGATTGATGAAGTTCAGCTTCTGCAGATGCTTATCCGTCTTGCTGTGCAGCTGAAAGTTGGCTTTCAGATTCGTCTTGTAGTTGCAGAGTCGACAAATGTAGTTGTTGTTGTGTATGACCATAATATCGGATGAGGCATTCGAGGATTGACGCGACCGGTCCACCAGCAAATGCTGATTCAGTTCGTCCAAATTGTTCGTGCTGAAGCAGTCGCAGATCAGACAACTATACAGGGCAGTGGGCCATGCATCGGGCTTGCTAGGTGGTTCCAGGCTCTCGCTAGATGAGGCGACAGCGGCCGCTGCTGCTGCTGCCGCCGCTGCTGCCGTCTCGCCGGGCAGTCGAGCGTCCGCCCCCAGAACCATAACGGGCGGCATCTTCATTGATTTGGGCGAGTAGGAGAATTGTTGTGTGGAGGACGAGTGCTCGGGTGTGCTCACTGGCGATGGTGGCGACAATTTGCTATTGGCTGGCTGCTGCTGTTGTTGTTGCTGCTGCTGTTGCTGTGTGGCAGCGGCCTGTGCGGCAGCCGCATTCTGATGCAGCAGCTGGATCATCAGCGCCTGGTTGTAGGCCAAGTCCGCCAACGCCACTTCGGGCAGAAAGCCCGAGGCCGCCCCACCGGGAACGGCAGCCGCGCCCTGTTGCTGCTGCTGTTGTTGCTGCTGCTGCTGTTGTTGTTGCTGCTGCTGGAGGAAGTTGAAGGCCTGTATGTGCTTAATGTTGTTCTGGAGCACGGCCATGTTGTGCGTATGCTTCTCACTGGTCATGTGGATGCGCAAATTTCTAGCCACCGATGTCTCGTAGCTACAAATGTCGCATCGAAAAGAGGGCTTCGGCTTGGCAGAGCCACCGCCCAGTGGTGCAGAGCTGGCGCTGCTGCTGCTGCTCACCGCACCGACACCCACACCGACGCCAACACCTACTCCGACGCCAGCACTGCCACTGGCCACGGCAAGAGCCTGTTGGGCAGCTGCCGCGGCCGCCGCTCCCTGCGATGTGGGACTCGGGAGCAACATCTTGGCACTGGCCTCCAACTTGCTGCTCGCAGCGGCTGCAGCTGCGGCTGCGGCAACCATGTTCTGGGAACTGTTCAGTTCCTGCATATTATTTAAATGCTTGTCCGACTGCATGTGGATGGAGAGGTTGCCCTTGGTGGTGGTCGAGTAGTTGCATATTTCGCAGCGATAGGGCTTGTAGCCACACGAGTAGGATTCGCCACGTGCCAGACGTGGATGTTGTTGACCTGGTTGGGGATTGAAAGAGAGCGTTGTTGCATGTGTTGATTTCATTTCATCTTTATACACTTGGAGAAAATAAGAATGGTTCTCTATTGCAACTTCTGGGAAGACATAGGAGCTGCTGATGTTGATTCTTCTCTTCGAAAGAGCGGTTGAATATCTTGAGCTACTGAATGATCTGTCTGTTGATCTTCTCTCTATCTATTTCTTATAAAGTCTGGGAAAAGTCTTTGTATATATTATTATGCATTTCTTCTATATATGTTGCTCTGCAGGAAAATCCCAAGTACCCATCATCTCTCTAACTAAGAGTCTAACTTATTATTGAAGGTGTTCTCATTTTCATTGTCGTCTAGTTCACTTTTAAATCTAAAGAGCGTACGAAATTTACAATCAAATCTCATTTTAGATATTTTATACGATTCAAGAGTTCGGCTAAAGAAGGCTAGGAATTGTTTATTGTTCTTTTAGGTATAAAAACGATTGATTACTGTTTGGGTTCGCTCTTCAAGTTTCTAGCTCCACACATGTCTATTAACTGTTACGAATAGTATTTGAAGAAGCCGTTACAATGAAAAATTTCAAAATTCAAGCAACACAATTTTAACTAAACCTTGTATAAGCCCCATATATGTTCTTTGTAGCAATACAGCTCTACTCACAGGTAAAAAGAGAGAGAAACATGATAGACTTGCCTAACACTTTTCTTCGAGTGTACTTATTCACAGTTATGGGAGGAAGAATGGTGTTCAACACTTACCAGCTAAGCAATAACCACAGGCACTCTCACCGTCCGGATGCTTCTCTCGCATGTGTATCTCTAGGGTCTCCTGATATTTGTAATGCCAATTGCACTGCGGGCATTTCAGGGTCTTGCATGAGTTGCGTGTCGACATCTGGACGCCGCTGTTGAGACGAGCCGAGTTGAGCAGCATTTCGCAACTGCAATGACAACAACAACAATAATAATAATAATAGCAATAACAACAACAACAACAATAATGATAAAAACAACAATGATGAGGAGGAGGACGATGATCATCATGATATGATCCGTATATACGGATACATATACATATGTATATGTATGTATGTATGTATGTATGTATGTATGTGTGTATGTATGTATGCATGTATGTATGTATTAATAATAACAACAACAACAATGAAACAACACAAACAAAAGCGTAAACAACAATGTCAGTGTGCAGTCATTTCTCTATTCTTTTTTTTCTTTTTTAATAATAATAATAATAAATTCATACATAAATGCCGCTAACTATTGTACATAAATAAATAGACAAATACGAAAACAGATTCTCAAGCGGACGGACGGACAGATTGTGTGTGTGTTAAGAACGTTACTCTGCGATTGGGTATAATGAATAAATGGGTATGCTTGTATAAACTTGCATGCCATTTATACAAACATGCGAGTATGTGTGCCTCTCCATTACTGTTATGTGTGTGTGTGTGTGTGGTTACTTGTACTTATCGTAATTATTTAATTTGAATTCGAGCCGACTTCATTGTGAGCAAGCAACCAATCCCAATACAAACACACACACACACACACAGAGACATTCAAATGTGCACACAACCCCAAAGTGTTGATGAAATTTCATGATCCCGAGCCCCTGGTACTAGTACCAGTATTATACATAGGTGGGAGAAAGGCAGAGCGAACAGAGAGGGAGACTGGCAGGCAGGCAGGCAGGCAGGCAGGCAGGCAGGCAATCGCAGCACCCAGTAAATTGCGACAATTGAAGCTGTACATCGCATTTATTGAGTGAAATCAGCGCAATTGGTTTAATTTATTTTAGTTAAGCCACCTCGCTTTCGTTCCCTTCCCCATCTCCATCCCCATCCAGCACCACCATCCATAACTATGGCCCCCTTGTCGCCCCCCTAATAGCCCCTGTCCCCATGATCATGCCCATGCTCCATGGTCGGACGCACGTCTCATGCCCAGCTCGGTAACGCATTCATTTAAATGGGCACCCCGGTCATTAAGATTTTTAGGAATTTTGTTTGTGTGTAAGCCCCGGGAACGCCAATAAACACTACCGTTGATTATGCTCCACACATACATACACACATACATACACACATATATATACGATTATATATGTACATACATATATACAGATGTATAGTGATTATATGTATATACTCGCACGATTCCCATGATTACTAACACTGTGCGTTCGGCATTGCTGCTGTTGTTGTGAAAGAGAGAAATTGCAGAAACATAAACCCAAAAGAAGTATACACATCCTATTTAGTTGGACCATTTATGTATGTAGCTTCCCAGAACTGTCATCAATTTTAATTAAGTAATAAACCAATTGGCTTTTTGTCGGTAACCGTTGAAGATCACTTCTATGAAAATACTTGTATACTATATATCCATCGCATCGTCATCATGAATATCTAGTGTGATTTGTATGTATGGTGCAACGTAATTTTCATTTAATTTACTTAATTTCCCACCAGATTCGGCCAAAGTAGACTCCAAAATGGAATTGATGTGAATGCCGGGCCACACTACGAGTAATTTAAAAGAAAACGATCATGCCTTTCATAATATCTCAGAACATCAACGCGTCCGAAGTAATTAAATACTTAAGCAATATATTATTTAAATAGATCTAATATGTATATCTTAAGTCCTTGTGCCAATTTTTTAAGACCAGTTGAAATTATTCAATTCAATTACTTCCTATGTTCTCCTATTTCACATTATTCTCCCCAAATTTCTAATAAGTAAAATCCAAAACATCTCCGAAGACCGATTACTAATAAAGCTCCAGTGCCACAAATATAATCCTTCTCTTATAATCCTTCACAAATCACAAAGCATCATACTAGCTAGCAATTACTAGATAAGTCATTTAGAATGGGTTTCTTACAAAATAAAGCTTTGTCATCCTTTTGTTTTTGGTAACAACATTTAAAAGTGAGAAATTTTAAATGTTTTCTCAAATGTTTTCGCACAAAAATAATGATCATCTTTGATTGGAAGCTGAAACAATATTTAATATTTGTACTTTAAAATAAAACAAGCTTCAAACGTACATAGTTTTCAATTCAAACTTGTTTTAGTCTTATTAACAATTATGTTTTTCGAAGTGGAGATCAATTATAGTTTCATTTTCTAGTTTGTTTTTTTTTTTTTTTTTGTGGCTGTTTCTGTAACTAAGATCCCTTCATTCGTGCTTTGTTCAAACTATTTTACTTGTTAGAGCTAAGTTGAAGTAATATTTATTATTAATATTATAAAATTGAACTAGCTTCAAACTAGATTTCAAACTCAAACTTGTATTGGTCTTATTACCAATTATGTTTTTCGAAATGGAGATCAATCATGGGTTTATTGTTTTGTACTTTGTTTTGTGGCTGTTTCTGCAGCTGAGATCCCTTTATTCGTGCCTTGTTCAAACTATTTTATTTGTTATATCTACGAGTTGGAAAACCCCCCCTGAACCATTGGCATCATCAACACTATGCGAACTACCCATTCACATTCAATTGCTAAACTGGGAAATTGTTGGTGTGAGATGACCCTTTTGGGCACCACAAAACTCTCACTGATGCAATCATACTTGTATGTCAGCATCAATGCTCGTACATATCTATATTCATATAGCCCTGTGCTACTCATAATTAGGATGGTCAAATTCAAATCCCAAAGTTCATTTGCGAGTAAATGAACAACCAACATCGACATCGACAGCAACATCGTCATCAACATCGGCAGCAAGCCGCAGGCGTCTCACGCGCATGTGGAAATTAGACTAATGAGTTATTGTGTGGCCGAGGTGAGCAAATCTATCCTTTGTGCGTTCTGCCCCCTCATCCTCAGCCTTATCCTCATCCTCGTCCTGTTTGGAAGGCATGCTGGCAGCCAAAGTTCAAACAGCAGTAATAATTACGCATATGCGTTCATCCGGCTGCAAACCCCTTTCACTGATGGCCTGACTGGCTGACTTTCTACTGTCGGCACGTACCAGGCAGGCAGGCTGGCAGGCTGGCAGAATGGCAGGCAGGCTGGATGGCAGGCAGGATGGCAGGATGGCTGGCTGGTAGGCAGGCAGGGGCACCCCCAGACATGCGCAGCTACCCTGACGAGCGCAACCCTTACGGTAATGGCAAATGAAGCGCCTTGGGCACTTGTTTTCTCACGCCCAAATTGGTAATGTTACGCCTGAATGACAGATTCGAGTTGAGGCACGAATCTGCTTTGTCTCCCCCACCCCTCCCTTAACCCTTGTCCCTTGCCCTTTACCCCCTTCACCCCCTATCAACGGATTCCAAAGCCATTCGGATACAATTTTAAACCAGGCACATCAATTTGAAATCGTAACCGATTGGTTGGATTTTTTCAAAGACAATAGGTAGATAGTTAAAGCTTATCTTGGTAGTACGCCTAAAACTTGACCTTCCAAATTATCCAAATGTTTTCATTGAATGTCTAAGACGGGCGAATTGAAAACAATCAACACGGAAAATCATTGACAAATTTGGAGAAATCCGTTTTGATTTCATCGTTCCGCCCACAATGAAAATGGAACACTATAAGATACTTTTCGACGAGGTAAGCAACTTAGTGGCGAAAAGATGCTGCGATTCGCAACATTCCTGATTTCAATTTTGTGTTGAGAAATCTATGTTCGTTTAGTTCTATATATACAACTATTACTATGAATCTAGTAGTCAGTTGGGAAAACATGCTATATATTTTTAGAATTCCAATGTTTCAGACGGAAACAATTAGTTTTGTGACGATATTCCACTGCTTGTAATGCGATCCATAGTGATATCATTATAATAATTATAATTAATTATTTTGGGCATCTCGGGTAGCGACCTATTTCATGCTTGCTACTACTTTTCCAGCAGCAAAAGAATGAAAGATCAGACACTAACAAATATAAAATAGTTCGCTATTCGTTTCTCATATCATTGAACGTCTAGTTTTATATTTATAGCAAAATTTCGCATAAGAATTTACTTTAGTAAATCGGGTTTTAATTAATCGCTGACTACGAGTATTTAAGAAATTAAGTTTGAGTTTACTGCGATCAAGATTTAATTGATTTGTTGATAAAAAAAATGCTGAATCGGCACAAACATGGGTTAATTGAAGTTGGCTAAAGCGATTTCTCTGCGACACATCGGATGATCTGTATTTAAAGCGCTGTTAATGGAAGGGCGTACCTGGAGGGGACTTGGAGGACGACTCTAACGAATCAGCGAGAGGGACTTACCGTGCACAATCGACACCTTGGGGTCGTCCATTGATGTGGTCGGAGCAGGCGCCGATGGTGAAGCTGGATGCGCCAGTGGCGTTTCCCACACTGGCCACCGAGGTGGTTGGCGAAATGGGCAACGATGTGGGGTGGACGCCACTGCTGCCGCCCCCGCCACCACTGCCGCTGGCATTTGTGCTGTTCGGCGACCTTTGGGGTGTCAGCGGCGATTTCATGTGCTGCTGGATCTCGAGCAGCTCGCATGTCTTGCAATCGACACCCTTGAAGTCTGTGTGCTCCGGACAACTGGCGATGGCGCCAGCTGACTGTTGTTGTTGCTGCTGTTGCTGTTGTTGTTGGTGTTGCTGCTGCTGATGCTGCTGTGCCGATAGCTGCTGCTGCAGAAACTCGGTGAGCAGCTTGACGCCGTTGGCATTCTGATCGTTGGCCAGGGCGGCCAATGAGGCATGAAAGGAACTGAGGTGAGCATGGGCGGCGGCCGGCGTTGCGTGCATCGGTGGGAATACGTTGCCGGCAGCCTGCTGTTGTTGTTGTTGCTGCTGCTGCTGCTGTTGTTGCTGCTGCTGTTGGTGCAGAGATTGCAGATGCTGCTGCAAGAAATCACCAGCGGCGCTCAATGCGGGATCCGTGGGTGGTGGGGGCGAGGCGGAGACCATTGTGCTATCGCTAGCCGAGGCCTCTGCTACTGCGGCGGCGGCGGCGGCAGCGGCAGCGGCAACGACCTTGCTGCCCTTAATCGACTTATCGCTACTTATATTATCAGTACTAGTGGTTTCAATCGCCGAGCATTCCGATACTCCGTCACTCTCACCGGTCGCTCTTTCCAGCGCGGCTGCGGCAGCGGCAGCGGCAGAGGTCTCTGTTGACGTCGCTGCCGCCGCTAGTGCTGCGGCGACTGCAGCTGCAGCAGCTGGCGATGCAATGGGAGTGGGCGTGGCTGCGGGTGAGGTTGATGACGAGGATGAGGATGCTTTCGATAGCTTATTAGTCTTTGCTGTTGCTGAGTTTAAGGAACCAAATTTCACAGTTGACTTCACTGCTACTTTGTATGGTGATTGGACACTAGATGCCGCTCCCGATCCCGATCCTGATCCTGATCCCGTCGTCGTCGTCGTCGTTGCTTCCTCGCTCTGCGCTCTCTCACTGCTATTGTTATTGTTGCTGTTGTTGTTGTTGTTGTTACTCTCACTTATTAAATCGGCATTGGCATCGTTGGCATCGGCATCCGCATCAGCATCTGTTTGTTCGGCACTGACACTGACACTAGCACTGGCGCTGGCGCTGGCACTGGGATCGACGTCTCCCTCAGCGTCAGCCTCGTTTGATGCACTGGCGGCACTGTTAGCTGCCGCTAATTCCTCCTCTGGCTCGAAAAACTCACCGCTCACGGCATTTACATCCAAGGGCTCTAGGAACGATATTTGCGGTTTCTCATCCATGTTCCGCTGAATGATGGCACTGGAATACTCGCGATTCAGCAGCTGCTTCTCCAACTCCAACAGATTGAGGCTGTGTTCGGTATTCGCATGCAAACTGAAGGATTTTGAATTACCAAAGGAAAGTTTGCATATGAAGCACATTAATATCGGTTTCTGTATGTTGAACGCATTTGTCGTATCGTATCGGCAATGCGTGCTGGCATCTTGTGCGGATACAACCCGAAATGAGTGGATCTTTGGATTGCCACGCCCACCCAAGCCTAGTGCATCCGATGATGTTGCTCTAGAGCCGCCTCTGCCCGATCCCGATCCTGATCCCGATCCTACTCCTGCCTCAATGGAATTCGCTAGCTTTTCTGCTTCTCTCTCGCTTCGCTCTCTGCTTGAAGCTGTTGCTGTTGCTGTTGCTGCTCCTGATCCTGATCTTGCTTTTGATTTTGTCGCTGATGTTGATGTTGTTGCTGCTGCTGCTGCTGATGATGCTGCTGTTGCTGTTTTTGGTGCGGTCGATGTTGTTGTTGTTGCATTGGAACTGTTGACACCGGGCGAACTCAAACAGACGCTGGAGACAGTCGCATTACCTGCATCGATAATATACGCACTCCCGTCAAGATTGTAAACTATTTTGCCATTGAAAGTTTCAACATCAGAACTGGACATTGGAGAGCCGTCATAAGCATAATTGGAGTTCTGCAAACAAATAATAAGAAGAGTCATAAGTCAATCATACTATTGTGAGCTATAACATTTATATTCTTCAATAATATTCTCAAACATGTACATATGTATATCCAATTAAGAATGTTGAGGCATTCTTTCTTGGATAGATGAACAAAGTAATTAATGAACGTGGTTAGAAGAAAGCCTTTCTTCGAGAGATTCTCGGCAAACGATATCCATAGTGTGGTGTTCAGATATGCGCAAATCTTTAGTGAAATGAATAACAAACTATATCTTAACTAACATTTTCGTTTTAGCCATGTGTTTTTAGATGTCTCGAATTAATTTTAAATCTCTTTAAATCTTTTTATCTGCTTGCAAAGAACGACTCTTTGATCCTACAAAAATCTGGCTGATTAACCTGTGCTTGAAACTATGAACCGCCTTTATTTTTTACTCAAAACATATTTTTTTTAGAAACTATAAACAGCAAATATCTATAATTGTCTTTTTACAACACAATAGTTTTCACTTAGTTAAGCATTTTATTAAAAAAAAAGGGTAAATATATATCGAAACAGGATGGCCCATACTTGTATGCCAATGTTAATGTTAATGTTAATTATGCATAAATATTTTTCATATCATTTGCTTCTTTTGTATCATTCCAAAAATGTCATTATTCTAGACGATGTCCTTATGCCCAAGTCTATAAAGTTTCAGCTCGCAGCCCCCCACTGGCGTCTCGAGCTCCGTGCTCTGTCGTGACTTATGGTCAGTTTTCGAGGAGACGTTCAAACCAGTTCGGCAAGATGTGAAGAAAATCAAAGACGAATGTGCGCGTCAAATTTCCAAAGCAAAAAGCAACAAGCAGAAAGCCTTCAACAAAAAATCTAAAGTCCAAAAACGAACGCTCACACAGACACACACACACACACAGATGCACAATCACTGCCAAACTAAAGGCGCAAATTGCCGAGCGAGTGTGTGGCTCGAAGCCAATTAAATGATTCGAATTTCTACAAAAGTTATGCCTCGACGGTGTCGTCGAGCGTTGAAGAAAAGTGTGACAGATATTTCAACCCTCAGCTTAATTGCGCCTTAATTAAACGAATCAGCCAATTTGTATTACCTACTACGAGCGTATATTATACTATATATGTATATATAGCCGATATGCACAAACAACTCTACATTAGTACGGAGGCTAGAAACTGAGATTTTAGCTGCATGATCCCAAAAAAAAAAAACAAAATCGCCTGCATTCCAAAAAGCTCACAAAGTTTTCGTCAAACAACAAAATGTCAAAAGTCAACAGTGCGTGCCAAAAGTGCACACCGACTCGTAAAAATAGGCATTGCCCATTGACGTCCATTGACAAATGTCAACAAAAAGCGAACAGCGACCATATGTACAGTGGATGCTACAAAATATTGGAACATCAGCATCTAAAAGAGTCCCAAGAACCTTCAATCTTCAACCAAAATTGTCTCTCTCCTCGAATTGAGTTCTGAGCGAATTTGTAAAAAGAAAGTATTGGTATTTCACACTTTTAGAATTGCGCTGTTGGTTAGGACAATTTTAATTGCGACAATCTCTGGAGAAATCTCTGACCGGTACTGGCTAACAAACCTAAATAACTATGCATAATATTATTCCTTATTTTGCATAATACTTTTCTTATTTGTCCAGATAATGGACGACGCATGGAAATTTCTTGCATTGCTTTTTAATAAACTGCGGTACTTTATTTCATCTTATTGTAGAGTTTTATTATCTATACGTTTTTGAAAAATATATTATGAAATAGTTGAGAAAATTTCTCAAAAATCGTTTGTCGAATTTCGTTTTGTTTTTAGCCAATTCGTTTTTCAAATATGCAGAATCTGTTAAAAAAAAATTATCCTTTGACTAGCTCAGAGACTATAAAATTTAATTAATGTTGTGGTGTTCCGGTTCATTTAAGTTATATATATGTGTGTATATGTACGAGTATATATACATTTTGGATTTATGGTGTTGTATATTTTGGCTTATTGTTAATCCTGTCGAGACTTGCTAGCATTTAACTGCTTATACTCTGGAGTGGAAAGGCAAAGAGGTAGGTTTGTGCAAATCGAAAAATGTAGCAGACTCCACACAGTCTATAACACATAATTCTGTTTTTGCACGGTTAATTGGTTTCAGAAAAAGACGTGTAAAAAAAGCCGTGCAAAAAAGCCATTGATCATACATATACAAGTATTATTTTAAATAGAGCTACTTAATTGGAATAATATCCTGTAACCTGGTTAAATAAAACCGTGTAAAAACAGAATTGGGTGTACGATATATTCTTTATCCATGCGCATGAACACCTGGATCTCAGAAACTATAAGACCTAGAGGAACCCAATGATGCCTTTTAGATTACGTGAATTTATTTTCCACTGAACCGATTCCTCATCTATGCTTTAACAATCTTGTTTGCGAACATGAAAAATCGTCTGAGAGCGGGTGGATTCATATTAATGGGCGTTTACTGTAAATACATGCATAGTACGTGTACATACATACATATGCATATTTGTGTGCGTGTACTTTAGAAATCTTCACATGTTTATCACATGCATCTGTTCATTTTAATTTCATTTAACAACAACAACAGCAACAACTGCTACAACAAGAGTCGCGGCAGCAATAACAACAACAACAACAACAGCTACTACAAGTACGATGACAACAAAGGTAAGAGAATGCTAACAATATAAAATGGGTAATTACTTGACAATTATCTGAAATGCGTTTTCAAACTGCTTTATAGCTATTTAATGACAACTCTGCTCTGATGACAACTTAAATATGGTGTGTATGTGTGTGTGTGTGTATGTGTGTGTGCACAATAAACAAAGCTTTTGTTAATATGGCTGCATTGACTTGCACACACATACATGGGTGCGTGTGTGTGTGTGTGTGTGCTTCTGTTTGACTGTTCGTTTGTACGCATATATATGTGTGTGTGTGTGTGTGTGCGCGCACTTAATGTACAATTTGCATTCAAACAAATACATAGTAATTTGCCTACGAAAGAAACAGCAACAACAACAACAACCACACCAACAACAATAAAAAAGCAAAACAAAACAACAACAACAACAACGAGAAAAAAGCTGAAATAACGAATGAATCAAAAAGCCGTGAAGAGTTGCAAGCAAAAGTGGTGAGCATTAAACGAAGGGTGCACTTTGACCAATAGAGGTGAAGAGTGGGGAAGAGAGGTGTGGGGAGTCGAGAGTGGAGTGGAGAGAGAAATGAAACTGGACAGAACATAACGAACCGAAGAAGTGCAGAGTATAGACCAGCTGGCACACACAGAAGGAGGGGGGAGCGCAGAGAAGTTAAGGCGGGGCAGGTAAAGCATGCCGTACTCTAGTTGTTATAGTTGTTGTTACACAGTTGTTGTTGCTGGCAATGTTTCAGTTAGTTTCTTGTTGCTGGTTGGTTATAGGTGGTTAAACTTCAAATTACTTTGCAGACAGAAATGATTAAATGACAAGACGACAAATTAAAAAGCTTGATGTTACTTAATCACCGTTACAAAAAACACACACACACACATCGCAGTAGAGTCGTTTGGGTCACGGACGGCAGAGTTTTGCACAAACACACACACACACACACATACACATATGCATTAATATGAGATTGCGTGTGTGTGTGTGTGTGTGTATTTTGCATGTAAACTTAATAAGTCGCACTTTGCAACTGCGATTTGACAAATCACAGCCAACTGCAATTTGTTGCATTTGATGCAACGAAGCACAAACTGACACACACACGCACACATACACATGCACACGTGCATCTACTCGTATGTACGTATGTATGTATGTATGTATGTATGGGTAGGCAGATATTTACTTCAGTCACAGTCAATGGCATTTTTACAGTTGGCATAATCATCAGCATGCACACAATTATGAAGAGCAGGCAGTCGCGGTGATTTTTTCATTCCATTATTTTTTTAAAACAATTTTCTGCATTGATGCACAAATAGCAGCAGAAAGGAATTTAGCAAGAAAACGATCTGTATAACAATAATTGATGTAATGGCAACCAAAACACACAAAATGGTGGCAAAAGCAATTCTCATATTACTCCCCCTTTAAAGCATAATCAAGTCATTATGGATTCAGGATCGTCAGATTCGCAGTTCTTTAGGAATAATTCAAAGAAATAAAGAATCAAGACTAGACCAACCGCATTCTTCGTCAACATTTTACTATCAGTTGTTCAATTATATCAATGCCTAATATAAAAGTTATTAAGATCCTTTATATTGTAACAGGCAGACAGGGACGAATGTGATGACTCGATATAGACATGTCCGTAAGTCCGCCTGTCCGTACGTCCCCAGAACTTTTTAATCATAGCAGCTAGGGACTTGACTTGCCTCATTGTTGTTTTGGCTGCCATAGGACCGATCTCGTATTTGGAAATCTTTTCTTTTATACTGATTCACTATAATCTTAGATTATAACAACGCAGCTGTAGTGGCGAAAAGGATTAGTAGACCCTAATACTACTCTACTGGTTTTAATTCTATCTGATGCAGCCTTTCAAAATTATTCAGATTTAGCTAATCAACTAATTGTCAATCAAGGAATGGCTATTTGCTGTAAGTCGGGCGTCGAAGAAACCTCTTTAAGGAACCACAAGAAGAGGCAAGCTTAATAGTAATGCTCCCACTAGCAGTTACAATGTGTAATTCGTACATACTCGTACATATGTATATACATACTTGTGGCTATGTATGTATGTATTTCCTAATGACAGGTCAAATTAATCTTTTGGCATAAGAGATTGTTCCAATATTCTTTGTTGCGATAAGAATTATTTATCGTTCGTAGAGCTCAAACAATAGGTTCGGTGGCAAAGACGATAAATTATAAAATTAATTTTCAGACTTGGTAATCATATCACGCGTTCATATGTATGTCTATATGTACTCGTATATATACAAGTAT